GCTTGCCTCTGTGACTATATCATGCCTTTAACGACTTGCAAGATACCGTTGGTTTTTGTTTTCTCTCCTCTACATTCATTTTTTCCATGGAAGACTTGGGCGTGTCTGTCATTAGTTGTAGAAGCGAGGTCCTACTCGACGAATGAACAGAGGATGTACCATTGGGAAAGATTTAACGTACTATCTATCCTCTGTACATGTACAACCTTTCGCAGTTCCAGTCTACACAAAGCTTGAGCCCTAGTAAGGGATGTACCTCGCCCTCTGGCGGTTGCACTCTGAAGTAGTGTTGTAGTTCCACCAGAAGGAAAGATGCTGCGGCAACGTGCTGTAGACCTTGTACTCCGACAAATAGTTGGGGAGCATGTTGTTGCCAATCTGCGTGTAGTTGGTTCACAAGTTGAAGTACATGGTGCCCGCCTTCTCTGGTCCTGATTCAGTAAAGTCAATGAGGCATTATCGTAGACAGACCCAACTGCCTTAGAAAAGGAATCTCCGGGGCTAAATCAGTCGGTCAATATCAAGGCGAGAGCTAAGCCGGGGCCATCTTAATCTTACCCGGCGCAGCAGTAGTATTGTAGGTCCTGCGTATATCCAAACCATTTCTACTCGTCCAGGGTGAAAGAATCGATCCAATCCGAGTAGCTCGGACGTTGAGCTCAAAGGCCGACATAACTATGCACTGTCAGTGCCAGATCTCTCTAATAGTTCTCTTGACTTACGACTTGCATCAAGGACTCGTGGTATTCTTTTGTCATTTCTGAATAGCAGAGTTCCGTGGCATGGTTTGGAGATTTGTATTTAAGAAATGCAAGACATTGAAAGGTGCTCCGTGCCTTAGTATATTCTCGAGATTACACAAATTGTAATTGAATTGGGCATGTAGCCGAGATATTAATTGCCCTTCTGACTCGCTGTTAGAATTGGGCGAAGTGACATATCTGATCTTATATATGGAGGAATGTTTTTTTGCCAGAGCAGACTAAATGCTTTTCTATTAGCATTGAATTGCTACACTAGCGATTTCCAGAACAGATCAAAGTTTTCTCGCGCAAAGCAGGCTCTAGAATGGTCACACTCCGTACCGCATTAAGCGCGCGGCTAACAAAGGCGGACCGGATTCTGCCGTCAAGGAATTATTGATCTCCCCGAATGGTCAACTCCATCCTCCTGCGTCGTCTACCACAACGAACCCGCCCCATCATACACTCCACAATGCGGTCTCTATCACCAGCGCTCGCGTCTCTCGCGAATGTCTTCCGAATTCCCATGGCATTAACTCCCGCGCGCCCAGGCGTTTCTCGCGTCTGCCACGAGACCTTGTCTCGACAATCCGCACCGACCACCGCCGCCGTGCAAACAGCCCCGTTTTCATCGACGAGCACCCTGGCAAAGCGGAAGGGAAATGGTCCTCAAGTGGACAAGCGAATCAGTACGTCTTGCCCCCTCTGCTACCCAGCAATTCCTATCCACACCTCCACGAAACTCCCTTCATTTATCCCCGAACTCTTCAACGAAAACCAGCGCACTTGAAACACAACACAGATACTAACAAAATGCAATTGCAGCTCTAATCCGCTACTTCCTCTACCACCCCCTAACCCCGCGGCCGCTCCGCTTCTCCCGCAACCGCTTCCTCCGCCACTGGACCATCCACCGCGCTTGGCAACTGTTCCAGGCGCAGCAGCGCAAGAAGCAGGAACTCGAGCTGCAGCGCCAGTACCAGAGTATGCAGGCCGCGTGCGAGGAGCTGCGCACGGGCGCCGGTGATGGCGGGAAATTGTTCCGCGTGTCAATGAACAAGAAGGGCGTGTTTACGGATCTGTTTCCCATTGAGTATGCCCGGTTTCAGACGGAGTCGCCTGCTGCTGAAGGATGGAATTATGACTGGAAGAGGCCTGAGAAGAAGTATTAGATATCCTTTTTTTGTTTGTCGATTGTGTGAGTGAGTGGGTGAGTGATGGAAGGAAGGAGAGTTGATGATAGGGTTGTGTGGCGGTATAGGATGGGATATACATGTATCATTGGCGCTGTGTACAATACCATTTTCATCTTGTCTTTTGTTGAACACAGTCTACTACTTTCATGTGTATACAAACTACCTTCAGCAGACAAAACCACCCGATGCAATTGCGTCCACAAGTCTTACTATTGAGCACACATAGTCGGTAGAACATATACTCCCTTGCAAAAGCAATGAGCACGAAAATATAGTCAATTACTACAGGAGAAGAAAAAGAAAACACAACGAATCCAGGAAAGGAGTGGTATCATCACAATGCTCTTCGGGGGAATGGGGGAATCAGCAAGGAGAGAAATCCGGAGCGGCACGTGCATCATAAGAGAGTTCAAACAAAAAGGAGTGTAAGAGAAACAATGTACTCCGAGGGAATAGACACGACTGCATAGAGCCGGAGCGCAAACGTCGTACCCGGATCAACCGATCGAGGTGCCACAATTACCCGCCCAAACGCCAGTGATGCATGGTACAAAAAAGGGTTGCCGACCAAAAAAAAAGCCAAGGCGTCAGTTATAGCACGATGCAGCACGAGGTTTTTCGTTTCTCGAAGGTGAGCAGGGCCGCGCGGGTGGCTGCCTCGAACACGTCGTCGACGCCTTCACCCGTCAAGGACGAGCACTCGAGGTACTTGCGAGCCCCGATCTCGACGCTAGTCTCGTTGCCTTCTTTCGCCGTCACGAACTTGAGAGATTTCTTGCGCATCTCCTCGATCGCGAGCGGGTCTTCGCGTAGATCTTTCTTCAACCCAACCAGAATGATCGGCACCCCGGGACACCGCTCGTTTGCTTCTTCGATCCACTGCGGCGGGAGTTAGTGATTGCTGGCCTGGTTGGAGACAGTTCACACCAACCTTGTGTTTCACGTTCTCCAGCGAGTCTGGCGTGTCCACGGCAAATCCAATCAGAATCACATGTGCTTTCGAGTAGGCGAGTGGCCGCAATCGTTCGTAGTCTTCTTGCCCCGCTGTATCCCACAGGGCCAATTGCACTGACCGTCCGTCGACTCGGCAATCTGTCACGTAGTTTTCGAATACGGTGGGCACCTAAGAAGCAGCCATGTCAGACAATTCCCATCACGGGCAAATCGAAATCTTCGTTGGGGGACTGACATAATGCTAGGTTTGACAGACGTGTTAGCCATGTTGATTGTTTGGGACTGTTGTAGTAGACTCACGGTTGGAAAGTAGCCAAGGGTAAAGACGCTGAGCAGACTGGTTTTCCCACACGCGCCGTCTCCGATGATGACGAGTTTCCTGAACGTTCATCCGGATCAGTATCACACACGAATATTTTGGTCCAAAGGCCGAGCCCGGTGCACGGGGGTGCAATGGTCTGGCAAATAAATGCTGACAGTGGTCCGTCGCCGTGGACTCGACCGTCCATTCACCCGCAGTAAAGACACCGAAGCAATCACACTCACCGTCGCATCACATTGTCATTCTGCTGTTGGGCCATCCTCAATGGCAGGCCGTCGAAAAGCGGCCTGAAGACACGGGAGAGGGAAAGCGGAGGGTGTGCTCAGACAAGTCGGCAGGAGGCAGAAGGCAGCGCGTAGGCAAATGGGCAGGGGTGTGTGTGAAACTGTCGAGAGCAAAGTACAGCCACACGCGCACTATTTCCGCCCGAAGGAAGTCAGGGGAACGGAAGCGGTTGGCCTGACGGGGGTTTATTATTGCAACGACCAGCTTGCTTAGTGACGTGTTGGGAGGGGACGCAAAGGCGGTCGCGCTGGGGCTGAGGCTGATGGGGGAGGAATACCACACGCGGGTTTGCCTTAATGTCCCTAAATGAAGGATCTAGGGCGATATGAATGATTCTGAAACAGAGAAAACGAGAGGAGGGGGAATTGGTTCAGCGAGAGTGGACGAGGGAGAATTGGAGGGAGAGAAGATACGAGTATTACATCGGGGACTTGACACTCCAAGAAGGTTCGGGTTGACCGAAGATGGCCAAACAGGGCAGCAGCCCCGACAAGCTATTCTTAATTGATTTTTGTCTAGCGTTACAAATATTAAACATGTCACGAACTAATCAGGAAATGTCTTAGTTACCCACGGCGTGAGCGAGACAGTCACGTGATATAATCCCCTGAGGGAGGAGGGGGACCGACAAGTCTAGGTGTTCATGGTCTATGGAGAGGGTGGTATGAGGCTCCTAGTTAGAGTTAGTGATGGCAGTAGGTTCACGCTGCTTGAGATCTCCTGCAATTATCACACCACCGGTGGCATGGGCCACGTGACTTTGGCGCCTGGCGCCCAGGACAGACCGCGAGGCAACAGACACATCCAGTACGGAGCCAAGTAGTTTCTGCAACGGCACACTTTTATATCAGCCAAACAACGCCTCTCGGGTCGCGCAAAACACGGGCATTCGGGAAATGTCCAATTGTTGCCTCACTACTCAGGCATCCACCTCGCTTGCAGCGGCTATCCCGTTGCGGCGGCACGACAACCATCCAGAAGGCAGGAAAGCCCATCACTTCATCCATCTTCTTTACCCTCCCACCACCACTCCACCCCGGCATCCCGCGTTCTCGGGCCCTGAACTTGTCACTGGCCCTGGCCCTTGATCGCGCTTCCTGTCCCTCCGGTCAGCCCGCGCGTCGCTCTCGTCCCCGAGCAGCAAATACGCCTTGACCCGCCGGGATCCTCCCTCACTTCTTTCAAACACCCCCTCTCTCTCAAAGCCTCTCCTGCCTCCTCTGCTGCCTGCCCCCGCTGCAAGCACAGCCTCTTCCGCGGAAACACAAAGGCAGAAATTGTCCCTTTGTTGGCTCCCACTCCCGTTTCTTTCGCCAGTTGGATTCTGCGGAGCTTTGTTGGTAGGTTCTTTCTCTCTCCTCCCGCTCCCCGCCCACCCTGTCCTCTCCCGCCTGCCCTTCCCCTCCTCCACCCTTCTCTAACACTCTCCTCTATGTGGGGGTTGATAGTGTGTCCCCGAGGCAAGCATTGCATTACTCCATCGCTCCGCCCGCATCCAATATGGCAACTCGTCCGCCGGCGGCGGCGAGCTCGACACACACCACAAATGGCGAGACCCATGCGCGGGGTCCTCCAAACAACGCTGCACCATCTACCGCGACGCCGGCACCTGCATCGACTGTGAATCGCAAGAAGCAGAAACGCCGACAGAAGCAGGCCGCTCGCTTAGCTGCGGAGCATCAGTCGCCCACCGATGGCTACGCATCTGGAGATGTAGCGGATCCAGCCATGGGAGATGATATGCGTTCTTACGGAGATGACCGTGACTACGGCGAATCTTTTCCTAACCATGCAGCGACCGGTGTGCCCTTTGCAACCGACAAGCCAAAAGTCTCGCGGCAGAATTCAAACGACCACCCAGTAGCTGACGGACCAGATGAGCAACTCCATGTTACGGGTCGACGATCGAGAAGGAAAAGGGGAAAGAAAAATCGCTCTGGATCTCACACTCTCGCCGATGGAAGCTCGACTCCGCTCTCCACCCCGTCCGCCACCTTCTCCCACCCTCCGCCGCCGCCCCAAACCCTGCCCTACACTAGTCGGTACCCGATGAAGTCCGGAAAGGAGGGCAGCATTTGGAATCAGTCTTCGCTGGAGGAGCGCGAAAACATCAGGACCTTCTGGTTCGAGCTGGGCGAAGAAGACCGGCGGCAGCTGGTCAAGGTCGAAAAGGATGCCGTACTGAAAAAGATGAAGGAGCAGCAGAAGCACTCTTGCAGCTGTACGGTGTGTGGGCGAAAGCGGACTGCGATTGAGGAAGAACTCGAAGTGTTGTACGATGCATACTACGAGGAGCTCGAGCAGTACGCGAACAACAACCAAGGCTCGTTCGACGAGGGCTCGCCCATAATTCCCCCGCCTCGACTGTACCAACCTCCCCTTCGATCTCCCGGTCAACATACCCGCACCCATGGCCAGTTTCACCCGTCGCGAGGCAGAGTCCAGGAGCTACCTGAGGACGATGATGACCTTGAGGAAGACTACGACGAGGACGAGGAAGACGAGGACGACGATGAGCTGTACAGTGATGATGAGCTTGAGGACGAAGAGGCACGCGAAGCGCGCGCAGACTTCTTCGCGTTTGGGAATAGTCTCACTGTGAAAGGTACGCTAGGGTGATCCTCGCTTGATCTCATGAAGTTTTGCTAATGGTAACTTTCCCCAGATGGCATCCTTACCGTTGCAGACGATCTTCTCAAGAATGACGGGAAGCATTTCATCGACATGATGGAACAGTTAGCCGAACGTCGAATGCAAAGAGAAGAGGATACGCAGTACGGGATAGCCGCCGCTCATCAATCCTTCCATGGAGGTCACAATCATGGCCCTCTCGACGATGAGGACTACGATGACGAGGAAGACGAGGAGTACGACTCCCAGGAGGAGGATGAGTATGACGAAGACGAAATGGTGTGTTCTCGGTGTTTTGCTCCGATTCCGTGCTGTACGAATGTTGACCACCAAAAGGACGCCATGACGGAAGAACAGCGCATGCAGGAAGGCCGGCGAATGTTCCAAATTTTTGCTGCGCGGATGTTCGAGCAACGAGTCATGACTGCATATCGAGAGAAGGTAGCCGAGCAGCGTCAGAAACAGCTCATCGAGGAGCTGTTGGAAGAAGAAACCCGAGAAGAGCAAAAGAACGCCAAGAAAGCTCGAGAGGCGCAGAAGAAGAAAGACAAGAAGCAGAAACAGAAACAAGCCAAGGATGAGGAGAAAGCTCGCCGGGATGCCGAAAAGGCGGCTGAGGAGGCTGCGGCCAAGGCTGCGCAAGAGAAGAAGCTCGAAGAGCAGCGGCTGAAGCGCGAAGAACAACGGAAGAAGCGGGAGGCCGAGCGAAAGGCTCAAGAAGAGGAGCGTGTGCGGAAGGAAGCCGAGAAGCAACGGCGTCTCAAAGAGGAGCGAGAACGACAGGCCGAAGCTGAGCGCAAGCAACGCGAACAGAAGGAGCTGGAGAAGAAGAAGCGCGAGGAGGCCAAGCGGAAGGAGCGAGAGGAACGAGAGGCCCGAGAGAAGAAGGCCAAAGAGGAGCGAGAGCGCAAATTGCGAGAGGCAGCGGTCAAGGCCGAGCAGGAACGCACTGACAGGCGTGATGTCCAAGCAAAGCGTGCTCCACCAACGTACGCTGGGGCGTTTCCTCTTCAGCCAAACCCGCAGTCTCCAGCTCAATCGGGTCTTCTACAATCTCCGCATTATGCTACCGCAAATGTCGTTCCGAAAGCTCCAACACCCGCGCGGCCGCGCCAACCGTCTCAGCAGGACTCTCACACCTCGTCGCCTCGATCCCAGCAAGCCAGCACAGACTCGTCTCATCAGCAGTCCGTCTCACCGCACTCAATGCCACAATCGCAGTCGTCGGGAGCCTCCAGCATGGGTACTAAGCAAACCCAAGGCCAGCAACAGCAACCTCCTTTGCACCACCCCCAGCCTTCGGCGCCGCTGTCCCCACTCGGTCGAACGAACCCACCCGGATTTCAAGGATTGGGTCTGCCGTCTCACCCACCGGGCATTCCTGGTATGGCACCCCGGCCACCGCTGGGACCAGATTTGCCTATGTATCCGCCCAACTCGACCAACCTGATGAACCAATTTCGAGGTTTCCCTGCGCCAGGTGGAATTCCTGCGCCACCTGGAATCAATGGGTCACGCCCAATCCCTCCAGGCCGTGGGTTCCCGCTCGAGCATGGACCCAGTCTTCCGTTCCAGGGACAGCCTGGGTTGTCCAACGCATTCCCTATGCAACAAGGTGGTTTGGCCAAAACTCATTCGAGACAACCGTCCGGCTCGTTCGAACGGTCACCACTGGAGAACAATTCCCAACTGTACCCAATCACGCGGCCAAGTCCGATCAAGCGTCCGCCTAGCACCGCTCAAGACCAGCAGAGAGAAACGGGACACGTTCCATCGCAGCGAGAGGTGGACAACCTGAGCGCCCATCTGGGCAGCAGCGCCCTTCTTGACGATACCGATTCTCCATATTCAGCCAAATTGTCCCAGTCCCTGCCCGGTGCAGTGGCCCCTGGATCATTCCCTGGACCAACGAGAGCTAGCTTTGGGGGACCGTCGCTATTCGGTGATCCTCTAGCCCCCAAACCTGTCAACAATTTCTCGGTCACTTCTTCGACTAACACCTGGGGCACGCCTTTCGGTAATTCTGCTTTCCCTGGAACCCCGACCTGGGGAACTGCACCTGGGAGTGGTTGGTCCCACAACGTCTTTGGAGCCAGCAGTCATCAGCGTCCGCACACATCCCGGCCCGTTACAATCCGCCTCTTGGTGATCCAGGCTTGCAAGCAACTCAACACAATGAGCTCGCAAAAAGGCCTCGCAGGCTACCATGACGTGGGCATCGTTCTTCGGCAGGTGGAACAGCTACGGCCTTCAAGTGAGCCTTCGATCTCTCTGGGTGAGATGCTGGATATCTGCGACACAGAGGGCAGCCCTCAGAACGGCGGCGGGTCATTCTCCATCAACGAGAACGAGAATGGTCAGTTCGTCAAGTTCGAGCCGGACACCAACAGCGCCGCGCCTGGTCACAGACCCAGTATTGTTCCTGGAGACATCGGCAGCCCGATTCCTGGGAATAGCAACCCGGCTGCGTTTGGCGGATTCGGTGGTCCCGCGCCCTCAGTGCTACGACAGTACACCTCGCCCCCAGCTGGGTTCTAGGGTGGTTGTTGTCTTGATGATGACCTTGATATGATTATGACCCATCTCATGACCCGGGCCCTGGTACTTATTCTTTCTCTTCTATGTGCTCCCCTGTGCGCAGTGGCCTCTTTTCCCATTCACCGCATCGGTCTGGACCTTTCTCTCACCCCTTCTCGGTGAGGAAGCAATTTCGCCGGAATGAACTTCGTTCTTCCTTACCCTCTGTTTTCTGACGGATGGTGGTCTTCGAAATCTTGAAGCGTCACGGGGTTTAACATCACCTTCCTACCTCCCTCCCACACTTCCTCGCACCCACCTCCCCACCACACTTCCTGGGTTGTCTCTGACGTTCATACGGGTTCTTTTTCATTTTACCTTTTGTCTACCTTTTTGTCGAGTTTATGCGCTGGAACTTCGGGGCATCCGGGGTTGTCTGTTCTGGTTTTCTCTTTTTTCCTATTTTGTGTTTTTCCTGTGTATGGTATGAGTCCCTGGCCTTGTTTTCTACGTTATGCAGCGATATCCGTGGAGATCGGGCCCATTGCCCTGCTCCGTCGTTGTTTTCTTGACCAATTGCATGATCGAAGCTTCTTCGTGTTCAATTATTTGTCTATTTCTCGTATCAACTTGTAACTGCTCTATGATATGCACGGTTAAACTTGATGCACAACGCGGAGACCGTTGCCAAGAAGCCGGGAGTTTGCAATCAGCAGCCGACCATTTTCGTCTAGTGATTCGAAGCTTTATGTGCAGTGTTATAGGATACTATCAAATTATGTCCAGGCTTGGGAAAGGTGAAGGGTCCTGCTACTTGCACAGATAATTTTTATATTAAGTTTCTCTACGAAGCCGTGAGTGCCCATTATTGATTGGCTGAATTGAACAAGGCTAGTGGATCAGATCGATGAGAATTTCTAAAAGTATCAGCATTACAGGTTGTATGGTTGTGGTCATTGGTGAAAGTATTGGAGAGAAATTGATGGAGCCACGTGCCGTGTGCTTACACTGCCGGGGATACGTCGGTCATGTAGAGGTTCATCGTAGTGCTCTTTTTTGGCAAATCGGGTAGGATGGGCGTACTCACACATCAAGCTAGAAGACCTGGGCTAGCTCGGTGAATAAAACCGCGTAAATCCTAAGAACTGACTCGGATGTAGTAGCAGCAGACACTTCTACGTAAACTAAAATCGCCATAATAACAATGCTTAATTATAAAATCGCGGGAGTAGTAACTGGTAGGTCATAAGAAATATACGAGTAGCATGAAACAGATATTATTGCATAAACCGAAACTTTCATCCTTCGTAACCTTGCGTAGAAATCCATTTGAATTACTGGCCCACCGGCTTTCGAGGAATACTCACGTGTGTCCCAGGGCTATCGAATGCCGTGGAAGGCCCGTACTGCCTATACTGCCCGCATGCTTCTGTTTTGGGTTGGACAAGAGCGTACTGCTTGCGCTTGCGAATATAGAACCTGGAAGCAAGAGAGTTAGTAAGTTACAATGTGACATAGACGGATGGGGGATATGTTCTAACCAGATTCCTATGAAAACGGCCGCGAGGAACGGAACTCCTAGACCAACGCATAGCCCAATGATAAGCTTGTTGCTTCCTCTGTCCGTCGTTCCGTCCATGATGCTGCCGCTGCCTGCGGTGGCGGAAGGAACATAGGATGTAGGTACTCCTGACGTTGCGGCCAGCCTGTGAACATTTGTTCCGAATGGGATAGCACTCGTGATAGTGCTCGCTGCGGCTGTCGGGGATCCAGATTGGACACTGGCGACGGACGTAGCCGTGCTAGTTGTTTGGAGGTTGACGGGGCAGTTCACTATCCCCTGGGAGAGACAGTTGACGATGGTATATGTACTTGTGGTTGTTGTAGGCGATTCGAAGAAATCGCCAATATCGTCTCGCTGATTTAATGCTGCTCGACTAGTGATCTGAGAAGCGGCTGGGGTTGTTTTGGTTTCGGCACATATACTAGCCAAGGTGGTATACCAGACTGGAACGGTCGTACTGATGGCCGGTCCCCAAGTGTGGGAGTCGACCGCGACTGTTGCCCCGGCTGCCGCGCCCAGAGCAAAAGTGTATTCCAATTCAGCGGCCAGATCGCAGTCGCGGCTGTCACCGGCGCCGTGGCCGACATCGACTTCCACCCCGAAATCAGCAACGTAGGCAAAGACACCAGTCTCGACACCGGAACTAAAGGCTGAAGGGAATCCTGAGTCCCCTATATTGACTCCAAGGTTCACTGATAGGATCAAGGCTGCCTGAAGATTCCCTTTGCCCTGAATTATGATAGGCAGAAACTCGAAAGAACCACCGGGACTGTTAAGAAAATAGTGTTTGTTAGAAGAAGTCTTTGGTGTCGTCGCAGAAAAGCTTACATTGTAACACCCGACACATTAGAGCTAAACATCGCCAGGTCAAAGGCAACTCCGTCGTCGAGCTTGATATGGACGCCGGTACCAATATCAACCTCCTCGTCTGCGATCAGGACCAAGTCAACGCCGAACACGACTCCCACCTCAAGGCCCGGAACAGAGAACCCCTCAGGAGTTTCGGTCCTGAAGAGAGGATACGTGTAGGTGGATTGTTCAGACAACTGAATGTCAATATCTAGATACAGCTCCAAGTCGTCGAACTCGAGATGCACCTGCGCGTCTGGGAGAGCATTGATGGCATCTAGATTGAGGCTCATGTTGAGTGTTGGTAAGGCGTGGAAGCCTTCAGAATCTAGATTCTCGACATAATTCTTCAATTGGTCAAAGGCTGATTCGGCGACATTTGCGACATCGTTCTCAGCACTATCGATCGTCTTCTTCAAGTCGAAGTCACCAGTGAGGGTCAGGTGGCCCATCGCCGAGCCTTGGACGTAGCATCTAGAGCAGACGATGCCAATAGGCCCCACGGGGCTGCCAGCTTGTGAGTGACATGTCATCAAAAAATCAATGAGAGCTCGTACGGGAACAAAGTAGCGTCATTCCAACTTTTGGCAAAGGTTGTCTTATTCATTCGGTAAACGTTATCACGAGATTGGAGTCTGGCCACATGTAGGGCCCGTTTCACTGCGTTGACCGTGTCCGCGTCGGTCATCCCGGGACCGTTTCTGGTTCGCAGCGTGACATCTCCCAAATCAAGGGCCGCAGCGGTGCTCAATGTAGGGAGCCAACACAAAAATATTGTTAAAAGACAGACCAACATTATTTTTCAAAAGATGTAGAAACGCAGACGCTGTGCACTAGCTTCCCTCTAAAATTTGAAAGAATATGGGCATCTCTTATAATCAAACCAACAACCCTGCCTACATTGGGCTGCTGCAGCTCCGTACTTTCTATCTTTAGATTGACTGGCATGGCTGAGGGGCAGTATAGGAGCGGGATAAGCCCTAAAACGAACCGTTCCGCCCGCTTGCAAGGATGAGAATCCCTTGCCAAACAATGCGTCGCGTGCTAACTACATAGAGAAGCAGAGCCGCGGCAGGAGCGCAAGCAATTATCCATGAAGATATTCATCGTCGCCTAGCTGTCTCACGATGCACAAAACTGGTGGTTTTATTTATTTGAAATTTTACTATTTCATATACGTATTGGACAAGCTTAACTTAGTAGACAATAGGCTATTTGAAGAGAGAGCAGATGGGACAGGTGTGATTGAGGCTATGTATGCAGCTAAGCTACGTGCCGCCCCTTCATGGCGTTGACGCGCTGTCCGTGCGTGAGTGTATAGAATAGTCCAGACAAAGATACCTTGCGGTTGGTAGGAAGCGAGCCCTAGAATTGGATATGGGGGTTAGCTTGCCGGTCCCCCGTTAATCTCCGTTTTCTGCATCTTGCTCAGCCATCAGTGGGACCCCCGACGATATCTTCGAATCGTATTCCGGAAGTCCTCTCGACCCCTGCTAATCCCTGCTAATCCGCGTCCGACATGCCATACAGCCCGCCAGAACAAGTGCGACGACCGCTATTGGGGCACAGGCTTCGATGGCTAACTGCGCCCCAAAGGGGACCTGGTCGGCAGGGTACATGCCGCCATCTCTGCCCCTAGACCGACGGTCTGCTCGTCACTAGCAGGAAATGTGTTTGCTACTGTTCCGCGGCCACCTTGCCGGTGAGTGTATTCGATGCTTGTTGTCGTCGGTATAGCTGATGTAGGGTTCGGAGGTGATAGGTGGTGGTCAGAGGACCGAGGTTAGTCGAGGTATACTAGGTATAAACAGTAGTCTCCTGCCCGTGGAAATTTTGCGCATCGATTGTATCGTAGGAGGTCCCAGGGTTTTCTTTCTCTAGAGTTTCCCGAGGGATCGTATTTCTCCTCGCAGAGTCTATCTCACAGCACGCCACAATTTCTCTTCTCCAGAGTGACCAGTTAGCAAACAATAGCGGTTAGTGGGTGGCAAGGAGAAACTAGGATGAAACCCCAAAACAACCTCAAACACTTTTCCTCTAGTATGTTAATCAGAGAGTTAACCAATTGCATATTTCGCTGCTCATATAAAGCTACGCAGCTTCGCGGCCTTTCGGGCGGCCACCCTGAGCACTCTGTACATACATACTTGGACTATTGATCCATAAAGCGGAATCCCCGCGTACTTAGTGAAGCTAGAAGAATCCATTATGAAAATTACCTACTTCAACGAGAGTCTACCATTGGACAATTGTGAATAGATTACTGGAGCTTGGATTCTTCTTTTGTTCTCGCCCCCCAAGACCCTCACATCTTCGCCCTGGACCCCAGATAAAAAGGGCCATGGTCCAGGGGTTTCATCCCCTTCTTGTGGCAATTAGGACACTTAACATGGATAAGGGTGGGTAATCATGGTTAGACCACCTTCCCGAACGTCGCCTCTCCTAGGCCGATGGCTATCCTTTCGGGTTATGCCTTCGTCACCTCCATGTCGTATACTTCGCACTTGCACATTTCTATCCTGATTCGAGCATCTGTACCGTGTTTAACATTGTGCTCCCCTGTGATTCTTTTCGGAGGATTTGGTTTGAAGAATTATTGCGCTATGATCAATGAACTATAGCACATTTTATGAAGGCCTGTAATTGAAGTGAGGGAAATGAGCAGCAACCGAAAGCCAGCTGCCAATGATAGCTAATGTTGTACGGAGAGTCAGCTCGGGCGTTGAGGATTATGGCTTTGGGTCACCAATTTGTAAATCGAGATCAATTTCATATTACTTCAGGACTAGAATAATGTAAAATCATGCACAACCAAAAAAAAGAAAGAGCTATATACAGTCCACATCTGTAATAACACATAGCACAACAGTTTATCAGTCGAAAGCCGGCTCTGCTGCGTCTCGGCCCAGAGACATGGCCGAGAAGGAGTTGAAGTACTAGTTCGGCGCATCTACCGTGCCACTGTCCCATCAAAGAATGGTATAGTCAACGTAGCTGTCGGGCCGGGTGACGACGACGTAGTCAATGATATAGATTGAGTCCAGGGATGAGAAATTGAGGTAGGCGCTATCCATCGAGAGGCGCTGATACACTTCTTATATATACTCTGTAGGATGTAGGAGACGAAAGATGCCTTCAAGGACACAATAGACAATAACAAGAGCAAAGGAAAGGAGGATTTGATTAAAAGACAAAAGAAAACCCTTATGACATACATCAACACGACAGACACACACAAGGCCCGATGTGAATTCCAGCCCATCCCATACAAACTAGACGCGCAGGATAATCCGAACGAGGCCAGCATCCAAACATCGCATCTACTACTGCCGTGACTCCGTTACAATACCCTCGTAATCGCGAGACCGAATGTACTCCAGGGTGCGGTGGAAATGGCGTTGCGGGCCATCGAGACTAGGGTTGGGTTCACTCTCCGTAGTTTGCAGGTTGGAGTGGATGAGCTCAATGAGGCCATTGAGGTACTTGGTAGTGACGGTCTCGTTCTGCTGGTCGAAATAGTAGACGTAGCGGTTGAGGATCTCGACGAAGAGCTCGACGGAGACGGCGGTGTCCATGCAGGCGTCGGCGACGCGGAGGGCACGCTGGAGGCATTCGAGGACTCGTTTGCCATCACGGTAGAGCTGGGGATGAGGGTTAGATCCAGAAATTGAAAGGAAGGAAGATGGGCAGGCTTACGTTTTTAGGATCTTCTTCCCCACGCTGCGGATTCTCGACTATCCACCACAAGTGGCTCGCCAAATACACGGCGCGACATTGGTCGGGCTTCTTGAGGAGCTTGCTGCCATGGAGGGCGGCCTTGGTGATAAGCGTGTCGTAGTTCTCCTTTGAAAAGCCGCGTGTGCCGTGCAGAGCTGCCGCGAGGATACAGACGGCCTGGAACTGGGCGCGCGAGTCGCTAATCGCATCTTCGTAGATGGTGAATGCCTGCGCAAAGAACTCGTAGCTGACTTCCTCAAAGCCGGTCTGGTCCGCAACTTCACCGCACATCACAAACAGGCGGAGAGATAGATCTGCGCAGCCTGGATTGACACGCTGGTACAGATTGTTGATGCACTGGTGCATGAATCGGTAGAGCGCAGATGATTGCGACTGCCAGTTGTCATCGTAGTGCTCGCGCGACTTCAGTTTTCGCGCTAGGCGAATTGACGCTGTCACAATGGCTGGGGTGGTGTAGCGGATCCGCTCATTGCCATCGTTATAGGCCTTGCGCGTGTCTTGCAGAAGCTGTGGGGAACAAGATCAGTGGATATTCATGGTAAAATGATAGGGCAAGCTCCTACCTTGAGTTGTGTGCCGTTGTCTGGAGACTGGATCAAATGTACTAATCTTGCAAGCCATCCTTGTTCCTCGATTGTCTCATCGGTCTCGCCTCCTCGCCGCTGTGTCTGCATCCCGGGGTATCCAGCAGCCTGCTGCAGTCCCTCCTTGATCAAAACCTTCACCGCCTGGAGCACCCGGTCAAGATTCTCCGTGGTCGAAATGAGGGTCCTGTTCTTGAGGATACTCCGGATAATCTCGCCAGCGATTCCTCTCCGGGTGGGATAAGATTGTGAAGACAGGAGTGGTACGTAATGCGGCAGTGCCAATGCTGTGAAGATCGAAACGTAAGAACGAAGCGGAGCACCGAGTAGATGAAGGATGTGCTGTTGTGTTGGTGCAGAGTGAAGATCGGCGTGATCAGTGTATTCATTTGTCTTCTGGGTCGCAAAGTCCAGGACCTGGTCGACATATTCCAAATGATCCGGGTAAATGTTCAGCGCGAGATTGACGAGCGACACCAAAAGTGCCATAGTGTCTTGGATTGGTAATGCGCGCGTCTTGATCAAGTCGACCACCTGGTTGTAAAATATATCGTACAGTTTGATATCTGCGGGAATGCCGGGCTTCGGGCTGTCTTCACCTCCATTTGCGACTTGATTGTCTTCTTTCGACGCATCCGCCGCGTTGTCACCCTCCTTGGAAGGCCCTTCGGCGCCATTTTCTTGGGCGGCACCGCTTGCAGCAGCATCCTCGGCAGACTCTGGAGCTTTGGCTTTGGCCTTGGTTTCCTTATCAAGCTCAAGTTTCTGAAACAGTCGAGCAACTGCCTCTTCCTCATTTTGTTTCCGTTTTTCCGGCTCAGCAGGTGCTTCTGATTCCCGCGCGGCAAACGAAGAAAGACGATCCATCAACCCGATGACAATCTTCTTGAGATCGACATGTGGATGGAGTTTGGCAATGGCGGATAGCAGAAGGTCCAAGGTGTGAAGATGGAATTCATCCGGGAATACCTTCGTGATGACTGTTGGACAAGTTAGTAAAGACAGGTGAATCAAACACAAAGTTCATTGCGATTTCGCACCTTCCAGCAGATATTCTTGCGCCAAGACATCCCGACATTGCACCACTTGTTCCAAGAGTGCTTGCAAGATGCCAGACTTGTATCCTTCGAGATCCACCAGTTGACTGAGTCGGACAATGTTGCTGCCCACGAGCAGTTCGAGCTCGCGCCGCTCCTGGATCCGCCTGTCCCGTTCTCTGGAGGGACCCTGGTGTTGCAGCCGAACCCAGAGCTTATTCATTTCCACAAAATTTGTCAGGACAAAGTTGATCGAGTCCTGGAGGTTGCCTTCGGGCCCATCACCATTCCCTAGGGGCAGATAATCTCTGGCTTGGCCGGACAGGTAATATCGCAGGAATAGACCCCGGATCGGATGCTGGACACCGCGACTCATCTCCATCATATCCTTCATGATCTCTTTGACCGGCGCATCCTCAACCGACATGTACACGGTTCCCACGGTGATCATCAGGTAGAGGCGGGGGACGATATTGCCGGCATACTGGACCAGTTCGTAGAGGTCGGCTAGGTGATTGACGGGGTGGTTCTCCTTCAGGTAGACGGATAGGTGTCGCAGCGCGTCGAACACAGCCATGTACAGCTCATAATACTGTTTCGGTCCAAGGCTTGGGGTTCGCAGTTCGGAGACGAGCGTTGATCTGTAACAATCACGAGCGGTTAGCACACAACCCGAGGTCGCTGCCTAGGGTTACGGAGTGGCTCACCCGCACTTGAGCGCATCCATGAGCTTGCCAGGAGTCTCTAAACATTTGCGCATCATGCCTGATTGCTGGCGCACCACCCCCAATGCCTCCTCGAGGAGGCGGTTCTGGTCCTCGGGGACGGGAGGTGGGCTCGCCATCGTGGAGCGGGAGGGAGTGAGGGGGGAATTGGAGTGGCGTGGCAGACGCAGGCGGGAGACGGAAGAATAGTAGAGACTAGGGCGCAGGAACGCGGAATATCACTGGTTCAATTCATGAGCGAAGGCAAGGGATAAAGGAAGAAGAGTAAGTTGGGGGTTGGAAGGGCGGAGGTTACAAAAGCAAGTCGGTGACAGCATCAGCCGGAAGGAAAGGAACGCCGATCGTTCACTTGTTCCCTCTCCACACCACCACAACACAACAACCATCCACTTAACTAACCACATTCATCCCTATCATAGCCTCAGATTTGCCATATTCTCCTCTAAGCGAGCCCCGAGGAAGAATTTACTCTTGCCGGACCGGATACTATCCGGGTGCAATTGAACATTGACGGTGAGGATCCTTGATTTGAGAATAGGGGCTGTAATATGCCCAAAGCCGTAGGAGATCCAACTCAACCAATGGCCTCGGAAGGCGTTGCTGTGGAACGACGTGCACGGTGTCGCGTGCGAAGACGCTATAACTTCACTCATTTAAAGGGCAGGTGCCGTCTTTCGTGGTATACCGAGTACCAGAGCTAAGGTCGAGGTGCGACGGGAGGCATCTAGATTATAGATTATTATATCTTACTGTCGCCAAGCGTAGAGCGCTCAACTAGGAAGAACTGTTTGGGTCAATCTTGACACCCTGGGGTAGCATAGGCCATTCTGTCCATGGATAAACGGACGGGGTTGGCAGTCCCACGACTGCCACTGTACTAAGAAACCGAGGACATTCCGATATCGTCAATTTGATTCTCATTCTATTCATGTAAACATAACAGTCTAACCTAAGTCATTTCAAAACGAATAACCATGTTCCGCGTCCAGTCTATGTAATTCTGTCTCGAACAAATAAAAAAGAGAAACAATCTGATGTCAAGAATACACATGTGGAAAGTAGGTGATAAACAATTCGCCTCCTAGTAAGTAACGCCAACCCCAGATGCATGTCCATGGCGAAGACCGGGGGCGTAGATGAAGTCGTCAACAGAGCCGTGTTGTGTCGCATGCCGAAAGATAAGAAACCCATTTATCATTTGTCATTTGGTGTCATTTGGTCATTCAATTTGTGCAGTGTGTCTTGTCGCAGTACCGACAAGAAGTCATCTCTTCATTCTCCAGACAGCCGGCTTTAGTAGCTGAAAGGAGTGCTCCAGACCGGAGTCGAGCTGGGAGTCGCCGAGCTCGGGGTCATCGAAGAGACGCTCGGAGAGGGAGTCCAGTCGCGACGAGCGAGCGGAGTAGACGTGACAGGCACCGTCAGACTCGAAGGAGTCGCCGAGGAAGAAGGAGTGGAAGAAGAGTAACCCCAGTTCCACTGGCGGCGTTCGAGAGGAGTAGATGCGACAGGCACCGTCGCACTCGAAGATGGAGTCGCCGAGGAAGAAGGCGTGGAAGAAGAAGAGTAACCCCAGTCCCAGTCACGACGCCAGAAGGACGAGCCGGTAGGAGTCGGCACGGCGCTGCTGCTGCGCCCAGAAGAGGCAGCGGGCCACTCGCGCATGATGCGGTACAGTGGAGTCGAAGTGGGAACCACAGACGACGAAGGTGAAACTGAAGAAAGAGGCGAGCGGGATGGGGTGGGTGTCACAGTCACGGTTTGAGTCACTGTGTCTGTGGCCTCGGGGTCGGCAGATGAAGGTGTCGAAGTCGGAGTGGTGTTGTCGTCGACGTTGACTACCTTGTAAGGCACCTTGCGGCGGGCGAGATCTCCATTCTGCTGGTTGGAGAGAGGGGCAGCGGAGGTGAGGACGCCCAGAGTAGAGAGAGCGAACACAGCTGTGGCGGCGAAGTGCATTGTTGTGTGGTGGTGTTGTCGATGTATGTTTGTAGATCGAAGATATGGGATATGGATGGAAGAGTGGATGGAATGGACGGAATGGAGGGATGGAAGAATGGATGGAATGGAATGGAGATTTGACGGAGAGAAGAAGAAGAAGAAAAGATTTAAATGTGAATGCCCAAGTGTTGTGTCCCGGTGGAGTGATTATGGATCTCAATAGATTTGCGTGCAGAGGCTGGGATCGACGGGTGGCTGGGAAGGCGCTAAACCCCGATCGGGGAGTGGTTGTGGCTGGCCGGTGGATCGTTGTCACACACTTATTGATCCTGTGGCAAATCATGCCTGGCAGTTGTTGATCTAAATGGCCAAGTCCTCTACCCGCACCAGTCCACATCCCAGTGCCGCGCTGGCCCACGCCGCGCACGCTTGGTTCGGGTTCCACCCCAGCGCGGTGACGTGTGTCCCTTCCTCGTGGATGGTCGCCAGGAGGACCCCATCCACCAGCTTGCTATCGCCCGCCAGGTTACGCGACAAGTTTTGTCGTTCGGCCTGGAATCCGTCATAGAATTGGCTGACCCCTGACCCCTCTTTCTGTGGGCCCTGAACCCAAGTGTGTTTGAACCAGGTTTGCTGCAGTTGCTGCTCCTTGGCGTACAAGAGTCGGCGGAGTGGGTTGGTGGCTACCACTTCGCCTCCGGCTCCACCATACATGACGCAGGGGTGCCAGGGACTACACGGGGTCATGGTCGAGACCGTGCTTGGCATTTTGGCGATGTAATTGGTGTTGAAAAACCGGCGCAGAGGAAGGATCCGCGCGAATTCATTCTCGTCGCTGGAGAAAAAGCTCTGCAGCACGGGGGAATAGCTGAGGTGGCTGGAGGCGACCCGCATGCGACCCGTCATGACGACCTCGGCCTGGGGGTCGAGGAGGGACCAGTATCGAGTCTCGCCGTCCATGCCGATGGTGGTCAGCGTCTGTGGGTGGGTCGGGTACGCCGAGACTATGTTCAGGATGTAGGTGACGTGAATCGGACGGTACATGAGCGGCAGGGTCTCGGAGTGCGCGATATTCCAAACGCCCACGAAGCCATTGGCACACCCCACGGCGATATCACTGGGGGAAAGCCAGGTGACACAGGTACAAATCGTCGACGGCGGTTTAGCCTCGAAGACGGGCGAATGGATCTGAACTGTAGTGGGTTGTTAATACACCGAAAAGGTTCAAAAGGCAGGATTCCTACCGAATTCGGTCCCCGTGTGACCCCGTCGGATCCGGATATCCAACACTCGCACTCGACCATCCCCCCATACACTAGCCAACAATCCAATGGACTGGGTATTGCCCTTTTCATCCTCTTTCCGTTGGTCCCGGCCAATCGGACACCAAGAAATGCGTCGTAGATCCCCCCAATTAGAACACAAGGCAAGTCGTAGCCGCGGTTTGGAGCTCATGTCAAGCGTTGTGGTCGGGGTGTCACTTTGCTTCGCTTTGAACTCCCATAGCTGGAGCGCGGCTGGATAGGAATATGATGGTTGAAAGGCCGAGGCAGATACACCTTCCCCAGAGACAGAGTCTTTCTTCTGCTCCTCAGTAATGGGTGCAGCCACAGCCAGGTACTGGTTCAGTCCGTCTTGGTTGGGTGCCCACGCGGACGAAATGACTCTCTGTCCGAGGTTGAGCATCCAGCCTTCTCGAATCTTGGTGCCGGACTTGGTTTCTCCCCAGAACTGGCCAAAGTCTTGAGCTTCGTGATGGCCCAGTTCCAAAACGTGTTGTTCCTCAGCGGGGCCCACGAGAATCGTATGCTTGCCTTTCTTGGGTTGCGGCAAATAAACCCGGCGGGCAACTGCCTCCTTGATCGTCTCGACGCGCTGTCGTTTGCGAAATCGTTCGCCAATTTCTTTGTCGTAGTACCAGTCCCATGCAGTCGTGCGCTCTCTTTTGACCTCCTCTGGAGTCACGCCAAGTGTGGCTCCGCATCCATAATCAGGCATGGAGCCTGCCTTGTCCAGAGTCTCACGAGTGGGCAGGCCAGAGTCCACACCGGAATACCACCGGTCCCGGGAATAGACTGCAGTCAGGGCATCGCGCTCGTCCGTACCAAAGGCCATGGTGTAGTGCATCCCCTTGGAGACATGGTCGCTGGGGGCCAAGATACCTCGCATGTGGGTTTCAGAAACAGCTGGCGCGACTGTGCCATCTGGTCTGCGCTTTTTGTGATATCGAGGACGAGAAACCACGCGTTCTTTTCTTGGGGTTTGCACAGTGGGCTCATCTTCTTCCTCTTCCTCCTGCTCCTCCTCCTCTTCTTCTTCATCGTTGCCGTCTTCTTCGGGCTCGTCGGTGCCTTCTCCACCAGACACCGCCATAAACTCATCATCTGAGGGAGACTCATCCTTGCGCCTGCGCCGTCTGGGAGCAGCCTTGGTGGCAGTGGCACCTTCAGAGTCTGAGGGGTCACTGAGCCCGGCAGACGCGAATGGATCTTCCGTGTAGACGGTCCGGGCCCCCGACTGGCGACCCGACCGGCGGATGGAAGGCATCGTCGCTCATATAAACACCAACCTAGCGATCAAGAGACCAAGTTGAACATGGGGATCCAAATGAAGCTGTGCAGGTTGGAAGAGTTGAGCTCCAGCCCTGGCTTAGTATGCGCCCGCACTAGACCGGATGCGGTTAGCGTGACATCTATACACTTCCCAGGTTGTTTTGGCTCTTTTTTTCTCTCTTATCCTTGTTATTGTTCTATTTTTGTTATTCTTTCGGTTATTATAGAGTGGAGTCGGTAAAAATACTAATATACATGCTACCTCCTCATCATCACTTCTTTGGAATCAGCTCGGAAAGGATCTCGTCCAGATGCGCGTGGAGCGTAAAATGCGTGTGATCCGCATACACCTTCAACACACAATGTGGCAGCCGCTCCGCCATATACCGCACCATGGCCACCGGAGCATTGTAATCCTTTGCTCCATGCCACATCAAGATTGGGTCGTATGTCACATCCTCAAACGGAATTCCCCAGTCCTGAGTGAGCAGCTTCGCCTCGTCCACTGATGCATCCGAGCCCTGCGCAAACCCCTCAAACATCATGCGCAGCGTTCGCTGTCTTCTCTCTTCAACGCTCCGTCCATTCTCCTGTTCTTTTTTGGATATAGATTTTTGAATGGAGTTATCCAACCATCGAGTCACGGTGCGAGTGGCCAACACTTTCCGCAGCATCCACACCGACAGATCCAATAACCATCTCAACGCTGCAGGCCAATAATGCGCCGCCTGTGCTGTCACCCGATACAGCAGCGGCATATGATGTGCCCCAGCCTGCCACGGCCCAGCGCCAGCCATGATCCCCACTCCCGACAACATATCTGCTGGAAGCCCATGTGCGCATGCAAGCGCATATGGCGCACCACCAGAGCCACCGAGGACGGCAAAGTGGGCAAGACCCAGATGGCCTGCAAGAGCCTGGACATCAGCGGGCCAGTCCAAGATGTGCCGGTGTGCTTGGACAGTGGACAGCCCGAAGCCAGGGCGATCGGGGGCAATAACCCGGATCCCAAGCTGTTGCGCGATCTTGTCTATACCCTGGCCTTCCAAACGTGAAGAGGGATATCCGTGGAACCACATCAGCGGGAGTCCTGTCGCGCAGCCGTATTCGGCATACCCCAGCTGCCTCTCGTCGGGGAGATGGATGGTCTGGCCATCTTGTGGTTGGGAGGTCGTATTTGTTCGTCGGGATGTGGTCAGTGGGAGAGCAATGGGTTTCCCTGTGGTAAGGGAGACGATTCGTCGTTTGGTTATCTCCATTTCTGGTGCGGAGGTTGGATGTATTGGGGTCGGGATCAGCCGCCTTTCTGTAAGAATTGCGCTTGGACATGGATGGGGCTGTGCCGTTTAGCCTTACTGCAACAAGGAACACAGCGAATATCTAGTAGCTGCTCAGTAACTTCACCAAAAGAAGCATAAATCAAGAAGTCCATTATTAGTTATCAACCACATCAACCCACTAGATAAGGTAAATTAATGGGTGGACAGACTCAACCGCGTGGTCCACTTGTACGAAGTATGACCTAGTCTTTCTATCTAATCATTTGAGGTTTATTTTTGGTCAATAGGATCTTCGGTAAGGCTGTCCTGAGAAGAACAAGTATAGCGCAGACGTCGTTTGAATTGGAGATAAGTAGTAGTTAATAGGGACATTGGCCCATTCTCGCTTGGCAAAAGCCTGACAATTCCTAATGACATATCTTCCTTCTCCCTACTGCTTCAAATTATATACATGAGGGGAAATGACGGAATAGAGCCTCTGCAAATTTAGTGCCGGTAGTGGTACACCCCCAAGTGTAATCACGTATATCGGTAATAAGCCCAGCTCCCACATAGTACTTCGCACTGTTAGAAGCATAATTAGGGATGCTGTTCAGATATGTAGCAATCCGATCTTCCATATTAACCTGGGAACCAGAGAATTGTGCCACCTGACACCACAGAGACGAGCCTACTGGGAAGCCCGGGAGCAAAGGAATATGCGTTAACGTTGCGTAGTCGGATCGTTTCACTTTGAACGCGAACCTACTGACATCGCTTGAAATGTCAAGCTTCAACTCTTACATATTATCGTTGATGAGAGTTCCTCACGTAGACTACTTGCGTATAGATTGACCTAACGTAACCCAAAGTGGAGCCCGACACGACCCCAACCGTTTATCTATGGCCCACCTCAATCTAGCTTCGTTCTTTCTACATACACCAGCACTATGTCCTCCTCAGCAGCTAATCGCGGATTATCACACCGCGGGGTCCTCCATGAATATGTATGACGTTCGCTTGACCCGCCGGGAAGAATGACAAGCTAATGGAATGCCCGTTAGGCTCCCCGCCTCGTAGCATTCGAGTTCGCCTCGCCCGCCGAAACAGGCAATAAACAGAACAGCCTCATCTTCATCGGCGGTCTCACCGACGGATTCTGCACCGTCCCTTACGTCTCCAAGCTTGCCGAAGCTCTGGAGGAGACAGAATGGTCGCTCTTCTCGATCCTGCTCTCTTCATCCTACGGCGGCTGGGGCGTCGGCAGTCTCGACCGCGACGTCGAGGAGATCGCGCAGTGTGTGCGGTACATTCGGGACCTGAAGGCTTCTCGGTTGCCGAGGGCCCCGTCGAAATCGGGCAAGATTGTGATCATGGGTCATTCGACCGGCAGCCAGGATGTGCTGCACTATATCTACTCAGCTAACCCGCTTCTGGCCAACGAATTGCAGAAGGGCGTTCAGCATATGGCCCGGCCAGAGCTCGATGGTGCAATTCTGCAGGCACCGTGTTCGGATCGAGAGGCGTTTATGATACACATGGAGGCATCGGCTGAGTCGCATACAACCCGAGCTGTTTTTGACCAGCTTGTCAATTTTGCACGGACCCAGCCGTACACCGAGGACAAGAGTGACTCCCTGCTTCCGTTGAATATGACTAGCAAGCTCGGATTACCGCCTGATCCGGTCAGCGCTCGGAGATTCCTGAGTCTGGCAAGCCCGGATAGTCCCGCGAACCCGTCGGAAGATGATCTCTTCAGTTCGGACTTGAGTGACGAGCGCTTGAAGCAGACTTTCGGAATGATTGCAACCCAGGGGATCATGCGATCCAAGCTTATGGTGTTGTATTCGGGCGAAGATGAGTATTGTCCAAAGTGGGTGGACAAGGAGGAGTTGCTTCAGAGGTGGAAAGCAGCCGCGGAAGCTGGTGGTGCTTCTTGGGATGCGGAGAACAGCGGGATCATTGCTGGCGCAAGCCACAATGTCAAGTCGATTGGCCAGACGGAATTGGTTGAGCGGGTGCTACGCTATCTGCAGAGTCTATGAATGGAGCTCCCGGATGAAGAGAGATAGGAATTCGCCGTTAAATCACAAATTAAGGAGGAGAAAGATCAAAACACCACCCCAACAGGGTACAATCGAAGAGACAAAAGAAAATCGAAGATCGGGGGGTATATGACCGAGTTAGAGATCAACCCGGCTCGTAATAATCACACAAAGCTCAAACCTTCAGCCAGAGGTTCAGCACGCCCTTGAGGTATTCGACAATCTCCGAGCCACCCAGCTTGCTCTCCCCGTAAAGCCGATCCACAAAAGTAATAGGACACTCTGCCACCTTGTACCCCATGGCCTTCGCCCGCACCATCATCTCCATCTGGAAGCTGTATCCCTTGCTCTCGGTGCTGGTAATCACCTTCTCCAGAACACTCTTCTTGTACAGTCGGAAACTGCCGGTCAAGTCACTGACACCGGGCATCAACATGACATCCGCGATGAGGTTGGCCGTGCGCGAGGTGAACTTGCGGAACAGATCCCATCCGTACACGCCACCCTTGATGTCCCCGCGGTTGGCGTAGCGCGTGCCCGTCACGATGTCCGCATCCGTCTCCAGCTGGATCCTGATCATCTCGGGGATGAACTTCGGGTGGTGGCTGAAATCGGCGTCCATGATGATTACGAAGTTGCCCGTTGTGTATTTCAGACCGTGGATGTAGGCGGTACCTAGACCCAACTTGCCTTCGCGGGGCTTCAGCACGATGTGCTCGGGTCCGTAGAGTTTCTGGAGCTGCTTCGCGATGTCAAGGGTGCCGTCCGGGGAGCCGTCGTCGACCACGATGACCTCCCAGTCGAGTTTTCTGTAGTGAGCGATGTTAGTTGTGCAATTGGGTCAGAAAGTGGGAGGAAGTTGTCCGTACTCCTCGTTGAACGTCCTCTGGATCAGCCAGACAATAATAGGGAGGTTCCGACGCTCATTGTAGGTGGGCAGGATCACCGAGTACTTGTTCTTGGTGGCGATCATCTTGGAATTGTGCTTTACTCAAACCAACACCCAATGGGCAAAACAAAAGAGACAGAGTGGAATGGCGTCCAGGGAAGAATCGAAGAATAATAGGGAGCTTACTTAGTCCCAGTCCGCCAGCTTGCCAGTTGCGGCCAGACCCACCGCTGACCGCTCCCGGCAGAAACGGGGCCTTATCACGCGCATCGGAGCAGGACAAACAGACAAACACATCCATTGCTCGTCGGGCAACATGGACTCGGTCTCGACAAAACACCATCGCAATGCCTCCAGGTGTAAGAGTGTTCCTGTATAATGATTCTGTCTGGAATCCTAATTAACGCCTTTCCAGCTTCACGGCCTCGGAGTGCCACCCGCGGCCCGTTAGATGGAGCAGAACAGTAAGCCATGAGCTCTGGAATTAGATCACTAGCATCACAGACAAGCTGACTCTGGCCAGCCCACTTTCCCCCACCTTGCCCGCTTCTCCCGCTTCACCACTACGACTATTGCCCAGTATCGATGACTTTTCGGGGGATACATTCCACGAGTTGGATCCGCTGGCCCCCGATGATCTCCCAGAGACCTTAGGAAAGGATCTTTCCTTCCTTCTCCGACCAAACATCTACCATACACTATCTCCTATTGATATCCCGTCACCCCTGCGCTCCGAGTTTATCGTCTTGAATCCAGGCGAGCCGCTCTCCGCATCTCTGAGCGTCCTCGAGAAACTGCTAGCGGAGGGCCGGTTCCTCATCGCCGCGCATTTCGCCGGCGCCATCTTGACTTCTTCTCTGATGACGCCGACGAATATCAAAATGATTTTTGCCCTGTTTTATTCACGGCTTGCCTCCCTGGAACTGTCGGGAAATGCACTTCTCGCAGCACAGGAATCCAAGGCCCTGGAGGATCTAAACTCGAGCTTTTACTACATTGATTCCAACTTTGATAAATCGGAGACGGAAAAGGAGCGCCATCATCCCGTCGAGCATTACCTGCGCCATATCGTCCCTTGGCCACTCAGAGTTCTAGCTGTGAGGCTGCAGAGCATCGGATTTGGTGATTCCCGCAGGAGTATTGGTGGGTTATATGAGATTGGCCTCGAAGCACGGAGAGAAATTATGAGGAGCGATATTCCCGAAGCAGAAAGAGAAATCTGGAGACACAGACTAGCAGATCTTGGCCTTCGGAGCGTCAATGCGCTGGTGGAAATGGGCGATCTAGATGCGGCGAAAAGGTCACTCGATAATCTGCGGGATTCCAGTCCAGAGACCAACATGACCAAAATGAGAAAGGCGCTTCTGTTGCTGCGGATTGGGGATATAGATGCGGCCAGCAAGATTTTCAGTGCCGAGGACCAGTCCTCCAGAGAAGCTGCTCTGCTCCGGCCGCTCTTGAGTATGGCGGAGGGTCGCTATCCCACCGCAGTGGAGGAATGGCGGGCTCTTCAGCAGGAGGGAACTCGGACGGATGACGCGCTGGTCGCTCAGAACCTGGCAGTGTGCCTCCTGTACACGGGTCGACTGGATGAGGTATGTTGTACTCCCAAAACTGCTCCTGGGGCTTACTGACATACCCTAGGCTCGCGTGCTCCTTGAATCTCAAGTGTCGGCCAATCACTCCTTTAGCAGCTTGGTCTTCAACCTGTCGACGGTCTACGAGCTCTGCTCTGATGGCGCGAGTAACTTGAAAGGGCAGCTGGCTGCCTCCATCGCCCAACAGCCCGTGTCCGGGCACACGAACCTGGATCGGCCGAATGCGGATTTGAAACTATGATACTCGCAATGAAGATTTTGGTGGCCTGGGGCTCTCTGTAAAAATGCCGTTATGGTGATGATCTATTTATTCATGAAGACACAACCCGTGCTAAGAATATAGCTGCTCCCAAGAACAGCCCGATGCTTATCAACCATATTCAAAAACACACTGAAGAACCACCAAATACGCCTTACTCCTCTTCAATTATGCGAAAGTAGAGCATGAGATGCTCCTCTGCAGTCCGCAACCTCTATGATCCATCCGTCTTTCTCGGCAGTGGTCCTGGCGGAGGCCGTGGTTTGGGCTTTCGAATGATAATCCGGTCTCCTTCTCTCTGCCAGCCCAGCTTCTCCGTGTCGACCAGTTTCTCCCACGTCCAGCTTTGGTCGTTCCCCGTACAGCCACCCAATACCCAGCTGATCGGGACGCTGAGATACGCACTTCCCACAGCTTTGAGAGCATGCCTCCGAACTCGATCCACGGCCCAGTCCAGCACAGCTCGGATATAGGAATCAACACTCTTGCGGATTTGCCAAAAGACTATCCAATTGTCGTGCATCAGTGCGCGCAAGACGTCATCAACAGTCTGGGACTGGAATCCATGCTCGCGACGTGCCTGTGCGCGCAGCTCAAAGGCCGCTACCATGTCGCTCTGCCGACAGGCATAATCGAGAATGAGATATGAGACCAGCTCCTTGATCTCCGAGTCGGGCAGTGGATGTGAGGGGGAGTGCAGCTTGTCGAGGACGTGGCGCAGGGACGGGAAGTAGGATGGTGGATGTTGGGTGAGGATGGATAGGCGGATTGAGAAGACATGAACGCGCTGGGAGAAGGCGATGGGGGTGGATGCGGCCGTGGCTAGGAGGGCTTCTCGGAGCTTGCGGAGGGACAAGAGGAGGGTGGACAGCTCTGCCGAAGGTGGCGGGACACCCTTTTCGGTGGAGGGTTTTGTTTTCGTCTTTGCGGGCTGCGCGGCGGGCGGGTTGGAAGTTGCATCTGCCGAAGGACTGGTGGGCAGCGAGGCCAGTGCGGCATCCAGGTGTTTGGCGTGGCGGGCGCAGAAGCTCATGTATCGCTCGACAATCTTGTCAAAGTAGTCCTGCTGGGCTTTGTGGTCGAGCAGTTTCTTGTCGCCCTTGGACACAAACCCGACACTCTCCAGGGAATCTGCGATCGGCCGCAGCCGGCTGCCCTGGGTCTTTGGCTGCTGCATTGGTGAAGAAGGAAGAAACCACCGTATCGTTATCGGGCTATCTAACTATCGTGTTTGCACTGTTTGCCCAGCCGGGACCGAGGTTTTGCCTGTTGTGCCCCAACGAAGAACACATGCCCCAACTGTTGTATGATTTCCCTGTTTTATAGCCTCTGATACCCCCCTTTGCACTCTCTCCACGCTCCTCGCCAACTCACCAGCTGCTGTGCGTGTCCGATTCTCCGCAATTCCACCAATTTCCAACTCGCCTGCAACAGCCCTACTACGACGTTGCATGTGAGCCATGGCCCGTCAACGTCGTCCAGAGCGCAAGGACTCTGACCAGTCTACCGCTATCGCCACGGAGGTCCTGGAGACCCCGCCCAAGGTCGTCCGAAGGCTGCTGCATTGGGATGATCTACCGGCCTGGCAGCGCGACAACCAACACATTCACACGGGCTATCGGCCGCCGTCGTCCTCTTTCATCGCCTCGTTCCAATCACTTGGCTACCTTCACAATGAAACCGTCAACATATATTCTCATTTATTGCCGGGATTGATGGCCGTACCCGCGGCATATCAATTGCACCGCTCTCTCGCGCCGCGTTACCAGACAGCTGCGGATTCGGACATTGCTGCCTTCATATGCTTCTTCGCCGGCGCGGCTTTCTGTCTGAGCATGTCTGCGACCTACCACACGATCTCCAACCACTCACCTGCTGTTGCTCGGATAGGCAATGGCCTCGACTACCTCGGGATCGTGGGGCTCATCGTGGGCAGTTTTATCCCGAGTGTTTTCTACGGATTTTACTGCGTTCCCGACCTCCAGCAACTTTACTGGACCATGATCTGTACTATCGGAGCGGGCTGTGCCTGTGTCTCGATCCTTCCACAGTTCCGCACGCCTCGCTGGAGACCGTTTCGGGCGACCATGTTCGTCGGAATGGGTCTGTCTGCCGCCTTTCCTGTCCTCCATGGTCTTCAAAAGTTCGGGTTTGCTCGCATGCGGCAGCAAATTGGTCTCGAGTGGTTACTCCTCCAGGGCTTTCTGTATATTCTCGGCGCATCAATCTACGCAGCCCGAGTGCCGGAGCGCCTGCGGCCGGGTAAGTTTGACATCTGGGGTAGCTCCCATCAGATCTTTCATGTGTTAGTGGTCTGCGCAGCGGTGGCCCATCTGACAGGCTTGCTCAAGGCCTTCGACTATCGGCACAGCGGGACGGCCGAAATGTGTCAGATTCCACGCAGCTGAGCCGGGACCCTCTTTAGAAGGCCGCGCACAGCTACCGGGGGAGGTTGGACAGCATACTCATGGCAATTAGAATAGCATGAAATGAAACATTTTCACACTGTAGTGTATGTGGCGCGATCGCCTCTTCGTTGGACTCGAGGGACCCTGCTGACGAGGACCCGGACTTTCGAGGTCGGCGTGTGCGACGATGACCGCGCGATGCCTCAGAACGCAGCTGTGAAGCTCTGTAAAGAACTTGATCGGGTCAACGGAGGCCTTTTTTTTGTCTATATTTTCACATGGCAGAGGCCGGCGAGGGTTCTCCCTCGCCAGGAGCCAGACTTGTTTATTTTACTTTCGTTTACGATGTTGCATCACAGTGTGTGACGCCAGCCTGGGACCTTGAGCGTCGAGTTCGTGCGCCGCCTCCTATCACGAGCTGCACAAAAATAGGAAGACCAGCCAAGCAGATCCGTCAATGCATCAGTAGGAGGGGACCTTTTGCTTCACCTCTCATGCGCAGTGGATCAGATGGAGAGTCTGGGGTTTCACAGCGGCTGACACGGTTTATGCGGCTGTCGTCGGGTCCCAGGAATCCGAATGTCAGAGTGACATTGTTTCTGCCATGGGCGTTAGAGCTTGAACTTAGTCCTGGTTTATATACGGAGCGGACGGTCATCACAGTCATCCAAGAAATGAAGCTCCTCGAGACCCGTCAATCATCATTTCGGTCTTGCTTCTCGGAAAGTCGTTGACTATCGGTCCGATGCTGGCTGAGCCGTATGGCAATCCGTACCTGGCGCGTGATGCACCGAAACTGCGAACTGCGTGTGAGAACTGCCGACAATCCAAGGTGAAGTGTAACTTATCCGGCAAGAACGCCTGCACCCGGTGTCTACGCCACGGCCTGCAGTGTCAGTACGGATTCGCCAACCGGTCCGGCAAGCCGAAGGGCAGCAAAAACCGAGCCACGCTCCGGAAATTGGGTCAGCTTCAGGAAGAAAAGTCGGGTTGTAGATTCCGTTCGGGACGAGGGTCTGGGCCGGTGGCTGATATGGAGCCACTCGTTCCAACGGTCTATACGGGCCGATTTTCTGAGCCGCTCGACGATGATGTTAGTTTTTTCATTTCTTTCTTCTGCTGTCTTGTTTATCCATGCTAAGTCAGGATTTTTTAATAGGTGTGTTTGATGTCAGGCCAGTCGGGGTTGTGGGAAAGCTCACGAAGCTTCGACAGTGCCGCAACGCTCGAGACATCTCTCTGCCCTGGGCAACTGAGGCCCGAGACGCTACAGAGGCTGGATGGCTCAGCGTTAGCCGATGTCATGGATCCCAGCTGCGCATCTCCCCCTGCTGGATTTGAATATCCCAATACCCCTGCCACGCCCACGTTCTTATCCCAAAGTTCCATGACTGCCAAAACTTCTGGTCTGTCACTGGTGGACTCAATTTCCTCTTCCTATCTCCAGCCACCATGCGAGTGCGTGGAAAGGCACCTGTTCCACATGGACCGGCTCAGCCATCTGGTCGCTCAGCCGGTTCCGCTGCGATTCGACCACAGCCTGCAGGCTATCAGGACCTCTTTCTATGCTTGCCAAATGTTCTTGCAGTGCAGCAAGTGCGCCAAAGATAGCTCGAATTTACTCCTGACGATCTCGGCCCTCAATCTCACGTTACAGTTGTTCGAGTATTGGGTGTCGCAGGAGACATCTCGGACCTCGCGGCCGGACAGCGGACCCGGTCTTCGCTATGGATACTATGAGATCGGCTATGAAGAGAACCGGCAGATCCGCAAATTTCTCATCCGGGGCCTATTACTGCAATGCCGGAGTGTACTATCAGCGTTGAAGGTCGCCATCAACTCAGCCTCTCTTTTATCACCAAAGACGGTCGATGGTGAGAGATCTACCGGGCCGACAACAACCGAGGACCGCATCGGCTGGATGTCATTTGGTGCAACAGTCCCGGATCTGGACCCCGATTTTCTGAACAGCACCCCTGGTAGCAGCTGTCTCTTGTCCATAGTCGTGGGCTATGAAGCAACGGTGGAGGCATTTTTGTATTCGATGTCGTCGGCAGATTGTATCTGTGGTGGCATGAGAAGGTAAATGGTCATGTAATTTGTCTACTTATAGGGGCGGACATTGTCGAATTCCAGACCGTACCACGATGTTGGGAACATAATCATATTGTGCACTTTCGAGAATTATTTACTACAGAAAGAAATACACAACGTAGTTTCTTTTGAGCGCATACATATCGCCGATTTGGTTCCCCACACTTTCGGGCCATGGGCGGGCCTCGGCACTTCCATCTCGAATCGCCGACAAACAACCAGAGCCTGTATAAATCCCTGGGCCCCGCACTTTCTCCCTCACGGATTTCTTATCCATCACACATACCCAGTACAATAATAATGGCTCCTCAAGACCGTATCGCCCAGGTGAACAAGCACCTCAACTACCCTGCCGGTGTGCTGGCCGGCCAGGTCGCCATCATCACCGGCGCGGGCCAAGGCATCGGAGCCGAGGCTGCGCGGCTATTCGCCAACGAGGGTGCAAAGGTCATCGTCGCGGACATTGATGCCAGTACGTGATTTCTTCCTGGACTTCGGTTAATCAAGCTCACTCCCAAATAGAGAAGGCCAATGGCGTCGCTGACGCCATCAACGCCGTCGAGCCCGGGCGCGCCCTCGCTGTCGTCGGCGATGTCCTGGACGCCAACTACATCAATGATCTAGTGAAGCGCGCTGCCGAGTTCGGTGGCGGTAAGATCCATATCATTGTGAACAACGCCGGGTTTACATGGGACGCAGTCGTTCACAAGGTTAGTCTTCGTCTCTAACATGGATACGTGTATGAACGCCATTTCTAACGGATCACCCGCAGATGACCGATAGGCAATGGGAGACGATGCTGGCAGTGCACAACACGGCGCCCTTCCGGCTGGTGCGTGCTGCGGCGCCTTACTTCCGCGTCAAGGACAAGGAGCCGCGCGTGATCATCAACATCAGTAGCACGAGCGGCATCCACGGCAATGCGTATGTTCCTTTCCCTGTCCCTCTCACCTATTTTTGCTCCTTCGGCTAAGCGAATGAATGAATGACAGCGGCCAAACCAACTACTCCGTCGCCAAAGCCGGTGTTGTCGGCCTGACCAAGACCATCGCCAAAGAATGGGGCCCTGCCTTCGGCGTGCGCTCCAACACCATCGCCTTTGGCTACGTGACTACCCGTTTGACGGCCGCCAAGGAGGCAGGTGCTTTTATTACCCAACCCGACGGCACCAAGGTGGCCCTCGGTATCCCCGGCAAGCAGCTTGACGCTAAGAATGGCTCCGATCCTAAGGCTGCCGAGGCTAACTCCTATCCGGATATCCCGCTGCGACGCCCGGCTAGCCCTGAGGAGGCGGCGAGGTCCATTCTGGGTGTTGCTAGCCCGTGGTTCTCGTATGTTAATGGGGAGACTATCCGGGTTACTGGTGGGCGGAATATGTAGATACTTGTGGTAGGGTACTACAAATTTATTGGTTCATAGCAGCATTGCATCATAGTTTTTACCTGATAATCCAAGCTCGGCTTATTGTTCTATCATTTTGCTGCTCCTTGCTAGTCAGCTTGATGATGCTATCCGCATATACCTTGGAGGCCTCATCTAGGTCGAATTCATCTATACGAAACAAATAGACAAACATCCAATGATTTGAATAACTCTCCGATTATAATATTAAAGGCATCCCTGGTTGCATAGGTGCTAGCTTATAGTTACCTTAACCCTCACTCTACACCATGCGATATTCGCAGCTCATTGGACAAGGCCACGGCAAGAAGACCGTGGTGGGGCATCATAAACCCCCATCCATCGTCCCTCCATCACGCAATTCGATAATTTTCATTTTTCAAATACAAATATACTGCTAATGTGACGCCAACATGTCTCCATCCGCAGCAATGACGCTGCGCGACTCATTCGGCGACCGCAAAATGCCCGATATCTCGCGCAAGATCACCGCGTGTGTTCTGTGCCGGAAACTCAAGGTGAGTGCCCAGTGCTGGGGATCAATTGCCAAGCTAACACTTGTGGCAGATAAAATGCCATATGAATGATAATAAGGCGCCATGCAGTCGCTGTAAAGCTCGCGGGCTGGCATGCACGGTCAACAAGAGCTTACAGATGCTTTTGGAGAACGACGTGTCATGGAAGGAAAAGATGGAGGGCCGGATGGCTCAGCTTGAGCAGGCTCTCAGGCAGAGTACCAATCAGCCCTCTATTGTTTCTTCATTTGGTGTCAATTACTCGCCACCGTCGCAGGGCCCTGCCAATCTCGAAGCAGACAGATCCAGCATTGCACCTCATACATCTTCGGAAACATCCAGCAATGCCACATTGAATCTGTCCTGTAGTCTGGGAGCTTTTCCAGCGTCGTCAATGATTAGTCTCACGTTGACCGATATTGGGAGACAACCAGGACAGGTTTCCGATCTGGTTTCGTGTGGACTGATCCCGCACAAGGAGGCCGAGGACTTCTTCGCATTTTACAGGCAGCATCTAGACCCGTGTATTCACCATATCATTGCAGAAAGCGATACATTTCCAATCATACGAGCACGATCTCCGCTCTTACTTGCCGCCATCTGCACAGTATCTGCTCTATGCACTGGCTCGAAGCACTACGCGCATATACTCAAATACTTCACAACCCAAGTGTCTGGAAAAGTATTCTCAATTAGGCACACATTTGACGATGTGCGCGCTCTCTGCATTGGCGCTGTCTGGCTCAACGAAGTCTCGACAGCACTGAATAGTCTAGGTAAGTCCCTCTACTCCTCTCCGTCCATATTCCCAAGTATATCATCACGTCTCTAATAAAAGAAAAGCCGTCCGAATCGCAACCGAACTCGACCTCCACAGATGCATCACCAAAATGCCACACACAAAGCGTGCCTGCTACGACCGCACGCGGCTCTACTGGCTCGTCTACTTATGCGACCACCACAGCTCCCTCAGCCATGGTCGCCCGCCACTAACCCGGGACTTTCAATCATTGCGTAAACCCCGCGATTTCCTACAAAGCTACTTCACCAACCCGTCTGATATGACGCTTATCAGCCAGGTGGAGATGTGGTCACTCAGCAGCAAAGTCCTTGATATGTTTGGCGCTGATATTGAGTGGCATGTTGCCAGTCAGCGAGGCGCGGAATTGGCTCAGCTGAATGATTCGTATGAGCACTGGTATGTGGAATGGTTGGATATGCTCTCCTTCAGCGATGCATCGACGACGAATACTTTCTCGTGTCGAGTCTTCGATCTTTATTTCCACTCTGCAAGGCTATATCTCTACTCGCATATCTTCCGTGGACCGTCGCCGGAGGAAGATACAAGGTCAAAATTATCGGCTGAGTCCTCGACTGGGGTGAATCGGTTTGTTCAGGGAGCTCTGAAAAGTGCCTTGTCTATCGTCGGCTGTATAGTCGATAACACCCAGCCGTGGCCATGGCTTGAAACCCTTCCGGCATATCTGGGGACAATGATTGCTTTCGCCTGTGTCGTTTTGGTGAAAGCATCACGGCACCAGGGAGACTTGTCCCAAAATATGCTGCAAAACGGTGTAGACATCCCTGGTTATCTCCGTCGACTGGTCCAAGTACTTCGGGCATCACCAGTTGTCGATTCACCGACTCGTCCTTTATTGAATATTGCGCGGAGTCTGGAGGTAGCTACGAATAGGCAGCAGCAGCAACAGCAGGAGCATAATCACCAGACTTCTTCTGCTTTATCTTGGGACTATATCCCGGATTTGGAGATGGATTTTGGGTGCTTTGATCTGTTTACGAATGAGGAAGCTTTGGATTCCTCTGTCCAGGGAGCTGTGTGTACAGGGTTATAATTTTAGGGTCTAAAGGTGATTTCTGATGGATTTCTCCGCGAAACGCGCCCCGGGTCTGACGGCAAGGTTCATTACAAAGTGGACTATTGCTCGCCTAGGCACATGCAGTACATAGGCAGATGACTGATCATAGTTGCTTTTTTCCCCCAATGACCACTCTGAGTTACATAACCTGTGCTTCATTGGAGCCTTTCTCATTCGTTAATTGTGCGATATATTCCAATGATATTGATGTTCTATAAAATCTCGTCCCATTAGAGTCTTATACTTAGGACGAGGCAGTCTGGGGAATCGGCCACTCCTTGTCCTCGCCCTGGCCCTCCAACCAGGGCAAGCAAGCATTGTACAACGCTTTGAATTCACCATTGCCTAGACTCAAGAACTTCTCAAAGAGCTCCTTATCGAAACGCTCGATAAAAGCGAGTTGGCAAGCATACAACAAATCCGCATATCCAGGCTTTTCGCCTTCGAAGAACGGTCCTTTCTTCCCCTCCGTTCCTTTTAGCATTTTAATCAGCGGCGCGGACTCGGTCTCGACCAACTTCCACATCTTGTCCAAACTCTCCTTGTCTGTCGGCCTCATCTCCGACAAGGGCTTCCCAAGGGCCGCAGACCGCGTCTCATGGAAGTATTTCTGTCCCCGTGGGTCCAGATGGTCCGCCACGCGCGGGATGATTAATGGCCGGAACCCGGGCTCCAGAAGACTCGCGATCTTGCCCACGGCGATGACCAGTGCGTAGCTGGCGTAGCCAGATGGAAATAGCGGCGGGGACGGGAATACCTTGTCGAGGTGTATGGCGATCGGAAGCGAATCCATCATGGCTCCGTTGGGGTTCGAGGTCACTGAGGACTTGTGAATGATTGCTGGCAGGGTGTATGGTCTTCCCTGTTCATTAGGCGGCAAGCCCAAGCCGGTGACGAGGGGCTCGATATCCGGGTATGAGATCCAGCTCTGGGTGTAGGGTACGCCCTTGAAGTTGAGCACTGCTCGAATCTTTAAAGTATTATGGGACCATGATTTAGAGGCGCCTGGGATGAATTGCATTAGTCTGGATGTTCGGTGGTTCGATTGCGGGGCAGCTTGCAGACCTGGTTGATCGGAGAAGATGTCGAAGAACTGAACGGGTTCATAGTCGGCCATACTGTAGATTTTTGGTCTTCTTGAAAGATATGAAAGAAGAGAGTTGTCAATTAACACTACAAAGTTTGTAATCTATCGCTGGCTTTCGATGGGAGTGGGGCTAGGCCGCCCGTTGCATTTGTGGTATACGGTGGGAAGACCGAAGACCCGAGTCATGGGCGCGACTTGTCCTAGCGAATAGAACCCACCAAAGAATAGCGAAAACTCACCGGGAGATTAAAGAGATTAGCTTCCTCTCAGTCATTTACTAAATTATGTAATGTTCTAGGCAGTTCTTATAGTTATAGATGAAGTCGTTTCCATAGTGCGTGAAGTACCGAACGCATTAGCTCGCCTTACCCTCTCGATAGTAATGGAAAGAGTCTCCTCGGATTCCATCTCCATAGCACGACCCAGCCTCCAAGGAGCGAAGAAAGACCCGTAAAGAGAATAAGGGGTCCGTAAGAGGTCCCATAAGCAAAGCGCTGACTGGCCAATATAGTTCCAGCCTTTAGTAGTCCTGCACCAGCAATCCCGCCACTTGCATATCCAATCCCTCTGACACCATTTAGCAGACCGTAGAGCATACCAGGATCAACGGCCTCGTTCCTCTCAGCAGACTCGCGCTCCATCTGTGTGAGCATCCCTCCCCAGGTAGCGCTATAGCCACTGGAGAAGAACCCGAACGTCATGGAGAAAACAATGAGGAGGCCAATGGCGCCCTGCGTGGTCAATCCCCAGAAGAAGAAAGTGGCAAGGGCAGAGCAAATAGGTGGAATTGCAGCTACAGTCTGTACTGAGAGAGTTATTCGCTTATTGTCGCTCAGCCATCCAAAGAAGGAGGACGCAACGATGCCGGGCGCATTGAAAAGAGCCAGCATCAGAGTGCCTGAGGTCTGAGACAACAAGGCAATGTCTCGGGCATAGGTGCTCAAATAGGTTTGCGGAATACCATAGCCAGAGCTTTGGAAGATAATGGCGATGCTGTAGAAGTAGATCGATCGGTGTCTGAGGAAATTCCAGGGAATCTTGCGTGCTCGAGTTCGGTGGATCGAGACTTTCGAAGGGTGGGTTGGTATCAAGAAGATAGCAAAGATACTTAACCCACCCACAATCGCGGTCCAGGCTTTCAGAGTGGTCCGATAGCCGTAGGCATCGATCAAAGATCGAAGCATGAATGGGCAGCTGGTCCCAACGATGTTCTTGCAAGACAGAACGATCCCATATGCTAAAGCACGGTTGCTGGTAGTATACCACTCGCCGAGAGAGAGTGTGGTTGGGCTATAGACGAGGGCACAGCCCAACGCAGATGTGATGCCCTGAGTTGCGAGCAAGTGCCAGACAGTGGTGCTGTAAGAGGAAAGAAAAAAACTGACGCATGCGATCACTGTGCCGCAAAGAGCAGCAAGTTGGCGTCGATGAGCCCATCGTCTTGTGAATAGCGCGAAGAGGAAGGGCATGGATAGGTACATGACACCATTAGCGGTCGTACCGATTACACCCGTAATGTTGCGGTCTCCTTCAAAAGTCCAGTTGTCAAAGTAATATTCCTGGAAGACACCGTAGCTCATCGCAAAGCCTACATGTGAGTAAGTAGCGTGGCCATCCAGACGCGTGGCGGAACGTACCCCATATTGGTAGCTGGAGAATCCCAGAGCCGATGAGAACACAGAGTTTTGTCCATTTGGATTCCCTCTGCCTCGAATCGGTCTGCTCCGCATCCATTTGTTCGACGTCCGGAGCATTTAAATAAAATTCTTCCGTGTCTCTCATTGCGACTGGCACCTGGAGTGGCCAGAATATGTTTAGAGAAATGCGAAATAAGAAGGTCGGAATTATGGTAGTTATCAGCGCGTCATCGCTAAGCGGCCTACGGCATGAACCCCGAACCCGCAAGTTGATCGTCGATAACATTTTATTCCCCACATTTCCTAGTTTAGACATTTCAATCATGTTCTCAATCCCTTGGTTTCTATCAGATAGATCTTTCATGATAGAGTCGTCGGTAGAGTCGTTGGAAATCCTCCCATTTAGCTCCTTCTCCGTACAGTATAAGAAGAATCGACTGAGCATGATACTTTGTCCTCTTGAGGCCAATATCACATAAATGGATGAACAACTTCAGACCGTGGATTGGCGAAATGCTGGGGTAGAGTGAGTATTTGCCGCATACTAAATTCCCCATTTTGAAGAGCATATGGTTGTAGTGTGTATCTAAATCGCATTGCGGAAACGGGCCATAGAGATTCTCTTCGGCGAATGTCGAGGTCAACTTCTTTTCGAGAAACCAGGCGCCCACTTTGTGCTCTTCATCTTCGCGACAGCCACGTAAGCAGTTGCGCCCCAGCTCCTGTTTAAAGCATTTTTGGACCACGTGAGCTACTTCTAAATATGGAAGCTTCTCCTCTGGACTAAACTGCCTAATCTATACTCCCACGTGATCGGTTCGGCCGGGCTCCGACCGACAGCGGGACGGGACTGAAGTCGTCGTTCCGATTAACAAATAGCCGTCAATTCGCTCCAAGCAAACTCGAAATGCACATTTATCGTTGAGCCGCTGCCGGGACTCATTTGCTGCTGCAAATTGTTGGCGTCACTTTCAACATGGCCCTAGGAAACAACCCCTCGTACCTCATTATCGGCGCGGGTGTCTTTGGTGTGTCAACTGCCTATCACCTCATCCAAAAGTACCCCAATGCGTCGGTGACCCTGGTGGACCGAGATGCATACGATGCCGAGTCTCGTGTGGCTGCATCATGGGATTGGAACAAGGTGGTTCGCGCCGACTACGACGACAAGGTCTACTGTAGACTGGCTCTGGAGGCTCAGGACATTTTCAAATCGGATCCCCTCTGGCAGCCTTATTTCACCCAGACTGGTGTCTACTGGACTTGCCGCAGCAACTACGCACAAAACGTCATTACCAATCACAAGGAGCTCGGCCGCAATGACGATATCATTGCCCTGCCTGTCGCTGAGGCCCGAAAGCTTTACAGCGGACTTTTTGACAATGCTGACTATACTGGCGTTAAGGAGGTTCTGGTGAACAGGGCCAGTGGCTGGGCCGCTGCTGGAGATGCTCTTCGAGCAGTCACGAAAAAGTGCTTGGAATTGGGCGTTGAGTATGTGACGGCTGATGTCGCCAGTCTCGAGTTCGATGGTCGCGGTTCTTGCACCGGTGCCAAGACGAGATCTGGAGAGACCTTGTCGGCTACGCATGTTATCATCGCTGCTGGCGCTTTCACGCCCACATTACTAGAGTGGAGCGCTGCGAAGAGCGGCAACGCCGGACTTCGAGCTGGAGAGCGAATTCTGGCTGCCGGTATTACGACGGGAATGGCACAGCTCAATGAGGAGCAGCACAAGAAGTTTAAGAACATGCCCGTTGGATTCCAGGGCTACACACCTGACGAAGGTAACTCTTTTGGTATGATTGCACGACTGCGGCTAACTGTCGACAGGCAAGCCCTTCATTGGTAGCCTTCCACCTACCAAGGACGGAGAGCTCAAGTGGTGGGGATCCAAGATTTTCACAAACACTCGAGAGGTGTTGCCTGGCCGTCACATCTCTTCTCCTCCGCCTTCGCGCGACTACAACCAGTGGAAGGTTCCCGGACCTCTCAAGCAGGACATTGTCGAGTCCAGAAATCTGTGGTACGGGCCCGAGAGTGCGAGTTGGGAGATGACGAAACACCGAATTTGCTGGTGAGTACACCGTCAATAGTAATAACATGGCAAATAAGATATAACTAACATTCCAAAGGGACGCTTTTACCACCACTTCTGATTTTATCATTTCTCCTCACTCGGCCTCGAAGGGTCTCTACATCGCCACTTGCGGTTCGTTCCACGGCTTCAAGTTCTTCCCTGTGCTTGGAAAGTACATCACACAAATGCTTGAGGGCGAGTTAGCGCCCGAATTGGTGGAGAAGTGGGCTTGGGATAGACAGCGACCCGATTCCTCCCAGAACGTCGAGTACCCGAACTCTGAGATGAGGCATCTCTTGGGGCCTACCGCTAAGCTGTAGCGGAAATTGGAAGTGCTTCTAAAGCCAGGCTGGTGTGGTCAATGCATTGGGGTAGATACTTGAACGGATTGACTCGACTCGAATCGACGCCGTGAAAGGGATAGTAGATACAAGGTTTCAAGCACAGGTCACTTCCTTTTATTAGAGCGGTAACAATATAACACCCGAGGCTACTTTTCACTTTGAAAACAACCAGTAGTCGACGTTGAACAGAAAGCCGGGCTCGCCTCTAAACACCAAATAGAGGTTTTTCACACCGGTCGCCCCACTGACGGAGGTAGACATAGTCTTCCAGCTCTGCCATCCTCCAGTATCTGGAACAGTCAAAGAGCCAACAACCGTACCAGTGACGCTGCCAAGCCTAAGCTCAATCCTACCCCCCTGCGTGTCGGACGCAACCGATGCAGTCCATTTGGATGCTCCTGAACCAAAATCAACACCCTCAACCATAAGCCAGTAACCGTCCTCGATAGCGTAGATATTCTGTGTACCCTGGCTACAAGGCTGTGTGTTGACACCATACGAGTCTGCCATTGTCTCAGCCTCGACCCGTTGGTAAGGGTCCAATGTGCCGATCTGAGGCGCTCCTGTATATGTCATTTTGATCGTTGGAAACAAGTTATTCGACTTGTATGTGAACTGCTCCACGCAGACAGAGCGATCGTACTGACCGCCACCAGCTACTCCTTGATTGTGATAGAAGAAGTACGAGTTGCCTTTGTAGTCGATAACACCAGCATGGTTACCAAGGCATCCGCCTTGCTCAGCCATAATAGCACCTTGATACTGCCACGGTCCTGTAGGGCCGTTCGAAGTCGAGTATCGGATATCTTCCGGACAGCAATCAGCTGCGTACATCAGGTAGTAGAGTCCGTTGCGCTTGTAGAACCAAGGGCCTTCTTCGAAGGTTGTTGGCTTTTCAGGATTGTACAGGAAATTCGGCCGAGCACCAAAGCCTTGAGTGGTCAATGAGACATTCTGGACGCCTCCAGAATAGCTGATCATGTCCTCGTTCAGCTTGACGTAGTAGAGGGTAGGATTACCCGTATAGAGATAAGCTTGACCATCGTCGTCGATGTACACGGTAGGATCAATGTTTCCAGTCGAGGTCGCGACTAGTGGCTTGCCGAGTGGATCCTTGTAAGGGCCTTCGATGTTGTCACTCACGGCAACGCCGACTGCCATGTTGCCGTTCTTTTGTCCAGCGGCTACGTAGATGTAGAACTTTCCATCCCTCTCAATCGCCTGCGGAGCCCAAGCATTGTAGGAGGCCCAGGAAAATTCGGCCAGCGCAAGCGGGCTTCCCAGATCGACATAGTTGACCATGTCAGTCGTACTATAGAGGCGCCAATCGGTCATATTGAAACCTGTTTGCGCTCCTGGCTCATCGTGGTCGGTAAATATATAGACAGTGTTGTTCCAGACCATAGGGGCAGGGTCAGCGGTGAAACGCGTTTGGATGATGGGATTGACTGCCACGACGAAGCTGGGCGTTTGCAAAATAGCGCTTGCAAAGCACAGGACGGCCTTGCCGAGACTCGACAAGTGTGGCATGATGCTGGCAGGTAGGTTTACTCGTGCTTGGATATAATGATAGACGCGCTGGCACCCTTTTATACATTGTTACATCGACACGAGACGTTCCCGGCTCGAGTATGAAGTGGGCGCACATTTTGCCACAAACATCATTCATGTCAGCGGATGGGAGCGGGTGTTTTGGACCTTGCATATGTGTAATGGGTAAAACGGCCCTTGTAACACAGATCATGCTTGTACGGAACAGAGGGTGAAGATTAGTGGAGTTTAGCTTTCCGTATTCCACGGTGCCATCGGTACCCCACATGTACCCCACAGAGGGCAGCTTCTTTATGTTTACTACCGTAACAAGGTGATCAGGGAACTAGCATCTAATTAAAAGGGAAATGTTCCAGACCAATGTTGATTTCAATTAAGCCACTCTCGGAGGGAAAGGATTTAGCCTGATTGTCAATGCATAAAGGGGATTTGTGATGATATCCGGGAATATTTCTTTGAGTCAATTTGTAAATTACGGTGTCCAAACCCTTAACTCCGCCGGAACAAGAAAATCAAGCTTTTAACTACTCTTACACATCAATAAGGAATCGCGAACTACGGGAAATTACTAGAATTGGGATAGCTTGATTGTTCCTTGGTGACTACGGAAAGCTACACGCCAAAAATACTTAAATCAAAGGCTGAATGCCAAAGAAATGGACGCAGAACGTGTTTTTAGTTGCGCACCAACCAAAATGTGGTCTTCCCTAAGTCAGTGTCTTCTTGCATCCCTTGTTGCTTCGTCCACAGTGTGGGCTATCTCCGTGGAACGAGACGATAATGGCGGCGCTACCTATGTCAATCTTGCCGCCCGGAAAGGACCTTCCCATCACCTCGCCTCTGGTTTTATCTACGGTATCCCTGACGCTTTCGGCCAAATACCATCGCATTTTTATGAGAATATAGGATTTCAGTATGGTCGAGCTGGTGGTGCTCAGGAAGGAGCACCAAATCGAGGTTGGATATGGGGTCTTTCAGACTACCAAGGTCGGCTCAATTCAACCTTGACTGATTACAGGACCTGCCGAGAATTCGATGCAGGTTTTATTCTGCTTCCGCATGATGTCTGGGGCACTGACCAAGCAAATTCATCTACTGTTTGGCCTGGTGACAATGGTGATTGGTCAAATTATGATACATTCGTTACAACTCTGATGACCGACCTCGCCGCCAACAATGCCCTTGATGGCTTGGTCTGGGATATCTGGAATGAACCGGATGGATCATGGTTTTGGGCGAGAAGCATGCAGCAATGGATCGACCTTTACGTTCGCACTCACAAAATAATACGCGCCAATCGCCAGTTTGATCGTGTGAAAATATCGGGACCAACTCTGGCGGCGGCTCCATATAATACTAGCATCTGGTGGACTAGTTGGATGGAGCAAATTAAGGGAAATAATACCATTCCTGACCAAATTGCTTATCATCTTGAAGCTGGGCCTGGAACATCGGCATATGACCTCACCAATACCTACCCGTCCGTGCTTGCAATGCTTCGATCTTATGGGATTCCAGAACGGCCTCAAATAATCAACGAATATGCAGTTTTCCAAGAGCAAGTCCCATCCGGAGCGGCATTTTGGATCTCAAGGCTGGAACGATATGAAACGTACGGACTTCGGGGGAACTGGCAAAGTGGCAATACCTTACATGATCTTATGGCAAACCTTCTCACCAAAGCCGACCCTTTCGACTACACTGCGACAGATTACATGCCTGGACCAGAATATCCAGTATATGAGTACTATTATCGAAACATGACTGGCGCCCGTTTAAACACTACCGGCAGTGCCAATCTGCAATTCGATATTTATGCTACAATGGATGAAGTCATCCGCATACTTGCCGGAAGTCAGACAGCAACAGGAAATTGGAGCATTAATGTGGAAAACCTGAGCAGCATTGGGTTGGCCACTGAAGGATCCGTCTCTATTAAATCGTTTGCATTTAATGGGGATGGTCATTATGTTGCAACATACGGCCCAGTTGATCTTGGAGTCTCCGAACATGCCTACTCGGATGATACTTTGATCATTCCAATAAATCAGAGCACAAACTATACGGCCTACGCATTCGAGTTCAGGAGTGGACATTCCAAGACACCTGGCTGGTGAGCAATAGAAGTGATCGTCGTGTAACTAGTTCCCTAGGTAATCATCACTGAGACGGCTCATTGAGTTTTGATACACCCTTCAGTAAATATTGTCTTACAGTTGGCCAAAAATCACACACTATTGATGTAAGGCAAATCAGTCGGCTGTTATTGTATTCTTCTAACAGCATATTGATAGCACGTTTAGGACGGCCTTAATCGAGTTTGAGTGTTTGCTCAATTAAAATACAGAGCTTCATGATAGGAATAACTTCGGTATGAGAATATATTAACTAGAAATCAATCTATTCGAAGACTATGCATGTAATTCCTCAAGTTTAGTTTCAAGAGTATTACATTGCGATGCTTTATGGCCGATGTCCAATTGGAGCTCGCGCTGAGGTTACTCATAATATAAACAAATCTCAAGTTAAAAGTCATCCCAATCACTTGCGGATAAACACTGGCATCGACTCGATTGGACAGTCAACCTCAACTGTACAGCCGCCGTTGTAGGTCGTCTTATCTTCGAGGCTCTCCCACTGGGCATGCTTCGGCAGATAGACTTTTCGGATTTTCTGTCCAGGGTGCAATACCGGCGCACAGAGATACTTGCACCCATACATGTATTCATCTTCCGTCTTCCAGCATTCAGGATCATCTGGAAATTCATAGAACAGGGTCCGCATGACAGGGGAACCATCCTGGTGTGCCTCTTGCATCAAGGACCGGGTATAATCCCTCAGCTCCTCTCGCAGCGTCATGTACTTTTTACAGATGTCATACACTTCTGGACCGTAGGACCACACCTCGTTAGGGGCGCCCGAACAGCAAGTCGCGCCACCGGTAGTTCCCTGTTGTGGCTGGCGTGGCTCACGGTCGCCATGTAAACGCATGACAGGGCAAAAGGCACCCCACTGGAACCAACGCACAAAAAGCTCTCTGAAGTCGTGATCATTTGGGTCACCACCATGGAAGCCCCCAATATCTGTAGTCCACCAAGGGATTCCTGCAAGACCCATATTCAGGCCCGCTGCAAGTTGATTTCGCAGGGACTCCCATGAGGAAGCAATGTCTCCAGACCACACGAGAGCGCCGAATCGCTGCGAACCCGCCCACGCACAGCGCACCAGATTAACGGGGTTTTGCTGGCCCTCAGTCGTCTGTCCTTCGTAGAAAGCTTGCGAGTAGTTGACTGGATAGATATTCCCAATGCGTAGGTTAGGGCCGAGGTAGTAGCGGTAGTTGTCAAAGTCATAGGCCGTGTATTCCGGTTCCGCTTCATCCAGCCAAAACGTTCTGATGCCATGTGAGAAGTAGTTTCTTTTGGCCTTTTGCCAAACATAGTTGCGTGCTTCCGGGTTTGTCACATCCCAATGAATAGTCTCACCCTCGACGTCCATTGCGGTGCGGATCCCACGCTCCGTCCGAATAAGATAGCCACATTCAAGCATCTCAGCATAATTTTCTGATCGCTTGTCCACAGTCGGCCAGATGGACACCATAAGTTCGATCTGCATCGATTTCAGCTCGCGGACCATCGCACTCGGGTCAGGCCAGTAGGTAGGATCGAATTTCCATTCCCCCTGGAGCGGCCAGTGGAAAAAATCAATAACGATCAGATCAAGAGGCAAATTTCGTCGTCTGTATTCGCGCGCGACGCTGAGTAGTTCGTCCTGCGTTTGGTAACGCAATTTACATTGCCAAAACCCCAGCCCATAGTCCGGCATCATCGGCACAGTTCCTGTCACCGATGCATATGTCTGGACAATCGCCTTCGGAGTTTCTCCTGCTACAATCCAATAGTCAAGTGAGGCAGTTGAATACGCTTCAAAGCTCATGATATTTTTCCCAAACACAGCACGACCAATGGCCGGGTTATTCCAGAGAATCCCGTATCCGAGGGAAGAAACAGCGAATGGGACGCTGGCCTGGGAATTCCGATGGGCCAACTCGAGATCCAAGCCTTTCAAGTCCAGGAAAGGCTGCTGATACTGGCCCATCCCGTAGATCCTCTCTTGGGGATCGACCGACTCGAGACGGAGTGTGAGATGGTAATCGCCCCCCGAGATGGGCTTGAATTCGCGAGCCTCTATTTCAATGGCGCTGCATTTTGCGTCTTGCAGATCGCGGCGGTTCCGCATGTATTCCTCCAAGAGGATCTTTCCGCTGTCGGTCTGGTAGATGATAAGCTTGCCCAACTTGCTGACGACAGCTCGCACTCTGCCGCTCGTGATACTGCCGGCGGATTCCGTTATCTCAATTACCGGTTTTGGTATATCCGGTTTCACTGTTAAGGCCCAGTCCTCCGGTGGCATGCGGTTTTGCTTGGTCGCCCGCACACGAAAGGCATCGCGCCCCCATGGCTCAATCCAAAGAATTTCGGCATCATAGCGAAAGATGAGACGCTCGCCATCTGAATACAGCATGTTTGAGGTTTAAATTGCAGGGTTTGTAACTGAATGGTCCAATCGATGGTGCCTGGGGCCTGTGATAATTGTTGATCCAGATTCAGGATGAGAGTAATGAGAATTCAACTCTTAGTATGAAATCTCAGTGTAGGGCGACTCTGCTTTAAACCAAAGCACAGAAACTCCTTGAATCCGTCCTGCCTGAATAAGGAAAAGAGCTGTGGACTATACCATTAATAATCGGAGGCTTGTGACACCGAAAAACCTGTGCTTTACGGTAGCCGGGCAAATCTCCGGCGGGATGAATTTATTGGAGATCTCTTGATGCGTAGATCAGTTATAAATGAATCAGTGCTGATGTTCTCCACGGGAGAACCTCAGGAGTAAATTCACTATGAGGTGTGTGAGTCGGGTAAATGAGGTAATCTGGAAGGTTACACTGTTAAGCTGACTCGTTCCGGGAAGGTATACGGAGTATGCATGTATTCCATCGGATAAAAGCCCATCCAACCTACAACATTGTTGATAATTGCCCGCGGGTTGAAAATAGCCTAAAGACATCGAAGGCATATGCGGGCATTTACGAGGCCTGGCTAGCTAGATAATCCCCGCACTACTGAATAATACGCACATACAAGGTGGTAATCCCGCATCAGACGTCAACTAGGGATAGCTATCAGCTAGGTAGAATTCGATAGCGCTGATCAGCTAACCTAGCATGGTATACTTCCGGTGATAAAGTGGGGCCACTGAAGCGGGCGCCGGCATCCCGCCGGGAGCGTAGTTTCGGGGTATGCCAACCTTTTGAGCTGCCGGCTCCGCAGAAGTCAACCTTGCATAGGACCCTCCCTACCCCAGATTTACATTGTGGGGTAAATGCTAACACTGAGTTAATCGCCCCTTCAGCACCATGACGCGATGGCGACCAAGTTCTCTGATGCTGGCGGGAACGAGCGGACCAAAGGCAGCCACATCTTCGTCTCATATGTTCCGTCGGTGCAGTAAGGTCCATCGAGCTCGAAAATAGGTCTGGAAAGGGCTCGAGAATGAGCACCGAATTGCTCACTGAATCTTGGATCTATCCTCCCCCACCGGAGATACCACAGTGGTATACAAGCTTCGCTCCGGCCACTTCATATGGCGACCCATGCTGAGACTGCTATTGAAAGGTCCTTCCTGGATACCTAGACTCACGACCAATTTTTCCACTCCTCAGAAACTCGGCAGGAATGGACAATGACAAAGAATCCCTCGACAACCGGCATGTCGAGCTCGCGGAGGCCGCACAGAGATGTATCAACACCAAGAGCATCGTTCACGATGGCCGCGCCGCAACCGCTCTGGAGCACTCCATGACCCTCCGCGAGGCGGTGCGTGTCTACTGGAAGGCTATATTTTGGTCGGCCCTTTTGTCGACCTCCATCATCATGGAGGGATATGACATAGTCCTTGTCACCTCGCTCTACGCGCAACCTGCCTTTGCGCGCAAGTATGGCACATATCACCCTGGTACTGGATACCAGCTTGCCGGTGCATGGCAGTCCGCGCTCGGGTTGGCTCCCATGATCGGTGCTATCTTCGGCGCGTTTGGAAATGGCTGGCTTACGCATCAATTTGGGTACCGTCGTGTGCTCCTTGCCTCTCTAGTCTCTATCACCGCATTCATCTTCCTTTTGTTCTTTGCTGTCAATCCCGGAATGCTTTTGGCCGGTTTAGTACTCTGCGGTGTACCATGGGGGATCTTCGCGACTATGGCGCCCGCGTACGCGTCGGAAGTCTGCCCTTTACCTCTTCGTGGATATTTGGCTGCCTACGTGAACCTTTGTTGGGCACTCGGCCAGCTCATTGCCGCGGGTGTCTTGGAAGGGCTGGTGAGTCGGATGGATGAATGGGCGTATCGCATCCCATTCGCCGTGCAATGGGTCTGGCCAATTCCATTACTGGTGCTGCTGTGGTTCGCCCCGGAGTCGCCCTGGTGGTTCGTCAGAAATGGTCAGCTGGAGGAGGCCAAGAGATCTCTTGGGAGACTAGCATCCCGCTCGGCCGACATTGACATGAACCAAGTTATTGCCATGATGGTACATACTAATAACTTGGAGATGGAGGCTGAGAGCGGCACAAGCTACTTGGACTGTTTCCGCAAGACTGACTTATATCGAACGGAGATTGTCTGCCTAGCATTTGCCGTCCAGGTCTGGTCCGGCTCCTCGCTTGGTGGTACCCCGGTATACTTTTTCGAACAGGCCGGACTGTCGTCAGAGAACGCATTCAAGTTCTCTTGTGGTGGTCTAGGACTCGCTTCGCTCGGCACAATCGCGTCGTGGTTCCTACTCAGTGCCTTTGGTCGACGAACGCTCTATGTGTGGGGTCTTGCCATCTGCACTGCCTGTATGCTTATTGTTGGTGTTGTTGCCGCAGCTGCGGGCCAAGGAACGACCAGTAGCTACACACAGGCTGGTTTTGTTCTGGCTTGGTTGCTCACTTACTACCTTACAGTTGGGCCAGTCTGTTATGCAATTATCTCGGAAACGTCGGCAACCCGCTTGCGCAGCAAGAGCATTTGCCTATCCCGAAATGCCTATTACATTTCGCAAATTATTGGCAACGTCATCGAGCCGTACATGGTGAACCCCACCGAAGCCAACTGGCACGGAAAGGCTGGCCTCTTCTGGGCCGGTACCTGCCTTGTCTCCTTTGTCTGGGCGTTCTTCCGACTTCCCGAGACCAAGGGCCGAACTTTCGAAGAGCTCGACGTTCTTTTTACTAAGAAAATTCCAGCGCGAGAATTTAGCCGAGCCAGCATCGACGCCTATGCTACAGAGCCAGAATCTCAAATCAAACTAGGAGGAAAGTAGTCTAAGCCTGACTAGACTTTTGTGGTGGGAACGCTCTGTTGGATTGTTTGGATTCGAGACTGTGTACGTGTCCGGAGCGTCAAATATGCACCTAATCTCGGTCAATTTTCTGTTTGTTCTGGACACAACTGTCTGCTCAAACAATAGGCAACAACAAGACCTTTATTTCCTCTCTCTTAGTTTACCGATACTCCCAATTGCCCTACTGATGCGCAGCATCTCCCTCCATACGAGTCCTTCTTGTCAAATCTAGCACATACGACAGCTCAAAACCAAGTGCACATCACGAATGAATAAATCTCTAATTAGAAGGAGTCTGAGAGTTACCAACAATTTAAGGGCTTAACTACCAATTATCTACTAGTAAAAAATGGGAAATAGGCAGTGAGAGTCCCATTCTTAACAACACTTGTTACTCAATGATCACGCGAGCGACAACACCGAGAAGCCACAAGAACAAAAATACCATCAGTAAGCCCCTGGCCTTAGAGAATATGCGGGTTGTGGCGCTGGTTCAACGTCGATTGTCGTGATCACTGGTGTCTCATACACCAAAGAAAGGTCCGGCAGGCTCGCACCATTCAATTCTTGAGCCCAAAGCGTGAGAGCAATCCAGTTCTTCCCCTTGTAATTTAGGATCCCCTGAGGCACTGGGAACGACACCTGTGGACCAATGTTGTTGACATATTTTCCATAGTTGTAGCCGTTCACAAACAGTTGTGTTCGGTAAGCGCTTGATGTCGTGTTTTTAAACACAAAAGACATAGGCACATCCCAGCCTGAGGGAATATCCAAGTCAAAATTTGCCGTGTAGAAGCCAATCCCTGCTTTCTTGATCCCATCAAATGGGCTAGATGAGATCCAGTTTCGATTGGGAGGCTCTGGTTGGTGCCATCCCTGACGTTCAGCGTACATGGCCCCTTCGTTCAGCGGCCCCCGAACGAGATCTGCATACTGCTCGCCCCCAAGATTGCCCGTAATCTTCCAGGAAACTGCGTCTTTTGTGCGCCCTCCCAGGTCATAGTTCGTAATACCGCGAGGTAATTTCATTCCATCGTTCATGAGCCAGTCCTCGTCGAGACCGGTATTGTCCACCACGACAGTGAAAACATAGACTTGGCCAGCCGTGAGCTTTGGCAAGGAATATGATGAGTTGAAGCTGGGCGCATAGTTTGGAAAGCTAATATTTCCGGTAAATGAGCCCAAGTAGATACTGTTCAGCCACACTGAACTACCGAAGGCGTCACCGCCCTGTGTGGACAAGGCAAGCTTCCGTTCCATCCCAGTGGCTGTAAAGTAACCGCGATAGATGACTGAACCCGCAGAAAACCCATAGTCAGTCGAATACAAAGACATGGGCGTTAAGAGGGGTTGGACGGTATTATTCGTTGTGGTATGGTTCGCGACCACCCACCGCGAGTCATCGTATGAAGACTGGATCTCAGGAAGCGAGTCGATGTACTTCCATTCCAAACTCCGCAACGATGGGATATCTAGATCTGGGGCTTTATATATGACTTGGGTAGACCAGAATCCGTTGTTACCGATGGAATGCGTAACGGCCTCATCGTTGATAAAAAGCGACCTCACTTGTCGCGGGACCCCGATAACCTCGAGTGTTGTAGAGCGGTTAAAGTCGGCAAATATATGAAGCTCACTCCCCTGCAGAGACGCGGTTCGGACCACGTATCCCCCCGCAACGATGATGGAATTCTCAATAGTGGCTCTGTTGGCATACTTAACGGAAGTAGCACCTGTGGAGAGCTGAGGCACCCAGTAGGAGTACGCGGTAACTCGGTCTAACAGAAGAGTCAAACAATCATTCGAGTGTAACTAGATTGGAAGAAAATGGCGGCAATAGTGTACCAAGAAGAATCACCAGGAGATTGCCGATTTGCACCAAGTAACGAGTGCGGGAAACGTGCATCCCTAGCACAAGAGCGCCATTTATGTACTGCGATTTTATGTCAGACTCGTGTCCCTCGAGCACCGCAGCACGTGCTCTCTTTGACGTGCTTATTGCGAACTCGTGGTACTCGCCGACTGATCCATATAACACGAGCACAGTCTTGCCACCGAACTTCTTCCACGTGAATATATCAGCAGTCGTATAGACCAGGTTTATCTCACCAACACTATAATCTGTCACTATCATTTTGGAGTCTCGACCAATCAGTGACAAGGTCCCATCTAGTTGTGGGATCGTCAAGTTGCCGGTGCTCGTGGAAAGTTGCCAGCAGTATGTGGTCGTGCTCAATGATGAATAGTTAGACTGCCTGATAACATAATAGGCTGAAGTATTGTAAGAGAGCCTAGTCACGGCGACGTCCTTGGTGTCTGTGTATATTCCCATCGTGTAGTTGCTGTCAGGTACGCTCTCAAGGTAACTGGGAGAAACCTTTAAGAAATTCGCCATCAACTTTGTCTCGCCATACTTGTCGCGGGTCACATTGCGAGTTTCTGAAATAGCCGCAGCGTAATCGTACGAAGTGTAACTGCCCGGAAATCCTAAGTTGCCCCAGTTGGTGCCTCCAAAAGTCTCCGGGATGTCAGCATCCGATATTCTACAGCCGTACAGCAAACAAACATACCATATAAAGATTCATCAGCGCCGTTTTGAAGCTGAAGTTGTTTTTGTACATGATTCTCGCGAATGCACTGTCAGTCAATTCGACATTGTTGAATATACCAGGCCCACCCCAGCTATCAAGCCAGCCACCTTGAAACTAGAATTCCATTAATGAAAATTCCATAGGTCTGTCGGTTATGTTTTCGGGGATATAATGAACAAAAGGAAAAAGAATGAGTTAAGAGACAAAAATTACCTCCATTATAGCCAATGGTGTCGAATTGCTGATATTCTGGTGGGTTTCCACTATGGAAATCGGCAAGCTATTAGGTGGCCAGTAGATAGGATTTGTCTTGTCTGAGCTCAGTCTGGAAATCTTCGACGTGGAGTGGCTATGAGAACTTACATCGAAATTGATTCCCATTCTAGGACACGGCCATGGATTTTCAGTTTCTCATTGTATCCTCAAGGACGTAGTGTAGCTCTCGGATGGATACTCACGGATAAAAATCAAAGCCGTACACATCAACTTCACCCACTCCACTGCCGGGGGCGAAGTTGCCAGCGGGACCCCCATCATTGTTGACCATGGGGAGGACAATCGAATTGTTTCTTGCAATATCAATGACATATTGCATGTAGGCCTTACTCCCGCCATATTCATTCTCTGGTACATAGAGAACCACAGGTCCTCCTTCAGTAATCTGCGCTTTGGCTATGTCCGTGGCGACGTGGGAGAGATAGCTGGCGGGAGAAGTCAAGCAATGGTTAGATGAAGATATTGCGTGAAAGTAATGAAAGGATGAGTGTATTCATACTTCGTGATGGACTCGAGATATGATGGGTCATCCTCGCGAAGCTTGCCCGGTATTCGTGCCACCCATCCTGGAAATCCACCCCCGGAAACTTCCGCATTGATAAAAGGCCCCGGTCGAGCAGTCAAGTAAATTCCAGCTTGCATAGCGGCATCGAAGAACGGCTGAAGGGCGAAAATCCCGTCTGCCCTATATTGGCCCGGCGTCCCCTCAACCAATGCCCAGTCAACATAGAAGGAGACAAAATCCAAGCCCATTGCTTTGATCTTCTGGAAAATATCCAAGTACAAAGAATGCACTGGAAGTCTGTTCATCAAAGAAAATCAATATGAGGATATTATATATCGCTAAACTTCAACTGATGCGCCCCTTAAAGATCAATGGAATACATACCGAAAGGGATGAAATTCTCCACTAAAAATCATGATTCTTTCTCCATTGATAAAAAAAGAACGGTCGTCCCAGCTCACCTATTTGCAGCAATGTCTCAGCAACATATCACCTGAGACTAGAAGGCTAGAAAAACGGACTATGTTTTGCAGCAGTTTGTCTTCGGTTACCTCTGGCCCTTCATGGGCTCTGGGATTTGCTGAAGTGCTCAAAGCACCAACCCCCTGTAAAATGAGTGATAGTACCGTGCAAAACTGTTGATGCCTCATCGTATTTCTAATTGTTGAGAACCGGAAATTGTGATTTAGAATCAGTTTAAGGGGAAGGAATTATGTTTTGTATATGCTCAACGTCTTTCTAGGAGAGTCGTAAACAAAACGGGTGCTGCAGGATTTGGGAAATGTGCAAGTCATCAGCTATATCTATTTAATAACTTATTTGCTATGGCCTGGTAATTCTCCAAGGTCTTCCTAGTGGATACCGCAATAAGTCTGTGATGCTACTGTCTAGATACAATAAAGCTTGGTGATTTACCCGTAGCCTGGTAATGACAGTAAAATATCCGATTCGGCTAAGGATGAAGGTTTGGTATTCCTAAGTCTGTTTGCGTTATATGCAGTCATCTAGCTAGTGAGTACGTATGGTGACTCGGGTTCACCACTTCGCCACCGCTCCTCTCACTTTCCGAGGAGGAGCTGGATTTGTTTTGATTGCGCCCGGCGGGGGATGTGCGGATCGTTGAGTTTGCATATTTTTCCTCTACATAATAGGAAGGAACTACAATGTGCATTAAAATTGACTGGCCAAGCATAGACTCCCTACCCACACTCTCAGGTCCGTGTTGTTCCTCATAAGCCAGCACCCCCAGGTTTTCGGCCAAAACTTTTCAGGGTGATCAGGTTACTGTGGTCGGCCTAGCTGCATGTAAATTATTTGTTTGCTCTCTATATGTGATCTAAAAGCAACTGTATGTCGGAACTACTCATTGCGAAGGGAGCGGCCACAATATAGCCAAATCGGAAAGAAATCGGGCTAGAGGGCTTCAACAGCCTTGAATATATATGTGTGTTTTTTCTATATAGATTTCTGTTCTTCGGCTTTCTGTGTCCGTTCTGCATCAAACTTTAGAATCCTAAAATAATGAACTGCGAGGAAGTACCCGCCGCACACGCGGGCAGAGACCTCATCAACGATCAACAGACAACGGACACTAATGTCCTACTCATTAAAGAACCGTCTACTACTCCGTACCCTTCCTAAGTACTACAGGAAAAGAATCACGAAAGAATGGGATGAATAAGCTCTACTATCGAGCAATCAATGATTTTACCCACCCACCCCGCGGGAAATTTATGGGTCACCGTGCAACGCATTACGACGAGTTGATTATACTACTTATCATGGGTGGCCTACGCGACGAAGATGAGATGATCAGCTAGACCTGCTGTACTCCAAATTAACTTCAAATTGAAGCACACAAAAAGAAAAGAAACACGTGTCCTTGCAACACCCGTCCGTTCACAGTACTCCTCCCTCCCAACGAGCTACACTGGTAAAACCCAGACGTGGTGATGTAGCAACAGCTTGCCGAAATTCAAGCTGCATCTGACAACATTATCTGACCTTGAAGGGACTCTGTAGCCCACTGTTTTGAAACTGACGCGGGTCAGCTATAGAGCGACAATCAGTGGCAGAGAATCCTGACCGAGTCACTTTCTGGTACGATATTAAACCACCTAAGCTTCCAGAGCCACCCGGTCCTTGATTTCCAAGTCCTCCGCGTAAGGATTGACACGGTAGCTCTTGAACTTCCGCGTGGGTACATTCGCCGCAAACATAATGTCCAGTTCTTCGAATGTGCGCCCTTTGGTCTCGGTGAGCCGGAAGATCCCCCACACCAATACGCAGAACGCAAACGAGAACCAGAAAAACCCCGTCTTGCCTCTCCAGTCCCATGCCGTCGGGTTCATCATGTATGGTTCGATTACGTTGGCCACAACAATAGCAACGTAGTAGGTATTTCGCGCCAGGCAGATTGTTTTGGAGCGAAGGCGCGTCGAGGAAACTTCCGGAGGTATGGCCCAGCCCATTGGGCCCACAGTAATAGAGAACGTGAACAACCAAATAATACAGAGTACCGACTGGGCCCATTCCACGCCGTTATTCCGCTCTCCGAGAGTCAAGAATCCGATTGTGATCAAGTAGATGCACAGCAGCCCCATTCCCCAGAGATACATGGTACGGCGTCCCGTGATCTTCATGAAGAACCAAGACAGGATGGTACCCACAAACGCGATGGCAGTCCCGCCCAGGCCGAGTTTATATGCGTCGCTAGAACTCATACCGGCTTGTTCGAAGAAATACGTACCCGAGTATGCAAACTGACTGCCCGCTAAGACCTGGCCTGCAAAAGTGATGCAGGCTATCTCTGTTCGACGACGATTGGTGCCTTTAAAGCAGTCCGAATACGAGCTTCCTTCCTCTATTTTCTGCTCTATCTCATCCGTGTGGATCATCATAGCCACAATTTGGTGGGATGAAGCTTTCTCTGCGCCGGCAGTGAGGCGCCGAACGGTCTTTTCCGCCTCTGCATAGCGTCCCTTACGGACCAGCCACCAAGGAGACTCCGGCATGAGGAATGAGAAGAAAAACAGCGGGACGGGCCAGACCCATTGGATCGCGTACGGTATCCGGTACGACCACTGATTGCCACGACTGAGAAGGCCTTGCAGCACTCCAGCCCCAATGAATTGGCCTATTGCAAAACACATGTTCGTATACGCTGTAAGGTATGAGCGGAGAACCATTGGGCAGAGTTCGGAAGAGTATGCGGGGCCGATGGTGGCGAAGATTCCCCATGGGATTCCGAGCAGGAGGTCAGCGATGGCTCAAGATGCTTTGAGAAGCTGAAAGCTTTGGGAAAAGTACAAAAGGTAAAGAGGGACTTACCCGCAGAGGACTTGACCGACTACTTGAAGTTCGATAGTTGTTCCGAAGAACGACACGAAGACAAATGCCGTCATCAGTAACAGAGAACCCGCAAAGACCTTCTTGAAACCGAAGTATTTGACAAGGTATCCATTAATGAACGAGCCGATGATACAGCCCGCGTTGCCGCCACCCCCCAAGGCAGACTGCCACTTCCCTGCTACCTGCCATCCGCTCCCGTGATGGTACTCCCCGAATTGCCGACGGAATTCTGGATAGCCATAGAAGTTACCAATAAGGATCGTGTCATATCCTTCCATGATAATGGACATAGATATGATCAGCGACCATGCGACGGCCCATCGATAGGACAGCAGCGCTTGTCTGACAGACATTTTATGCTCATTTTCGTTGGCAACTCGAGCGTCCTCGACAGAGTGCTCCCATCCGCCTGACTTTTCCGGCAAGTCAGGAGCTTCGACATCGCAGTTACCATCTTCCACATGCGCCTGCGTCGGCGTGTCTGAGTGCACGTGCTTGTCGTCCATGACGGCTGGCTGGGGAAAAAAATGAGATAGAGTCTATCACACCGCACCAGATATTCAATCAGAAGACTTTTTCCCTGTGGCCGTCAGAACGCAAGTATATAAAAAGACAAAGATTTGGTATAGATAGCCCCGCACAGATGCGGAAGTATACGTAGAGAATCCTGACTTTATGAAATACAACAAAATGATCTGCTGGGTGAGAAACGATTATTAGGGGCTATTTGTACAATGATTGAAGTTCCGGACACACCGTAATTGGGACGGGCCCTCTGTTAGTCCACATGATCCCATAAGCCACCAAGAGAACAGTGTACCAACCTTAAAACGGGGTCGTCGACTCCTGTGTTTTTGCTGGTTGGCGGGCTGGATCATAATCGTTTAGTTTGAATTTTGGGTGTCATTCTAGGAGCCTGTGGGGCTATCTTGACCTTAGCCTGAAACGCAAATCCGGGGGAACTGGGGCAAGCTCCGGTGGAGCACACACTAGCTGTACTGTATGGGCAATTTCCCGCGGGTGATGAGGCTGTACAAGCCTTCCAGCGGGGCACGGTACATCGATACAGAGAGGAGCATGTTGATGCAAACGCGACCAGGATCGGATAAATTCTTGAAAATGTCCCGAATAGGATCTCCTCGGAAATTTGTTGAATTACATCACGTATGTCTTATTGTCACCATCGAACTTCGGCCATTCTGATACAGAATTACTAACGTGGAAATGATCGGCCATGTGATGGTGTATGTACAGAACCTCGATGAGGGGAATTTAGTGAAACCAGATTCCTGTAAACTCTGTAGTTTGTGCTAATACTCTTAGGCCACTTGTCTTCTCATAGGTAGTTGACAACTAGTGACCGGAAATTCCCTTAGCTGCCTGCCGACGGACTATTTCCAATACCTTTTTTTAGCCGTCCAGCATGAATGGCAAAGGCGGGGGAATAACGTGCTGAGTGATCAACTCAGGTTAGCAAATTTCAAGGAGACTGCTAATGATACGGTAGGAGAAAAATATTGTATATATATTTGTGGAACAGAAAATCACCTTGATATTTGACACCATCATCCTCTGGGAGACAGTAGAAAGATGTATTTCCGCACCCTTACCTTGCTAGGGTGCGTTCCAATTGCTCTTGGACACAATTTCTATGTTTCACCTGATGGCTGTGAGGGAAATTGTTCTTCTGGAACGACATGGAGCCTTCAAGGCGCCAAGGAGGCCGTCCGTCAGTCAATTGCCCGAGGCATGACCGAAGATATAACTGTCCATATTGCCGACGGTATATACTATCTTGACGAGCCACTCAGGTTCACAAGCGCAGATTCTGGTCAAAATGGGCATACAGTATTGTGGCAGGCAACTGGTTCCAATGCGATGATTTCAGGCGGCCACCAAATCACTGCATGGACTCGCAACTCCACGAATTCCATTTGGGAGGCCACGGTGCCCATAGGCACGAAGTCCCGCAATCTCTATGTGAACGGATGGGCAGCCAATTATGCCCGGCATGAACTCAATCGCACCTATTTCACGGCGACCAATACCAGCTTCATGTGGAATAGTTCCGAGTACGATTGGCTCATGACTACACCAGGCATCGCACATGCCGAGCTACGCCAGATCGGCTCTTTTACCGACCGATATGCCCCAATTGCAGCAGTTGGTGAGCGGGAGCTCATCATGAGCCAGTGGTCCTGGCACAACCAAGTCGAAGGTTACGATGATTTTGTCGATCCTTACGCCGACTTCGGCTTGTTTGTCCAGAATGCATTGCCTCTCCTGGATGAAGGAGGAGAGTTCTATCTGGACTCGGACAGAGGAAAGGTTTACTATATGCCTCTGGATGGAGAGGACATGTCCACTGCCGAGACGTTTCTAGGCCTCCTAGAGGCTATCGTGGTTATCGGGGGAAGCCTTGATGATCCGGCACATGACATTTCCATGCAGGGCCTTAACTTCGTACGTGTTATCCCTAGTTCCTGAATGCTCCCACCATTGCACGCACTTGGAAATGTGGCTGACCCCATTATCAAGGCACATACTACCTGGATGAGGCCGTCGATTTACGGCTATGTGGATCAACAAACCGGTGGGTATATTGGTGCAAATGTCACCTATCCAGCATTTGAAGCAGCCCGCGAGCACTGGTACCTCATGCCTGGAGCCATCCAGATCAACGCGGCTCATAACATCCACTTCCGAGGCGGAACATACACGCAGCTGGGCGCCGGTGGCTTTGGAATCGGGACTGACGATAATGCGTGCATCACCGGCGTCGGCCTCGGGGCGAAAAATATCTCTGTCCGCGAGGGCTACTTTACACAGGTCATGGGCAATTCGATCACAGCAGGTGGCATCCAAATCCCAGCACACCACCCAAACGACAGCCGCATGATCAATTCCGGAATTCACATCGAGGAGAATATCTTCTACAACATTTCATCCCTGTTTAGTTCAACTGTACCAATCTTCTTCTCCTACGTGCAAGACTCGTCCATCATGAATAATGATATCTCGCACGCACCGTACTCGGGCATCTGTCATGGGTACGGCTGGGGAATGAACGACGCGGGCGGCAGCCAAACATACATTGACCGTGGTACTTACCAGTATCAGCCTCTTTTCCACACCCCAACGACGGCAGAAAACAATCTAATCAAGGGCAACCTGATCAACGATTATGGCTGGTCCCACACAGATCTCGGGGGTCTCTACACGCTGTCCAAGAGCCCTTCGACACAGCTTGTCGAGAATTGCGTCTACGACAGCCAGTGGTACGGCCTGTACACCGACGAAGGCTCGAACTCATTGATCATACAAGACAACACGTTTCTGAGCTTGGGGAACTTGGGCAGCACATGGGGATGGTATAATCCGAATCAGGGAATCCCAATCCAGCCGGGCATGCATACCGCGAACAATACCTTAATCGGAAACACGGGCGTATGGGCCCCAGGGCGCGATTTCACCAACGCCCCCGACGGTACAGGTGTTTTGAACAACACTTTCCTCCGCAACTTCGTCATCCATGAGCTGGCAGATATGACTGCGGCTAGTAAGCGAGTTGCCTATCGAGCAGGCATCCCACCAGCCAAGCGCAACCAGCGTCCGGTCTCGAATACGCCGTCCTTCGAAGATGTGCACGCCGCGCTCCACTTTCCCACGGACAAGAAAGGGACTTTCCGAGTTAGCCTGCAAAACTTTGACGACGGTGAACTTACCGGAGTGTCGTTCCAAGCCACTGCTTCGCATAGTGCCGTGCTCAAGCCTATCCATGTGCCTGCTACGGTACCTGGAGACAGCGAGTCCACGGCCAGCTGGCACCTGTCGATTCAAGGATGCCAGGCACCGCAAGTCTCAGTCCAGGTTACCTACACAAATGCACGGACGCAAATAACGAAGAGCATCTTGCTTAATGGGACGATGCCCGGCTTACTTCCGCTGGACGCCAAGTGGACTCCTTCTTCCACCTGGCCTGCCAGCTATGGCCAGCTGTGTGACACAGTTGGCATCCGTTCAGGCGGCCGCAATGTCAACGGCACCTACGACGACTGGGCCGTCCTTGCGCACGAGGCTGTGATCGGGTCCAATGGGTCAGTGACCGCGCGGGTCGTCTCGCTCGACCGGACGGACCCCTGGAGTAAGGCCGGCGTAGTCGTCCGCGACAGTTTCCAAACCAAGAGCCCATCTGACGACGCGAGCCACGTCAACTCAACGGGATATGCGGCCTTGATGGTTACACCGGACCACGGATTAATGATGCTATGGTCACCGTCCGACTTCGACTCGCCGGGCGATGGCTTTCTCAGCAGCAACATGACCGTTTCGGAAGTTACTACGCCGATCTATCTTCGGCTGAACATATCCACGACACATGCAACGGGATTCTACTCTGCGGATGGTCATTCCTGGACAAAGGTCGGAGACTCGGTCATTCTCCCACGCCACACGGCAGGGTCTAAGGCAGGATTGATTGTCAATTCCCATACGGGCTATCGCGATGGGACCGCTCTTTTTGATTCTGTGGCTATTGATTCATAATTACGTTTGATGGACATTGGTTGCCTCGGCTGATAGCTTTAGTTCCTACAGTACGTGGAATAATTTACACTGTTTGCCGAGAAGGGGCGCCAAATTGAGTAGACGAGGAGCCGACTAGTTCTGGAGTCTCGGATGGACACTAAGATGTGTAAAGTGGTGAGAACACGATGGGAATGGATCACAAAACAGGGTCAAAGCTTCGAAAGGCAAAGAAATGCTCTAGGATTCGGGGCCAAAATGACTAAAGAGGTATTAGATCGTCGCATCGTCGCTCTAGTCTTTACTTGTACTCGCCCCCAAGTCGGACCCAACAGAAGTAGTAGAAGGGGCGGTTTTAGATCGGTCACTAGTCACAGTGAAGGCACAGGACTATATATATATTTTTGCTTTGCGGCAGTGCATCCCTTATTCTTTAACATTAAAGCAAATACAAGGCATATATTATTTTTGCTACTCGCTAGCTATTGTAGGGTTATGTATGCTCTTAGTACATTAGAAGTAGAGAGCTCTCCTAAGAAACCTCGAGCCAAACCTCTGCCACTGACTAATCGTCAAAGATATCACCGGACCAAGAGGTACGTGTCTGAGACAAGTAGAGAGCCACCCAAGGCACATCCGGACCAAAGGACCATCGCCAACGGATGCGTTTCACAATGGTCCACGAACCCAGCCATCTAGACCCGAACGGCGCGCACCGCATTGCCGGATCTCAGGCTAGGTAGGACAGAAACGTTGCACAAGTCAACCATGCATACATGCATGCACTACCCAGGCCAAGGTGCATTACCTGGACCAGGCCGCAGTGGTGCTGAACGTAAACACAAGACTCAAGCCAACAAAATGTTGTGAAGTGTGTAGATATGTATGTATTTCTCTTCAGATGCCATATGTCCGAGGTATCATAGTCATAAAACCCAAATCCAATCCGAACCATCCCAACCAGAACCAGTCCATATTCCATGCGGTGCGAGAATAGAAAGTCTATGGACAAACATGCTTTGTGCAAATAAAATGAAACGAAAAGAAACCCGAGACCACCAATGAACCAGCAACCCATGAAAATCGTGAAATAAACAATAGTAGTGACAACGTCCACCCGGAAATAGATATAGACGAAATAGATAACAAGTGCTGTGCTTGTGTTTCACCAACTTTCGCGACGCCTTCCAAAACAAAAAAATAAAAAGTGTGTGTGCGCATGGCGTTCGACCCTCAGAAAACTGAGGGCGTTTTTTTCTTCAAATCGTGCCTCCCAGGGAATTATCATTGCCATGCGGATAAAAAAAAAATTAACAATCGTAAAGACATCCTCCGCATGGGGTCGAAATATTAAAACAGGGCGAAAGAGTGGCCGTCAGCCGCATGTGAATAAATCACCGGCTCAAGAGAAGTGCAAGTCCAGACGGAGTGTGGAGTATCCAGGGGACATGGCCATGCAGGTATAATATCACGCAGGTTGGGTCGGGCTAGAAGAGAAGTGATCCGGTCCAACGGTAATAAAAAAAAAGTAGGTGAAGCAAGAGGAGAGTTTTGTGGCCGAGTCCCAGGAATCATCAAGAGGGGGGAGGGAGAGTCGGCCCAGCGAGAAACGAAATTCAATGGCGAGAATGTACAATCCCAGGCCAGTGGGTGTCATGAAGCTGCGTTAATGGGGAGAAAGAAAGAAATCCTCAGCAGACCAGGATGGGTTGCCCTGTCAGAGTATCCGCAATAGGAACGGGGGGTTCGATGCAGAAGGGCAGTGGCGCGAAACCCATCTTGCAGTCCGGCACCTGCTCCGATGGCTCGGCCCACACACTGCCCATATCCGAATAGTCCTCGGTGAGGGCGGATGTATCAGACACAGCAGACTCGGAGAAGGCAGAGTAGTGCGACGAGTCCGAGGAAGAAGCAGACGAGGGCTGAGCATCCAGGGGCTGGTCCACAGGGCCGGTATATGGCATCTGGGGCTGAGTGAGGAAGTCGGTCGGGGCAGCAGTCGGGTTCGACACCCAAGGGGCCATGGGGTTCTCCGTGAAGCGCGGGCAATCCACAATGAGCTGGCGCAGCTCGGCAATGGTAATCCGCTTACTGGGGTCGCATTCAAAGATACGGCTCAGGATGCAGACCATCTCCGTGGACAAGGGCAGTATGGACTTGAGGAAGAAGGGGTCCTTGAGGTAAGCCCGGAAGGTGGCATCTTCCATTGAGGCGCGCTTCCATGGGTTGCGACCGCAGGTCAGGTTGACCAGCATAACGCCCAGGCTCCAGACGTCGTTGGCAGCAGAGGCATAGCATGACATCGGGCGCGGGTTGGACTGTTGGCATTCTGTTTCACGCAGCGCATGCAGTGGTTAGTACCGTCTCGCAAAACATGTGGAGCAGAAACACATACCTGGCGACATGTAAAATGTAGAACCGCATCCGAAATCCGAGGTAAAGTAATCCGTGGTGGCGAGGCCAAAGTCGGCGAGCTTGACCGTCATTCCTTGGTCAGTTACCAGCACATTTTCTGGCTTGAGATCCCGGTGGTAGATCCCCATGTTATGGCAGAACTGCACGGCGTCCAGTAGCTGGAGGAATACCCGCTTGACCAAGGGGTCGTTGCCGACAAAGTTCCCTTTGTCGGTGATGCTGGAGAACAGGTCTCCCTCCGGGCAGAACTCCATGACGACGTAGGTGCAATCCACGGAATCCATGATGCGGACCAGGGAAACCACATTGGGGTGTGCGCTGGCCAGGTGGTGCAGTTTGATCTCGTGTTGCTGGAACTTGAGCTGGCGGGGATCCAGGCCAGCCTTGTTGAGGGCCTTGACGGCGTATAGGACGTTGGTGTGGATGTCCACGGCAGTGTAGACCACTCCATAGGCTCCGACACCCAGGATGCTGGTGAGCTCCAGCCGGTTGGCCAGGAGCAATCCTAATCGGTCCTCTGGCGCACAGCGACGGAGGGTGGGTGATGGGGGAGGTGTAGGGAGCATGGTCGGAAACATTTTATTTCTGGCGTCTGCACACTCCCGGGCGGGAAGGCAGGTAAAAAGAAAGAGGGGGAGAGAGAGATGGAGGGAGAGGAAGAATTCCAGATCCAGGGAGTATGAAGGGTCCAAAATCCACGGCAATAATAATCCAGGTCAAGAAACCATTCCACGGCGGGAAATAGGGGAGAGAGAGAGAGACCAGGCTGTGGCTAGCCTAAGAGGAGGGAAGAGGAAAAGGAGAAAAAGAGGTAGGGAGAAGAAAGAAAGGAGTGAAAGTGAAGCAGAATGAGAAGAAGTGCAGAAGGGAGAGTAGAAGAAGGAAGAAACTCAGGAGGCTGCTGCTATACGAGAACAACAATAATAATAGTTAGCCTCGTGGGGCGGGCCACCACCCAGTCAATGATGCGTCGAGTCGCGTGGTTGGGGACGGGCCAGCGTGGCGTGGGAGCAGATGGACCAATGATCGGGTCGACCATCTGTGGCAATAGGCCAGGGAGGGATGTTGCCACGATTATTTCACCGTCTTTTCCAAAGTGAGGCGATGGTGGAGGGCCGCTCTGGCCCTTCATTGCCCCGAACCGGTGGATCCGGGCGCTTCCTTGCTGCCTGCTGACTGGTGCCTTGCACGGATCATGGCGCACGCACCCGGATCCTTTGCCTGGCTCGAGGGAGGTCTGGACTTGCGCTCCCCCAACAGGGCTGTGCTGGACCGTGCTAGTTGTCCTCTTTGTGTCGCGCATCCACCTGCGTCATGTTGCACCACTCAGCTCGCACACAGGGAAGTCAGGTGACTGGATCTATCACATCGGTGCCTCCCCTTTCTCCTGGATTATATGCCAGTGCACACCGCCAGAAGAACCATCACAACCCAAGTGCCACCCCCTCAACTCTATCCGCCGGTGTCCATCGGCACTTGGTCCTAGTACATGGTCAGAGTGGCGGGGGATTCGCTCCCATCGAGATCCTGACCCACTGGCTCTTTTGACTTTGATGCTTGCGGATGGATGTCTTGCCACTCTGAGCAACTCTACGAGGAGTAACTCTCTGAGGAGTCACTTAGCTTCAACTTTGACTTTGCAGCACGACTCCTACTAGGTGTGGCAACGGCCAGGCAAGGCAAAAAAGGCAAAAGGGAACTTGCCCCTGGGTTCCACGATCGGCACGCTGGATTATTGGCCGTGATTTTGCCTTCCAGAAGTCTCTATACATCATGACCGTTGTAGAGAAGTCACCACTACGGTCCACAGATCCCCGCCTTACTGGATACCTCCTATGTAGTTTAGTAGCCGCCTTGCCGAGTACATACAGACGGACAGGAGCAGAAGAAAAAGAACACTGCGACAGCGACAACATCCCATTCCACCGTCTTGTACTCCTCTCATTTTGCAGCACACCACCACTGGTCTACTCGTAGTACATTATTGTTACTATTATCCACAGAGTACGTAGCACAACAGGGAATATTCCCAGCAGAATACGAAACAAGGACAGACTAATAATCAGGGAGGCCAATCCAATCGGGACCTTTCCTCCCACCCGAAATCCCAGGTTCGGTCCTCATTTGTTCCCACTGCGATGGTATCACATCACGCCCGTGGAAATTATTAAGTAAGTTATTGTGGTCCCGGGGAAGGGGAACAAAGAAAGAATGATGATTATGAGTGTCAGGGGTTGGGTGGAATACCCGACTGCTGGATTGCGGCGTCGCCGGCCCATGCCTATTATTGTCATTCGCTGGGCGGTTATGATTGATTACTTCTCTCCACACGATCGACTCAACCACCCTTAGCTGGTTCCATGGGTTGGAGCTAGACGTCAGTGGAGAAGCTGGTGATCTAGAACCCTTGTGCATGATTGCTGACGCCTCTTGGGTTTCCAAGTCAGATCAGGCAGTCGCCCCGTTGACTCAGGAGTCAGTCTGTGCCTGTGAACACGGAAATCCGGTTTCGGCTGCCTTGGATGATTGGTCTGTTTCGGCACTTCTCCCTGGATTCACGAGCCCAGCAAGGGTGTGGTTGGGGTGGCTGAGGGGAAGAGGGGGAGGTGAAGGTGGCGAGAGGGAATAATGAACGCCTAGTCGGAGTGATGAAGTCACCGAAACATACGATTTGAGTCCGTTCTGACTCCCATCTCCACACGTTTTGGCCACCACCTCGACGTTGTGAACTTGGACATCCCCGCCTTGCTCTTCTAGCCCTGCTTGGCCACCCACGAACTCTAATGGCAACCTACAGTAGTATACAATCGCGGCCGTTATTGCCTTGCATGATCCGAAACACCGAGCTCGATGCTCTTTTAAGCCCTAATCACATGATGCGCTAACCCTAATGTGAACTGCCTGTAAATAACAGGGTTGTAAATATTGGTCAATCGATACCGGAATTTTGATTATACCGGTATGGGAATTACGGGTTCTACTGTACTTCTCAATCTATCTTTGTATATAATTATGTAATGGAGCGTACAAGCTATTCGTACAATAGTGAAGTATTTAATACTTGGCGCGTCTTGGGTGTAGACCTAGAAAACACGCTAACCTCCAAGGTCACTAGAATAGGGAATACGGCCTTCCCAATATACATCTGTCTCCACTGCTTACCACGTGATATCAAATTTGACAGGGTTGTTACCCCTTTCTGTCTAGGTATAAATAGGCAGGACCGTTCGTACTAGTGACCGCGCCTGTAAATATTACTACTTCTCCCACATTTGGACGCGTTTATTTCCTTACCTACGCTCGCTACCATGAAGATCGCTCCTTTCTGGGTGTCTATCGCCCTATTAGTCCCACGGGCTTTAGCAGTCCCTACTGAATCCAGTAGCTCTACGGCCGCGGCACCAACATGTACATCTTCCCTCATCGCCAGTCTCTGCAGCTACCCGGATCCTGGGCCAGACTTTGCCGTCGCCATCGACAGCAGGGCATCCTGCTGGGACTACTGTAACGCCCACCCTCCCTGCAACTTTGTTATCTTCGATGCCGGCAACCCTTACACGGGCACCGGCACGTGCTGGCTGTACCCCGGTGAAACTTTTGATGCAAGCAAAGGTAGTTCGAATTGCGGCAACCCCTACCTGTCCGTCTATAGCCAGCCCGTGTGTGCTGGCGGGAGCGCAACCACCACTGCTGGCGCCTGCGCCGCTACCGCGACTCCCTCTGCTATTGCGTCGGTCTGCGGGTACCCGACGCCTGGTGACAACTGCTGGTACAGTTGTTCTGCTAGTACGGATGCAACGAACTGCTTGAGTCAATGTGCAAAGGCCGATTCCTGCAACTATGTCGTCTTTAATCCGCATAATCCAGACAACTCGCCGTACGCCTCGGGCACTTGCTGGATGTATCCGAACGGCACATTTAACGCTGGGTCTGCGACCGCTTGTAGTGGTGCTCCTAAGCAGTTTGTGTATAACAACTTGTGTCCCAAGCCATCACCTTCATCGTCTGCTGCGGATGGCTCTAGTGGCACTGGAACTGCAGGCACTGCTCCGGGCTCAACTACTGGCGCTGCTACGGGCTCTAATGGCACTGAAACCGCAGGCAATACTACGAGCTCAACTACTAGCAGCAAAAATTCTGCGCCTACCGGCCTCTCGCTCACTAATCCATCGGCTATAGGCGTGGCTATATTAATATGGCAGGCCCTTTAATGATATCCTTGTATGTATTGGTTGTTTGTTCAGCTAAACAAGCTATTGGAAATATTATACCATATATTAATTGACTTCGTATGAGATCACTTCTCCTCGTGTATCTCTCGCTATTGTAGAGGCTATGTTGCGTTTCCTTGCGATCCGTTGCTATCAAAGCGTCTCTATCTCGAAAAACGATACCTTTTAGATGAAAACAAACGACAGGCTCATTGTGTTTAATACACTATAATACAGGTGCCATAAATTTTTTTATACGTATAGCATGCCCCTGAAACGAACGTAGTGAGAGGAAGGGGACTAATCAATGTGCAAGTACGTGCGCGTCCGCGAAAAAAAGGAGCTTGTCTCCGTAGGACCGCTACTGCTACGCGCCCTGCCTGTTCGTCCTCCGCCTTGCCTTTTCGAGTCTAGTGTATCAGGGCTTTAAGGCTTGCCATCTGTATATGCAACTTCACTGCACGTTTCTTCGATCTGATTCCCTCGCTTCCGATTCTCGAACTCTCTTTTACGGTGACGCTCTTCCCGGATTGCCACCTGTACCTCTATGCAACTCAATTGCTTTCCTTCCACTTTCCTATCCAACTCTCCCTTGTGTGCTGCCGCTCCACAATGGTAACTCACCGGTCTTGTGGTGATTGCGGGCACTACGTTCGTCTATCTAGAACTATCTAGCCGCCGCGGTGCCCTGTGTCCCGCTTGGCGTGCTTGCCGGCCCCGCTTGAAGTGCATCCTGCTCGCGCTGCGGTGTTCCGATTCTTATAAGCTCGTCCGATCTTTGCTGCCGGGGTTGCTAAGCTAGGCGCATTTCTGATGTTTCTTGCCGGGACTGTGGGACCCCTTTTCCCGCTCGGCCTCGCATAATCCGTTGTCCCAACTGTAGGTCTAGAAGATCGACCGCTTCACGAGTGCCTATTCATTTGAGCCGCTTCCAAACAACCTCCTTTAACCCCTTTATCAATTGATTCTAGCAATCAAATCCCCCTCAACGAAGTGGTCCCAAAACTCTATCTTCGTTGTGTCCTCGTACACAATCTACATAGTCCGATAGTGTATCCTTCGCCATCCACAAGGGACTTGGCTTCCTTCGCTAAGAATATGAATCTCGTATACATGCTTCGAACATATTCCCCCCTCAGATTTCTCAGTCCTATAAAAGAGAGGGTCAAAAAGAGAGAGTCAAAAAATAGAGGGCCCAACAACATAGGGGCAGGAATCTGCTGTTTCACCAACTGCCCTTTGAATTGTGACTTGTCGGGAGTGTTGAAATCGATTGGCCAAGTACCACCACCATTCCTATACACTGTCTCCGGCGAATCATACCATGTGCATTTGGTAATACCCTAGCGGCCCCCGGCTCTGCTACGAGAATTTTTATTTTTTTTTATTTTTTTTAATCTGCTGAGGCAAAAGTAGGTTTTGGCGAATCCAATATCCCCCGGCCACCTACGTAGTTTATTTGCATGCCTTATTCCGCAGGCTCCACAGTATTCATCGACTGGTACGAATGAACACGCCGGCTCCCTATTGGTGCTAGACATATCTCCCTTGTCCAAATACCCACAAATCCTTCCCTTAGGACCCATCGTACGGTCTATATTTTGACAGATGTTCTAGATCGCAAAGATTTCTGTTTCGGGCTAAAACTGAGTGCCTGATTCCCGAAACAGAGGCTATGCTTGGCCATTAGCAAAGCGTTTTGCTACGGAAAGATTTCTTAGGAAAGGCGATGTAATCGTGTGTCTCGGACTATTTTTCAATCTGTATGAGTAGCCACAAAATCACTAGCCACAATTGCGCTACGAATGCGTTTCCCTCGATATTTTGATGCGGGGGGTTGCGTTGCGTAAGCAAACACAGAGGACAAGGCTCAACTGCAACCTTGTCAATAGCTCTTCACTCTCCTAGTCACTATACCACGACATACTCTATATTCAATGTTATTCCTGTGTTTCACGATTCTACTAGGTCTTAGCTACGCCGCAACGCAGCAAGTCTTGCGACCTGAGAATGATGACGGCTTTCGCATTATACAAAGTCAAACTTCGCCGGAACACTCGATCCGTATTCGAAAACAAAACGAATCACTCTGCGCGGCCAATTCAGCACAGTACACAGGTTGGCTTGATGTTGGACGGAGACATCTATTTTTTTGGTACTTTGAAAGCCAGAACGACCCCGCCAAAGACCCATTAATCCTGTGGATGACAGGTGGGCCCGGGGTGTCTAGTATGATCGGTCTATTTAATGAGGTCGGTCCTTGCCTTGTCAACGAGCACGGAAATGGTACCGACTACAACCCATGGGGCTGGTCTCGAAACTCGTCGTTACTTTTTGTTGATCAGCCTGTTGGGGTTGGGTTCTCTTACCTCGAAGAGGGCGATGATCTACCCAGCGACTCGGCTGGGGCTGCGGTGGATATGCACCGATTTCTGCATCTATTTGTTTCAGAAGTATTTCCACACCACCTTAATAGCCCATTGCATCTATCGGGTGAATCATATGCGGTTAGTATAGCTCCTGTCTACAAACTGCGTGAGAAGCCAACTTTTACAGGGAAAATATATCCCGGCTCTCGGTTCTCAGATAGTGAAACAAAACAAACTCTATCCCTCTGAGACTCAGATCCAGCTTCGATCGTGTCTGGTGGGAAACGGTTTAATGTCGCCGAAAGATGGGATTTTCGGATACTGGGAAACACTATGTACCACTAACCCAGGCGTTTCAGAACCGGTGTTCAACAAAACCAGATGCGATACCATGGCTGCTAGCATGCCTCGATGCATGGAAGTTATGGACATTTGCATCAGAAACCCAGATCCAGCTGTGTGTAATGCCGCGGTATCGGTTTGCTATGAAGGAGTTATGAGTTGGTACGATGACGAGTCGTCGTACGCGGGCGGCCGCAACAGATTCGACAGTAAGTTAACAACAAACCACTGGACGGAGGCCTGCGGATTTTTTAATATGCACTCACAGTCACGGTGCCTTGTGAAGTGGACTACATGTGCTACGTTGAGGCTGTCCGCGTCGAAGAGTACCTGAACACTCCAACTATCTGGAACGCACTCTCGGTTCCGAAGCAGATTGATAAGTTCAATATCTCCTCCGATGCGATTGGCCGATCTTTTGAAAGGACCTCAGACCGAGAGACGTCCGTGTCGGATCAAGTTGCTTTCCTGCTTCAGAACCAAGTTCACTATCTAGCTTATCAAGGCAATAGCGACCTTGCTTGTAACACCGCTGGAAATCTTCGCTGGGCGAATTCGCTTGTCTGGAAAGGACAGCCTGAGTTTACCTCCAAGTCGTTGCGGCCGTGGAAATCAGCGCTTGCTGCAACTGGCCAAGACGAGATCGTTGGAACAATGAAAGAGGTCCGAGTCCGGACAAGTGATACCGCAAAAATTGAATCACGGTTTGCTATCGTGACTGTGGATCATGCAGGTCACATGGTGAGTAAGCTCAAAGTAAGGATTCGATATTAGGCAGATACTGACTTCATTTTGTAATCTCCATAGCTGCCGCAAGATCGCCCTGATGTGGCATTCGATGTGATGACACGGTGGATCAGCGGAGCTACTTTTAATTGAGCAACGAAATATTGCACTGTATGAGGTTAAAATATGATCTAGTGTTTACAGACACGACAATCGCAGTGTCATCAGCCCTCACCCTTCGGTTGCGGGAGACCTTACTTCGAAGGACATCCTGTAGTTTGTTCTCTGGAAACAACCACCAGTAGACGCTTGGAGCCAGAACGAGGTCTTCCTCCATGTCCTTTGATACAACCCGGTTGTTGATTTTAACCCGCCACTCTATGAGGTAGTGGGTACAGGTTGGCGGGTATTCATCGTAAACTCTATTCTCTTCCCACTCAGATAACTGAAGTAGCTTGAGAGTATTTGTTCGTGATTGGCTTCGAATATACTGGTACTTGGTCGACCAACATACAACACGAACTCTCGAAAAAATTCCATCCGATTGTGCACCTCTTCCACGGTCCGGGTATTAGCCATGCTGGTGGCTTTCTTCGTTGGTCTATCCTTATCCTGTTTCACACGCATGTTGACTTCCGACTCGCAAATTCAAAACTCTCTATACACTTTACATTCTTACAGCCCTCTTCTTTTCGTCGTTTTAGGGCCGATGCGCGCCCCGCGCGCGTCTTCCAGTTGTAATATTCAGCCTCAGAACTTTTTTTTAAAATACGGTACTTAACATATTTGGTTTAGCGTATCAATTGATTAGGGTTTGAAAAAGCATCGCTCTGTTTCCGATATGGAAGGCAAGAACGGTCGCAACTGTACGCTTGCCTGGAGTAAAGGGCATACAGTGTAGATGGCGATAGAACATGAACATGGTAATGACAATTAGGCCACTCCAACTATGTGAATATGTGAATACTGTAGTACGTGGATACATTTCTGCGATGTAAACCAACCCCCTCCACTCGAACGCCAGTAAGAAACAAAACACCGTCTTCCGTCTAAACCTTGCGCGTCAGAAATGGATGTTTCAGCGCATCTGCGGGCGTGATCCGCTTCTCAGGATTGAGGGTCAGGCACCGGTCCAAGAACTCCACAAACAGAGCCAGGTCCTTCGCTTCGCCGTCCTCCATCCCCCGCGTGCCCTTGCCCATCAGCCTCGTCTTGAGGTCGCGCGTGGGTTTTTTGAAGTCCACGATGCGCGTGACAGGCCGCCCAGTGATCTTGTCTTGCTCCGTGCTGTGGAAATTGAGCATGTCGTCGAAGTGGAGGTGCGTAAGAGAACCGCGCCGCAGGAGCTTCGGCGGGTACTTGCCCCGGCATTCCATGATCGAGCGGAGCATCTGGTTGTTGTTTCGGCCGGTAAAGAGGATCTTGCCCGTGTACAGCTCGAAGAGCGTGCATCCGATGGACCAGACGTCGATCGCGTAGTCGTATGGAATACCCAGAATGATTTCCGGGGCGCGGTAGAATCGACTGACGAGATACGGCGTGATTTCGTTCTCCGAGGCCGGTGACGCAGATCCCAGATCGCAGACCTTCAGCACGTTGCGCTGCTCGTTCACGAGAAGGTTGTCAGGTTTCAAATCAGCGTGCAGGATATTGCACTTGCGCATGAGGCTCAGGCCAAGAAAGATCTGTTGAGCGTAGGCTCGCATCGCACGCAGGTTCAGGCCGACATCTCTTCCAAACTTCTTCAGAACCTCGCGCAGATTCATGCTCAGGTTCTCAAACACCATGCACAGATGACCCTTGTGATCGAAATACCGCTCAAACTTGATGAGATGTTTCTTGTCTTCGGGATCGGCCTCGTGGAGTTGCTCCAAGATTCCAATCTCTTTCATACCGGCCTTGCGCATTGTGTCGTTCTGCCGTATGATCTTGACGGCCACCAAAGCTCCCGTCTTCGAGTCGGTTGCGCGCACAACTGACGAGAACATTCCCTTGCCTAGATTCTGCTGGACGTGGTATCGGCCGTTGATCAACTCCCCAAGTCGAACTTTGTAGTACCCTTCGTGATCATCCCAGTTGTCCATCATGCTGATATCCAACTCTTTGGGCTGGGGCACAGCAGACATCGCTGACGCATGGGCGGGTTGCGCGTCATGTGTGTCCACCGCAAACATGTCGTCGTCGTCTTCGGCGAACATATCATACGGGTCCTTTGCTTGTGGCGGGGGTGGTTGTGCCGGCTGCTCCGCGGGTGCATCTGGGAGGAGAAGATCCTGCTTGACAGTTTGGGTTTCATCGTACGCCGCGGATGATATGTCCTCTTCCCTGCTTTTACCACCATCAAGTTTCTCCCTCTCTTCTTTCATATCAAGAGTCGGGTCGTAATCAGCTGCAAAAGGTTCGTCGTCTTTATCAACGCCATCCACAGGAGCGTTGGAGTTAACCAGGTCGGTATCTTTTCCAATCCTAAAATCAGAAAAGGACTCCGCGGGAGTTTGGGATGGGGAACGTTGGGGAGAATCTAGAGAAGCAACGAGATCAGCGCGATTCAAATATGACAATGCAGAAAACTCACCCAATGGGCTCTGTGCACTAAGAACTTCGGTGCCGGGCGTGGACGAATCCGTGTCGCCGTTGCCGATGTGCAGTGCTTTCAGTTGTAACGGGTTCGCTTGCCCACGATACTTGGCCCGAATAGCCTCTCGGCGTTTGCGACGAGCTTCCAATGCAGCAGCCTCATCAACTGGTTCGGAGAGCTGCTGTTCTTCGGCGCTGTCTCCCGCTACCGAGGCGTCCGTTCTATTGTAACAATTAGTCCACTCGCTTCTATGACAAGACGCAGAAATAACATACTCATCGGTCACGCGGGCATGAAGCGAAGAGGCTTTGTCAACCTGATTCTCCCGAGTTTCAGCATCAGGCTTTGCATTCTGCGCGGCGTCCACTGGCTTTCGTCGCTCGCTCACTAACTGTTCTCCCGCCAGGGGCCCGGCACCCGTAACCAGTTCATCACCCGTGTACTGCTTCGGCTTCCTCGTTTCTCGGTACGGTGATCTGCTGTGAGTGCGCTGCCGCTTGTCTCTGCGTCGATCATAGTCATCGGAATATCGCAACCCGCCACCATAGCTCTCCTCGCGATCGTAGTCGTAGTAAGATTTCGGCCGCCGGGTCCCCTGGTCATAGGGTCTGTCGTCGTGTCTGCGGCGAGGTGGTGGAGGCTCGTGGCGCGTGGATCGGTTGTCGTAGTGATGATCATACTCATCATCGCGTCTGCGCTTGTAACCTCTAGAGTCCCGATAGGGGGAGCGGGATCTCGAGCGAGATCTCGTCTTCGACCGCCGGCGGCGTGGCGAGCGACTGCTCCTCAGCGACGCGGGGGATCTGGGCGCAGAGGAAGTACTAGCTCTGCTTGGACGGTCAACAACGCTGGTGCCATTAAGAGGAGGTTGTGACGCAGTTGCCTTCATCTCCGAACCTGATTCGATGATCTCACCCTCAGAAGGGGTCGATGGAGACCTCGACCTGTCGTGCGCCATGGCGTCTGGTCTTTGTATTCTGCTGTTGTCTCTTGCGCTGTGTTCGGCCTTTGGAGGAGGCCCTTTGGGAGTGATGATCACTCGGTTAGCGTGGGGCCCAAGATAGTAAAAAGAAGCTTCGCAAAGGATCGTTGAAAGTCCAACCGGCTTTGAGAGGCCTGCCTTCGCACCACAGCCTTGATATATCGCTTCAGCACATGTCTCGTGATACTCCAGTGAAACGTGGTGGGGAACTGGGCAGAAAGAGTCAACGGTGAGCTCGCGCCAGTATAGGATTGAGTGAAGTCTGAAGAGGTGAGAGTTGAGCTGGGCGAAGAGAACGAATGAGTCCCCGAGAGGGAAGGCGGTCAGCAGGGATTGTCTATGATAAGCCCCGCGCCTCCAACTATTTTTTTTTCCCCTTCTTTCTCTGCAAACGTCCAAACACCGATCTTTTCCTTGTGTTTATCGATTTCCACTTATCAAAATGGGTGGCCAAAGCAGAGAAGGTATGCAGGTTTTATACTCCCCCTGAAACAAACAGTCTGGCTCACTACCCCTGCCGCAGGTGGCAAGGTCAAGCCCCTGAAGGCGGCCAAGAAGGACAAGAAGGATCTGGATGAGGATGATCTTGCCCACCGCGAGAAGCTGAAGGCCGGTATGTAATTTAGGTTTTGGCGCAGCCTAATTCATTCACTGACAAGGCAACAGAGGCCAAGGCAAAGAAGGAGATGGCCGAGATGGCCAAGGGCAAGAAGGGCCCGCTGAACACCGGTCAGCAGGGGATCAAGAAGTCGGGCAAGAAATAGAGAATACTGTTACGACTCACGAGCCATGTTCAACGACGGGAAGGTGTCTGTCTGATCTACCCGAGCAATATCAATCCATCTAGGGTGGTGTCCACTTCACTTCAATATCTACAGATGTTGCATTTGCATAGTCCGAATGACCAGGAAAGTTATGTTCACATAAAATCATCAATGGGGAGCACTTGAAAGGAAAAGAAGAGGGTATCATCATCCATGTCTTGTAACGTCAAACCGAGGAGGAAATCGAAAGTACGCAGCATCCAACTGAAACAGGAAAAGGATGGTTCGGTCGAGGTGTCATGAAACAAATAAAAGCACAAAGGCGTTAGCTGGTGACGCGCTTAATCCAGAGACAGCTGCCATCGCCCGAGTTCTCGGTTTCATCCAAGCGCCGCCAAGCCCGAGCGACCTTTAGGCCGATCTCATGTTCCTCGCGCTTGAGATCTGCAATCTCATTCTCAATGCTGGATACGGTCTTCTTGACCTCAGCCTTGGCTGCCATGTCATAGGCAATGGAACTGGGTTGAATAACCTGGGTCAACTCATGGACCACGGTCTCTAGATTGTGCCTGCGCCGCTGGATCTCGGTCCGCTTGGCCTCCAATGATGCAATACGTTTTTCGGGCGTCTGCTCGCCGATGGCTTCAGCAGGCTGGGGCTGCTCTGGGCCACTTTGAGACGGAGTGGGCTTGCGCACGGGCTTTTTCGAACTCGGCATGCCGCCGGGGACAGGGCGTGTCCGCGACATGACCGAGGGGAAGTCATCTGTAGACTGGGCATCGAAGTTGACGCTGTCCCGCGGGCTCTGAGTCTGGCTGCCAATCTCCGTTGCCGTGTAGGTCGTGGCACTGAAGCGGCTCCTGGGCTCATCGGAGATCATCATGTTCGCAATTGCAGCTTCGAATCGGGGATCAGATTCATACTGCTGTTGTTGCAGCTGTCGTGGAGTGTGGCGGCCGCTGCCAGCTGTTTCCGCTGTCGCTGGCCGCTGGATTTGCTGCTGGGAGGCACCGCCAGTGATCGTTGTCGTCACGGACGGAGTGAATCCGATGCTACTCAGCTGGGGACTGGCGTCTGTGGCGCTGGCACGTTTCCAGCTGGAGAAGTGCGTCCGGGAAGAGGATCTGTTTCTGGGTTCTGCTGGCGGGGGAGGGAGTTCGTTCTTGGAGAAAGTGCCGATTCGGCTTCGAGCCTCGGCGAGCTTCTTCTTGGGATGGAACTGTTCTCTGCCCCAGCTGAGAAGGCTCGAGCCGGTGGATTTGTGGAATGTAGTGTCGGTTGGATTCACCTGGCCCGCTTTGCCGGCGTTGTTGTTGGTCGGTTCACCCGAGTAAGCGTCCCAGCGAGTGGGCTGGTCGCGCTTGACAAGTCGAATGGATTTCTCTGTAGGCAGCGGGGGATCTGGTTTCGCGGCAGGCGGGATGTTCTGCGAATCTTTGCGCTCGTGAAAGAATGGAGGCGCTGTTTCTTCGATGGGGGAGATGCTAACACTGCTTCGATTGTCATCGGTAGGGTGCAAGTTGGGCGACACCAAGGGCGAAACGTCCGAGTGTCGTCTGGCCATGTCATCATGCACCGGCCGTGACGAATCACTGGGGCGATCGTCAGACAAATCCCAGCAAGATATAAATTAATTGAGGTCAGACTTACTTGGGCAGAGACGGTAGATCTTTGACGGAAGGAAACCTGTTCTCCACGGCTGCCTTATCGACCAATGTAGGGTTGCCAATGGACGGATTCTTCGAGCGATGGAACGGACCTTTGGACCACATGGTGACCTGTCCAGTGGATGGCAATCAGAATGCTGTTGTCGATCGCTGCGGGGCGGAATTGGAGAATGTGATGGCTTACAGAGATAGGATGTGGGAAAGGAAAGATCAGGAGAAAGGAGTAGAGGGAACCAGGCAGCGCTCAGGCCTAAGTTCAGGGCCAAAGGGGTTAACAGGCAGATGCAAGGACGAAAGAACGTTAAGACAGCAGAGCATAATCAGCGCTATGTTTGGGCCTTGTTTCATCATCACGTGGGGACGATGTCATGCCTTCTCCGCAGACGCCGACTGGACGACTAACTACGGACTTTCCTCGACAACCACCACACCACACAACACAGCACAACACCGCCATGGCATCCCCCGGTACGTACACCGATTAAGTGTCTGAGGTACAACCAACCACCCATCGAACTAACACATTCATCCCCAGAGGGTTCCCTGCCCCAGCAGGCCGAAGTGTCCGTCTCTCTCTAGCCGGCCCCCCACAGCCACGAATGCCACCAACTAACATATGAAACAACCAATACAGAATGTCCATCGCCAGCCCCATCAATCTAATCCTCGCCTCCCTCTTCGTCGTCCTCCTGTATTACCACTTCAAGCCCAAACCCGCCGTCACGCTCCCGCGGGGCCCGCCCCCCGTTGTCTTCCGCACCTACACCCCGAAGACACTAATCGAGTTCAACGGCGAGAACGACAAACCCGTGTTCCTGGCCGTGCGCGGGCGCGTATTTGACGTGACTCCCGGCAGGAATTTCTACGGTCCGGTATATATCTCTATCATGCCATCCATCCCCTCCTGCTTTAATGATCGGTTCGGTTGGAAGTAAACAAAGAACAGAATGAAAGAAAATGCTAATCGATGGGATCATCATAACAGGGTGGCCCTTATGAGAACTTTGCCGGCCGGGATGCCTCGCGCGGTCTGGCGTTCCAGAGTTTCGATGAGGAAATGCTGACCAAGGACTTGTCGGCTCCGCTGGATACGCTCAAGGATTTGGATGCTGATCAGTTGGAGAATCTGCAGTCGTGGGAGGAGCGCTTCTCGGAGAAGTATCTGGTTGTTGGCAAGCTGGTTGCCGAGGGGGATCCCGAGGCCCCGGCTTCCTAATTTGACTGCGGGGACAGTGCCCAGGGTCTGGAGGACCGATACAGTAATAACAAAGCGGACTTTTGCAATGTTGTCTGAGCAGTTGGCTTAGATATTCACGACTATTGATCGCATCTACACAGTTCGGGAAATGCGAATTTACCAGAACAATTACTCTCAAAAAAGAAATAAGGGCCCATGAACTTCATTGACATTCAAGAATAGATCAAACCCCCGAGAGAAACAGAAACAACCCTCTTGCAGAGATCCCAGTCCAGTTTCATTTATGTTCACCGTAATGAACCCACACTCTCGCCCGTTTTTCGGTTTTCAAGGACAAAACAACATCTTGTTCCACCCTACAGCTCCCCACGCACCCTTTGCGTTGCACCCGACACCTTCTCCCGGAGATTCTCCGCAGCTTCCTGGCCCTGAGCCCGGCCGCTGGATGCACCGAGCTTCAGCTGATCCAGTGCCCAGTTCACGGTCTCCATGAGCTTGGCGTAGATGGTGCCCGTTGGAGTGGTGGTGCCGTACTTGAAGTACTGCGCGTGGCGCCGGGCAGCCGCGCGGAGTTCGTTGATGCTCGAGCCTTGGTACACGGGGATGCCGTACGAGTCCAGGTAGGCCTTGAGGTCGGAGTGGGACCATGAATCGAAGGAGGCGTCCTTGGCAGAGCCCGTTGCCACGGCCATATTGGAAGTGGCCGATGCCCACTGCTCGCCGCCCGCCTTGGATGCCTTGTGGTAGGAGTCCTTCGCGTTCTTGATCAGCTCCTCGCGAGAAGCATCTGTCTTTTTGGCGGCTTTGTGGTTCATGGCAGACAGGTATTTCCTAGTTCTCAAGTCAGCCCGGTCTCCTGGAGGAGGTCGAGGCATCTTCTACTTACAGCAAGTGCTCCTTGTCCCAAGTATCAAAGTTATACTCATTCCAACCGCCGGCAGCCACGTGTGCGTTGTGGCGGACCTTTGCGATGAGCTCATCACGTTTGCCGTACTGGGGAACGGGGACGCCTCGTGCATCGAGGAACGATTTAAGGCGAGAATCGGACCACGTCTGGATGGCGGCGTTGAACTGATCCTCAATCTTGAGTTTCGCATCATCGGTGGCACGGGCATATTCATTTCCAGCTCTGGTGGTAGCCGCACCCAGCATCTCCTCGGCCTCGGTCGAGGCCTTGGATGCCTTCTCGAGCAACAACGAGCGATGTTTCCGCGCCTGGGCAATCAGTTCATTGCGCTTCGAGCCCTGGGGCACCTTGATCCCATGCTCATCCAGGAACTTCTTCAGCTCGGAGTCGGACCAGGCGTTGAACAGTGCATCGCTCAGAGACGACTGAGCCGCTTCGGCGGAGGACACGGCCGAGGCAGCGATCGCGCGCGCCTGCAGGCTTGTCAGACGGGCATTGCGGCGCACGCTGGCAATAAGCTTGTCGCGCGTGGACGGCTGGGGCGCCGGCCAGCCGCGCTCATCGAGCCATTCCTTCAGATCGGACTCGGACCACTGCTCATAGATCCAGTTGCCGGGATACGAAGCCGTCTCGCCGGCTTTCTTCGCGACCGCCTCGTAGTTCTCGCGCGCAGCCTTGATCAGATTGTCTCGCTTGCGCGGCTGCGGAGCGGGAATGCCATGGCGATCCAGGAATGCCTTGAGCTGCGAGTCGGACCAGCTTTTGCGACCAGTCAGTTTTTCGGGCGTGAGAAAAGGAACAACCAGTCTTACGTGTCAAAGATCCACTCCTTTGCATTGTGCAGCTGGTCGGACGTCGCGTCCGCAGCCTGGCCCAGCGGCTGCTGCACCCTGGAGTCCCAGTTGGACTTGACCAGGTTCTCCAGGTCGCGGCGGTCAGCCGGCTTGGGGTAGGGGATGTCTGGCCCGGATGAGTGAGTGTCTTTGGAAATCAAGAGTGATGTGGACTGTACCGTGATCCGAGAGCCATCGCTCCAGTTCAGTTTCATGCCATTTGTTGTACACTGGACAAGGTTAGAGTCGGTGCACATCCACAGCGCGACAGGACATACCAGCTTTGCTCCACCAGCTTGAAGCTGCCACCACTTCGGTGGTGGTGAGCAGTAACAGCAGACCCGTTAGGAAAGGGATCTTCATTTTGCGATAGTAAAAAATTAATTGAGGGAAGAGGGAAAGGAAGAGGAAGTGTCTCCAGTGTTGTTATAAAGGAGGCAAGAATGATCGCCGGGTGACGTAGTTGGGGAATTTGCCTGTTTCCAATGCATGATTCATAGACTGGCGTCATATCCGATGGGCTGGGCTGGGCGCAACATATCAGCTTGATTATTTACCATCAATATTGCATGTTCGTCTTGGTCTACTACCGAACTGGCTACGATGGTGCTATCCCAAACCCGACCGTGTTGTAGCCCGAGTACAGAAGATGGCTGCCCTTAGCGCCCGAGCCATAATGCGGGGACTCTTTCCCTCCCCTACCTAACCTCTTCTCACTCTGTGCCACCACCACCACCACCACCATCACAGAATGAACTCCCGGAGCTGATGCTTCACACTGAAACCTATACAATGGACCCTTTAACTCCCAACTGCCGCAAGGTCGCCTCGCCCGGCATCTTCCAGCCGATTCTCTCCATGTACATACCCCATCTCCCCAGCTCCAACCCGTAGCTAACCCCCAACTCAAGCTTGATCGTCTTCGGCATCCTCATCTCCTACCTCCCCCAACACATCCGCATCGTCACCCTGCGCAGCTCCTTCGGTATCTCGCCCTACTTCGTCCTCCTGGGAGTCACCTCGGGCACCTCGACCTTTGCCAACATCCTTGTCACCCCCGCAACCGCCCGCGATGTCGGCTGCTGCCAGGAGGTCAACGCGACAGCCTGTTTCGCGGCCCTGCTGGGTATCTTCCAGATGGGCATGCAGTGGCTCTGCTTCTTCTCCATGTATGCTATCTATCCCCTTCCCTCTTCTCTCGGGTGTACCCTTCTAACCGACCCCTCCAGCCTCCTCCTCTTCGTCATCTACTTCCCGCGAGCCACATCGCCCACATCCCCACTCACCCCGGCCGGTCCAACCTACCGCACTGCACTCGTCATAACCGCAATCTGCATCCTCCACGCGCTAGTCGTGGTGATCATCTCCGCGGCCTTCGCGCTGCGCGAACCCTCCGCGCTCAAGCACTGGGCAGACTTCCTCGGCATCCTAGCCGCCATCCTCGCCTCGATCCAATACCTGCCCCAACTCTACACGACCTTCCGCCTCCGCTGCGTCGGCAGCTTCAGCATCCCCATGATGTGCATCCAGACTCCCGGCAGCTTGGTCTGGGCGGCTAGCTTGGCTGCGCGCCAGGGTCCCGGCGGCTGGAGTACCTGGGGTCCGTTGGTGGTTACTGCTTGTCTGCAGGGCTCGCTGTTGTTCATGGCTATCTACTTTGAGTACTTTGGGCCGAATAGTAAGCGCAAAGCGGTGCATGAGGCCGATGAGCATGGGGCGCCCAGTGGTGAAGCTGCGGAGCAGGAACCTACACCGCAACACGCGGTGGCGGCGGACAGGCCGTCGGAGGAGACGCCGTTGCTGCAGAGTCAGTGATGTTGAATATGTGGTTGGTTATGGCTGATATGATGATGTTTGATGGTATATATACCCCCTTCCTCTTCGATTGCTAGGAAATAGATAGCGAGAATACGACGTACGACTTCTACACTCACTCCTAAATGGCCACGAAGACATCTGTGGAGACGCAATTGAGGCGCCGTCTAAGTAGATTGACTTCATTTGTCGCAGACAAACTCACTCAGAAAGAAAAACAACAATCCTCTCCACCCTTCTCAGCAAGAAGCAAGTTCTCAATCCTCCCCTAGACCCCGCCCAGTAATAGTTATGTCCTGTTTCCTTCCATCATCTCGTCATAGTAGTTTCAGCTTTCTTCATTCTGCGCACCGGGAAAAAGAAGTGTTCTTTACGAGGCGGCGTAGATCAGGCGGAAGACGTCGTTCATCACGAAATAGCTGCCCGATCCGTCGGGAGAGAGCTTGAAGCACTGCGTGTAGTTCATGGGCTTCTGTTCCTCGTCGATCTAGAGCCGGAGAAGAGTGGATCATTAGGATCTAACTTGTGGGAAAAGACGCGGAGCGGATGGGATGACGTACCAGGAGAGCACCGGTCACCAGGACGACAATGCTGCCATCGCTGGAGGGCTGGGCGTCGAGGGTGGCGATCTGGTGGCGCACCTGCTGGAAGGGCAGGCTCTGTGTATTTATTCGTTAGCATATCGTCCATTGTGTGGCAGAGGGATAGGGGAAGACGCACAGTCAACTTCTCAGTGATGGCGGTGGCGCCCTGGACCTGGCTGGTCTCGAAGGTGAGCATCGACTGGTCGCGCTGTGCCAGTCAAATACTGCCGTCAGCATCTGGTTTATAATCTCCATCTCCTTCCTTCCTGCTGTTCGGGGCTCCTGGCGATCAAGCTTACGTAGAGAGGGGTAAGACCACTGCGGTTGTTGTCGAAGCTTTGGTAGTAGAAATCAACGAACTGTTCTGTGGGCAGGATAGCGAGTCAGATATATCGGTTCTTGGGCCATCTCGTGTCTTTCGCGTCTCTCGCTAGGAGATGGAGTCCTCGATCAATCAGGCCGGCCTGCGGGGTCTGGCACTGTGTGGATCCGGAGGGGCGCCTTGCTGGGAGTCAGGGAGAGGGAGAACGTACGAGCGACGGCGTTGAAGTCTAGAGAGGAAGAGTCAGCCGGTGTTCTTGATGCGCTCCAGAGAGTTCCGTGGGAGCAGTCGTATGGGCGCAATGGCTGCCGGGCCCGTCTGATGTGCCCCTCCATCGGAGACCAGCCATCGCAGCACAGCCAAACCACGTAGATCAGGGAGCTTACCCATTGTGAAGGAGATTTATTGAGAGATGCAAACGACACAAGTGACGCGACCGTATATGCAGAGAGGGAGAGAGGATAAGGAACCGAAGGTATTTGTTGACGAGGAAGAGAAAGGGTTGTGGGGCGGTGGATTATTTATTCTTCCTCATCAGTTCATTCGGTCATTCATTTATTCATTCCATATACAACTACTACATATAGTTCAGCCCAACACTCTCCCTTACTCCGAGTCTGACGCGAACATGTCCTCTGCCTTGGGCCGTGGCTTGCGAGCTCGTCGTGATTCGGTCTCGGACTGCCCAGTGTTGTTGTTGGGCTGCTCCGGCGCGGGCTCGGGTGCCTTTACATCCTCGGGCTCTGCCTCTTCCTCCATGGGCTCGCCGTCCTGGGCTTCCAAGTCACTGTCTTCCATGGGAATCCCATCAATGTCACTCATAATGTCATCCTCCGGCTCATGGCCCTGACCGGGATCCATGCTTCGGCTGGCGTTCGCTCCCGCAGGCCGATTGGGATCGAACTTGCCAGCGGCGTCGTCCTCATCAACGGTCTTCCATCGGCTTTTGCCCTTGGCGAAGGCTGCAGCTGCTCGTTCGGCGTCGGCTTTGGTCTTCTCATTCTGTATTTCTTCTTCGGCGAACGGTGGCTGTTCGAAGACCTCGACGAAATGCTCCTGGGTCGATTGCGGGAACACGCACCATCCTTCCCACAGATGGAGAAGGGAGCCGACACTGCGCTTCCATTTCTCTGCCTTAAGTCGTCCCCAGTTGAGGTCCTTTTCTAACCGGCCAAGATGCTCAAAGACCGAGTGTGAGCGCAGGGCGGTCTCGAACAGCTGCCGGTATCGCCATGCGTGGCGCACGCCGCTGGTGGCCGAAGATGAGAGAATGTCAGAGATGAGATACAGGCCGACCAGTTTGGCAGGAGACAGATCCAAACGCTCATTAGGAGGCAAGTTGTCCTGCGTAGTATTTTCTTGATACTCGGGTCTCGCGGCGTTTTTCTCCAGTTCTCGGTCCGGATTCGCCCCGGTGTAGGCCAGCGGCTTGAGAATATTCATGACGATCATGTCTACCACCTCATCAGCACCCGCCCCGGCGTGCTCAATGGCAAACGCCGTGACCCGGGCAACGTCACCCCGTCGTAGCTTGGCGTGAGTTGTCGGTAACCGAGCCAGAAGGTGTGTGAGCTTCGCCTTCTGTAGCGGATTCATATAGCCAAGACCGTCGTGTTGGCCGCTGCCGCCGTCCGGTGGAGGAGGTCCTCCACCAACGTTACGGCGCTCGTCCTCCGCATCTGAATGTTCCTCATCAGACGAGTTGTAGTCTTCATCCGACACAAATTCGTCCAGGCGTGTGGTGTACTCAAATTTGAGATTGCTGCCCGGGGGGACCCAGTTTGCACCTCCTTCGAAGATTGCCGACGGTTTCTGGCCCCGAGCTCGCCGACTGCCCCGGGACCGAGGACTGGTGATAACTTCCCATAGCTTCCATCGGTAGTAAACACCCCCAAGACTCCTTGGATCCCAAAGCCAAGCCCACTTTTCTGCTCTTTGTACCTCTTGTCGGCTCATAAGCAAAGCCTCAAATTCAGGCCCGTATTTGAGGAGACTCTCCAAGGTCTTGTGGATCAGCCTTAATTGCTTGAGATCAGACGGCGTCTTGACTTCCACCTGGGATGACAATCCACCCCTGCCTAAGCTAGGTCCGTATGAACTTGGAGGCGCAAACCCTCCTCGGTGAGGCCCAGGAGGTGGTGCTCGACTCAGACTCCCACCGAGGTTGGGCTGAATGGTCTTTGCGCCAAATGGAAGAGATGTGGTCGAAGGCAAACCAACAGCAGTCGGCAGGGTCGAACCGATGGCAGCGGATGAGAGATGGCGAGACAAAGTCAGATAGTAACCCCAGCCCAGATACTTATGCTGAAGGGCGCTCACGCTGCTGTCGATGTCCGAAGCTGCGGAATCGCTAGCCAGGGTGACAATGGCAGCAGACGACTTTCTTTCGGTGGCGGACTGGCCGGGAGGTCGCAGGATCTTGACATTGTCCACGGCGAGAACAGAGGGGATCAACGACTTGATCACAGAAGGTGATGTCCCAGGAGGCAGAGACGCGAGGTACAGCGTAGGCTTCGCAGCAGCCCTCTCCGCCTCTTTTGTATCTGCAGCCCGATCATCCTCATCATCAGACGCGCTGCGGAACGCTGCTGGCGCGCCAGACGATCCCGTATTCGCAGCCTCGAATCCCAAGCTACTGGTATCCCGATTGCGATGCGATGGCGCAAACCCTTCGTGGGTGCGCTTTCGATTCAACGACGGAGGAGGCGGTCCTAATGTCCCTGGGCCACTCATCCGAGGGCCGGAGCTAGTGAAATGTCGCCTCGCGGGACCTCCTCCGCCTCGAATCCCAAGCGTATTCAACCTGCCATCGGCGGAGGGTCGGGGCTCGGCCGGAGCGTCATCCTCGAATGATTTGACAAAGTCCTCGTAGACTGCGGCAGTCTCGGCTCGTTCGCGGGCCCGTTTGGCTTCGGCTTCGGCTCTCTGGCGTTCAAAGAGCGACTTCTTGGGGAGCGTGGAGAGCTTCGCCGAAAGATCGGGGAACACCTTGCCTTTTGACTCGTCCGGCATGATGCTGTTGAGCTGCAGCGGCTGCAGCAATTAGGCTACACAGCCAGTGTGGTGGTGAGGTCAAATGAATTTGGGGAGAAATGCAGAAGAGAGATGTCGCTACCAGAGAGAGTTGACATGGACAGCCCTTCCTGATCGGGGAAATGCGCGAGGGCGGTGAGAGCGGTCTTGTCCAGACCGATGAACTCACTGTCTATCTCTTTGCCCCTACGTACCCAAGTTAGACATGGCTACTGCACAAGTCCAGGAGCTGCTCCGGTTTCTCTCCCAAGTTGCCAAGGTCCCGCTGGCCGTCGCACTGGGCAAGGCCGGGCAGTTACAGAAAGCTAACCTGACCAGGTACGCGGGCCGTTTGTCTCATCGTGCTCTCTCTGACACCTCCCAGTCCCGATCAAATTGCCAAAGCAGACCTTCCGACCCTCCAGGAGATCTTTCAAGATAACAAGGTCGCCAAACAAGTGCTAAATGCGGCCAAACGAGTGTCCAAGAAGCGAGGAGCTCCCACTGATACTGCAAGAGAATCGCCTCAAAAGAGAAACAAAGCATCCGCACTCGATAAACCCGCAACTCCATTCGAAACTGAGTCTGTCTTGAGTTTGCCTGGCTCTTCGGCCAGTGAGGACGAGTTACGCAGTAAGATTCTGGTTACGAATAGAGCGCCGCTTGTGCTTGCCTTTGCTGTCTCTGTTTTGAAATACACCATGCCGGAACAGCCCATTTCCAGCAGATTAAGCCTGGCGCAAGCTGTAGTTAGCGCCAATAGCCGTACCAAAGCCGTCAGCTTGGGCATTGAGAGCGGCCGGTCGGCTGAAGAGGAAGGTTGGGGGGAAGGGCACCCCGTTATCAACGTCCTTGGAAGGGAGATTCCGGTCTTGAAAAGATGGGACTACAATCCTCGCGAAGGTCAGCCAAGCACTGTGTCTGCCGAGGACTTTATAGGGAAAGAGCCCACAGATGGATTGCCGCCCCTTTGGGGCGTTGATTTAGAGGCCCTTCGGAACTCTCATCGCGATAGACCGGGCAAAGAACCGAGGAGCAATACAACTCTCCCTATTTTTACCCCAGAATCGGCGAGGTCTTATCTCCTTCGCTCATTCTCAGAATACAGGGAAGAGATCAAAGAGCCATCAGCTCACTCAAAGAAGAAGACCTCCATAGTGACTGATAACAAAGAGGAGTGTGTCGGTCATCTCTTGCGTGCTATTGACATCGTCTGCCAGTCATGGGCTGCAACCTTAACCAAGACCGAATTGGACAAACGCGCTTGGGCTTGGTATGTCCGTGTTCGCCCAGACGTCCAGAGCGGCGTACATGGCTGGGGAGAGAAAGGACGGGTAGAACTAGCCGAGATTCTGGCTCTCCGGCGAGAAACTTGAATGCGAGATTATTACGCGCCGTCTCTATGAAGGGTAGAATGGCCAGAAACAAAACATATCACCATTTCACTTGTTACACAATGCTTCTTGTCAAACTCGCTTTTCCCTTATGGGCAACATGAAGCTGTTTCTTCTCTGGGAGTTCCATCGACTGCCTCGACTGTTGAGGACTCCGACCTACTCTGGTTTCCTTCCTCCAGGGCCCGTCCTTGCCCACCTGGAGAGCGACGTTGGCCTCGGTGTTGCGGCGCACGTCCATGGTGTCCTACGTGAACAGATCCACATAATTGGGGAAGATGAGTGCGAGGATACAGCCTACCACGGAGATTGCCATGGCGGTGCGGGTGCTTGTTCGATCCTAACGATGTAGACCAACGTGAACACATCTGGCTGTTCTGAGACACGACACGAATCCTACCACTAGGTGAAGTGGCGCTTGTTCGAGAGGGATGCCTCTGATTGCTGGGGTATCTAAATATTGCCTGACTCTCTTGATCCATTGATGATGCGGCGGTGAAACTTCGCTTCTAGACTTCATGTCTAAACTGCTCAGATTGTATGGTACTGACACGCAGGGAGCTGCAGCTGCTCTATGCAGGTCCATATGTAGATGCATGCATATGTCTGGATAGGGTTTTGGGGAAGAGACTGGGGTCTTTTCAGTACTCATCAAGAGTGGATTGGGAACTAAAAGGAGAAAAATCCTCGTCTAATCAAGTGAGAGTATTGGGCATCGATTTGGTCAAAGAGGCTGTCTCGAAGTTCTACACACGCCATATGTCAAATATATATATTTCCCTATTGCTGGACAATATTGGATTGACCTTCACCACTATGACCGCGAAGCCTATTCCTCAAAACACAAGTAACAGATAGGTAGACAAACAATAAGATCCAGCATAGGGCTGACCTTGCCATTCTGAAACACGTACGATGCTATCGATCAGTCCAGACCACTATCTGATCGCAGCACCCAACAATAATCCATGGATCTTAAACGGTTTCGTCAGGGGATGTGCCTGGGTGGACTCAACATTGTGCCCAACGTCGTGTTGTCGGGTATTATGCTTTTCCACGAGCGCAAACCTTGGCTGAAGCGGCGTGGTCTATCCGCTCCTACCGGAGGAAGCAGATCGATCTCAACGGGAGAGGCCCGAGCATGCTAACTGTGTTTGGTAACGGCCCCGTTTTTTCCAGGTATTTTCCATGGGTGCGATGCAGCTTTTTCCTAGCCGAGCCTGGACTCGCTGGGCATGCGCAGAGAATGAACTGGTCTCGGCCGGGGAGGACTTGCTTGCGCAGGGCATCAGACCAAAAAGAACCCAGCGGCCGGACCGATGGGGCCTCAGCGCAGCAGAAGCAAAAACCTTGTGCCTTCCGATCGCCGTTTTACTCGCACGGCTAACGATTTGTCCGTGCCTAGATACTCCGAGATATCCGCTAGGGCGCATCCCTTCAGCCCTGCGTCATGGCGTGAAACTCGCCGCATACCTGAGCAATTCGGGATTTGGCCAGTCTCGGTTTTAGTGCGGGCGGATTCCAGGTTTCCCATGCCCAGCCCACATTATTCTTCCTGGCCCTCCGTGTGGGACAAGATCATAGCGGAAAACCCCCAAGACCTTAGCGGGCCAAACCAGGGACTCAAGCCCTCTGCAGGGTCGCGGGTGTCTATAACCGTGAAGGAACAGAAGTAAAGGATTGCAATCTGGACCCCACCCACGACGCGTGGTTCTAGCCTCTTTAGTATACAACACTGGTCTAGGTCGAGTGACGAAGTTCGTCTGGAATTCTAGATCCAGCACAGAGATAATAATAATGTGAGATTTCGGAGTAAAGTAGAGGTGGCGATGCCCAGTGCCAAAGGCCTACTGTCTAGGGCCCTAGTATCGAATAGCGCCATACGGCCTCGAATCGATCGCACTAGGACCACTGAGAGAGAAAGCCATCCTTGGAGATTTAGTGATCAGTAGAAGCCGAGACCAGGGCCAGGCAACAAGCGTGTATTGTCCCGTGACCAAACATTTCACGACATTGGCCCTGTTTGGGCGGTATCTTTCCTGTTCTGTGGTAATACACGGTTACGCCCTCAGAGTCCCCGAACTCCCTTCTGATCTTCTTCTCCATCATCTCACCCCCTCCCATCGAATCCAACTCTCCCACAACTCTTCGCTTCCCGTTCTTTCCATTCATCTCACTCTGCTATCCTCGTCGAAGAGTATACCGCACCTAGCTCTTCGCTCGCTCCCTCTTCCCCTTCGACTTCTCCATCGGCAACCCTGTCGACGGATTGACCAAACAAAGAGGTGGCCCGACAGGGCTGCCGTACAGCAAGAGCCATGGCCGGGCACATCTCTTCCGATCTTTCTCGCTCTGCGTCTCAATCCTCTCAAACGCCTCGACCGTCTCAAGGACAGACTGGCGAATCCATGTCCCGTCAATCCTTCGGTCGCTCCTCCCGCTCCAATCCTAATGTCTTCTCCGACGAATACTCTCTCGAACCGCTGGATCCTGATCGAATCGAACGCGCTCCTAGTCCATCCGGCTCAATCGCCTCCTCAACAACCCTCCGCTCCAGTAACCACCCCCAGAAGTCGGTCAGCGTCGCCACAACCGAGAACGAGAACCCGTTTGGCGATGAAGCCCGCGTCTCTTTCGACGAACCTCACCGGTCCAGCCTGCCCCAAAAGGGTGCCATGGGCATGCCAAACCATTCCAACTCAAACTCTGGCGACACCACCCCTACCGGGGTCCAACGCAACCACAGCATCTCCTCCCGTTTCTCCATACCGCGCGCACTAAGTCCATACACCGGAGCCACCGGGCCCAGTCATCCCTACGCGATGTACCCTCAGGTTGGCGTTAGCCGGACTGCAAGTATGACAAGCACCTCGACGATCCGCCAGAATGACCGTCCGCTAGGAGAGCCCATTGGGCCGCAACACCCGTACGCGATGTACCCACAGAATGTTGTCGAGGAAGGGATGGATGATTCGTTGATTCCCGTTGGCTTCCCCGGTCACAATCAGCATTACCAGCCGCCTGCCACTCGTCGAGACGATGATGTAGGCGATATCATCGGGGCTGATGGCCACACGGAGCCACTGCCGCCTTATTCCCGCTACCCAACGGGCGCTATCCCCAAGCCTCCAGGGACAGAAAACTTGTCAGACTCAACGCTTCAACCAGAGGAACATCAATTGGATACGGTGTCACGAGAGGCCCCGATTTCGAATGCTTCGTCAAGGGGTGGTATTGTTTCTGAGCAAACCCCGAATGGCGATGGCGATGGCGCACAAAGAGCGCCACTCACCGGCATAATGGCCTTTGAGGAAAAGCTCAAACGGAAGGGGAAACAGACTGCGTGCTGTGGGCTACCGGTTTGGACTTTGGTCCTAATTGGAACAGTGATGGTAATCGGAGGATGCATCGGAGGGGCTATTGGAGGCGTTATAGGAACGAAGAGAGCCGCCGATGCCCAGGCAAGTGCGGCAGCACAAACCAGCGGTCCACGAGTGGTCACTGTCACAACTCCTCCGCAGATAGATGCCACCAGTTTAACGGCCACACCGACCAACCTTTTACCACTTCCTACCTCCGGCAGCTACGTCATTCCTTCAAACCCTCAGAACCACTCGAAACTGTGTGTTGAGGACCAACAACTGAAGGATGCCTGGGGTTGTATGCGAGATGACACTGATACCGAGATCTACTTTGGTGGACCTGACGGCCACCATTCCGTTATTTTCGGCAACCAACCCCCAAGCAGCACCTTTACCTATGGGGCTCAGCCGCCCTATCTACCCCAACCAACTCAGCCTCTAAGAATGATGATCGATACCCGTGAGATAAACATGGGTCCGGCCCTGTTCTTCTCGACCCTGTTCAACAAACTGGTCATTGTTCCCGAGGACGAGTTCTCAAGCACGCCAATGAAGCGGGACTTCGGCGGTGGGTACCCGGACTTTAGCAAGAAGTACACCCAATTTTCGGAAGTTGGGCAGAAGCCATGGTTCTGTTGGTGGAACAAGACGATGATGGAGTTTTTCATCTATGTCAACCAAACCACCTTGAATACCCAAGGCACTGGAACCGCCTCCTACGACAGTGAGATGCCTGCTGCCACAGCCACCTCGTACCAGGAGTCCAAGCGGGACTTTGGACATCTTGAGAGCTACCCGCGGAGGATCAAGATCGATGAACGACGAGATTCTCCAGATGCTGTTCAACCCTATTGCCAGCAGATGGAAGTGATGTCCAACGGGCAGATTACTCCTCTGTCTGGGGAATATTTCAATGTTCATGAGATTGAGCCCACCCCGACGACCACCTATATCAACCCTCAGGGCACCAGCCAGACATACACAGCTCAGGCACAATACGGGACGCCTTGCTATTGTGTTTCTCTGACCGATTAGAGCACATCGCTAGTGCTATGCTGGCCATGTATCCTCGGCGTTGGGACCAGCCTGGAAACAGGCATCGATTCACGTGCACATGACTGCTCCTTTTTCTCACTGTGTTGTTCCAAATTTCTTTTTCGGATTCCCTGTGTTACTGTCGTTGCTCCCATTCTCCGATGCCGCCCCATGTTCTGCATCTATCTTTTTCCGAACCGCCATTGCGAGCATGACGATCTTTTTTCCGTTGTTCAATTTCCTGTTCTTCATTGGTTATATTCGATATTTCTTGTCAGGTCTATTGATCATTTACTGGGATTGATTACGGCGTTTCTGGACTCAAATGGTGAGCCTTTGGGTTGCGTTCTGGCGGGCCATCGGGTTTACATGTGTGTTCTCTATGAGCATCTGGCGTGATGAAATGCGATGAATATCATTATCGGCACTATTTCCTGGACATCGTAGAGCAGTAACTACCAAGTAAGCCTGCTGTGATAAACGTTGACTAACTAACTTAGGGCTGAACTACATTCTTAAACCGGCCTTGGGTAACGTTATGCGCTACCCTCGAGATATCGCCCCTTCCTTCCCTTTCAATACCTCCAAGGAACTTTGGTTGTTATTCAAATCGGGAAAAAAGAGCATTTGACGCCAAGAATGAGCTGAGGGCATTGAATTGCCCACACAACAATGGTACGCCGACGCCGACAGTCTAACAGCCACAATCCAGACAGCAGCGTCTTTGCTTCTCAGGATCTGCAAGAAACCTTCGCTAGTGCAGCCTGCGAGCAATATCGAACCCGCAACATCCTCTTTGACAGACGGATTCCCCAGTGTTTGAACTGTGAAAAAGCTGGTGTTCCATGCGACTTTCCCAATCGGGAGAAACGGGTCATCCATGTCAAGAAACCTGTCGAGGATGTCTCTGGATAGGCCTCGCGACGTGATGGAATCGATCTGGCAATGAACAAAGTGGTTCAACACTTGTCCACTCTCCAGTCGACGAATTCACGCTCTGCTGCTACCCCGTCGTCTCGATTGAGCATGGGCTTGAAACGAGAAAGTCCTCTTGTCTCTGGTGCAGAAGATATGGAGACTATCTTCTACGCCAGAATTCCTGCTGAGGCAAATGGAGACAGTTCAAGTCGCCAAATACCCAACCTCGAGACCATATTGCCACGAGATTACTGTTCGATGGCTCGAGACGTACCCTTGGAATGCTGCTTGAGCGCCTGAAGTATCATAATCTGGGTGTGCCATGGGCTATCAGTTTGCTGGGATTTATCTCGCTGGCGCTGGCCCCAGTGCCGGTTCTGTTCTACGTGTATAGGGCGACGATTCGCTCATACTCGAGGAATGCATTGGCTGATGCGTGATGGTGTATCGGTTGTGGACTGGCACAGCAAAATGGAATGTGACAGCAGAATGCATTGATGGATATTTCAGGACTTGTGGTAGATATTGGTGGGAAATGAGCAAAATAGAAGTTGTCGAACCAAGTGAATCAAAATACGCTGGGAGAGGGATACAAGAGAGTTAAGTCCTATATCCAGGGGCGAATAAGGGTAGTATCAAGCTGCTTCTACGACAGGGGCCTAAAAGCCCATTGGCCACTTGTAACTAGCTATATGCTATATTTATGTTTTCTCCTGTCGACTTTTTGAGAGTAAAGCATTATTGGCTGCGTAGGTTTCCAATTCTGGTTGATATGACATCGGGGTACGTCATCACCCGTGATAACCTCATCAGAGCATTTATCAAAACCGGATTCATGTCGAGATGATGCACAAACTTATATTCTTGAGTAGTTTCAAAAGGTCTTGAATCAACGCGTTCAATAACCTCTCTCGCAATCACTCAGTTGTTAGTCTTCTACTAACTCGGTCACATCGACCCCCGTCTGTTCCATAGCTAAATGACAGCAGCAACAGCAACACCTACACCGACATCTACATCTATACTACATCTACAAAATGGCATCCATCCTTCGACTTCCGCCTCGACTGTACGCCCGAGCTTCCGTTATGCCCTCCGGTCGCTCCATCCGGAATGCTACAGTCCGGAGAACCTACGCTAAAAGCTCCTCCGACAATACCCCCCAAGGACAAGGCAGCTCTCCAGACTCCAACCATCCAATCCCATCTAATAAGGCGAAGCCAACCCTTCGAGACGGTAACCAGTCGCCCATGGCTGACCAGGAAGGCCACCTGCGGGATGATCTGCCGGAGGATGTGAAACAACACAACGAGGACGTTTCAAAGCGGTACGACCGGCCGTATAACCACATTTCAGATGAAGGGAAGATCGAACAGCCGTGGAAGAAGGAGAAATAGGCCGCTGCATTCCCCTTTTTTTCTTTTTCCCTTCCTAGGTTAGGCAGCAATGGGCGTGTTGAGAGATATATCGTTCGGCGTTGAAGGATTGCGAATCTTGTACCATATTCTTTGAATTCGGGAAATCCTGTGAATAAACTGTCAATCAACTGAAAAGAGCCATTTAAACTGTTTTTCTTTGTTTCTGATTCTTTGGTTTCGTGTAAAGTGCAAGCAAAAGGGCAAGGCCGCTTTGTTTTGTTTCAAGGCTGACCGCCCGGGATTGGATCTGCCGCGTGGACTGAGGCTGACCACTAACTTGACACTTCGCACCTTTTCTCTTCTTTCACCCACCACTATTCCACCATGACGCTGGCTGAAGAGTTCCGTTCGCGAAATTTCAGTATGAGTTGCCCTCCCTGTCTTCCGTGTTGTTGCTAACTCTTCCCTCTTTCCAGGCATCTACGGGCAATGGTTAGTACTCTACCTCACCGGTCATGTTCCCACTCTGTACCTGGTGCTCGAGCTTGTGAAACGGTATCATGGTCGTTGGCTATTGAATGGCTATTGCCGACAGCGAGGCCAGCTCCTTGGTCTTACATGGAACCCCGATCCGCTCCCCCGCGCCCTTGCGCGTGAGAAGAAATCAAGGGATCTAACAACCTTCTCTCCAGGACCGGCGTGCTGTCCATGATCCTCTGCTTCGCCGTGGGGATTTCTAACTTTTTCGCGGCACCGCTCCGCATCATCTTCGGAGCGCTATGTTTGTAAGTGGCTGCCCCAGCTTTCCAGAACCCTAGATTTGCTAATCAATGTGGTAGCGCCTCTTCATTCATCATCCTCTTCATTGAGGTGCCCTTCCTCCTCCGCATCTGCCCGACCTCCTCCACATTCGACGCCTTCATCCGCCGCTTTACGACCAACTGGATGCGCGCCGGCATGTACACCATTCTCAGCGCTATCCAGTGGGCCAGTCTGGTCTCCGGCGCCTCCAGCTTGCTCGCCGCCGCCGTGACCCTCATCGTGGCCGCGGCCTTCTACGCGCTGGCGGGCATGAAGAGCCAAGAGTTTGTGGGTAGCAAGACTCTCGGCGGCCAGGGTGTTGCACAGATGATTGTCTGATGGGACCGATGACCTTGGGATATAGCCGTGGGCTGTATGTGTGTGTGTGTGTGGAACAAAAGATGGGATGGATAACTCGATACCTCTTCCCGGGACTGGGCTTGCCGCGCGCGACTCGCATTGGAATGCGCCATGATTAGTTACGGATATCGCTCTGCTTTGTTGCTTTTGTCTTTCGTTCTTTGTTAGCCTGTACTTGTATGCCTCCCCTCGCAGCACTGGGATGAATCAGCCAAGCATCTGTTTTGAGATTTCTCGAGTGAGTCTGTAGGTTTGTTCAGGCCGCGTCTGGTGGCTGTTTAGCTGTTTACTTCAAGGTATCCATCACCCTGTCCGATATGATAAGGGGGGCTCAGGACTGTAGATGAGTCAAATGTCTTGCTCGTCTTTCCACCTAGGATTGTAACCGGTTCTGAATCCAATAGTAGCTAGCCCTCGTTAAGTCTGCTCGGTCGAGCTGGCCAGACTCCACACGCGTATTTCCCCGCACCGTGAAGCCATTCTTCCAAGTTTGGACACTGCGGGCAGTAGGGTACCGTACTTATTCTCGCTGGGAAGCATACAAGCTACAAACCCACAAATAACTGGTTGGATTCTACCATTAGCAGACTCATTGAAACAATGGCAATCTGATTCTCCCACGATATTACTATTGCTATAGTCTGTCTGGTCCCTAGAGGAGTGCAAGTACACGGTGACTGTGAAAACCGAGTGGCTCACCTGATCTGCCGGATGATGTAATGCGGAGAATCCATTCACCGCCTCGGCGTCCTGGGCCAATCCTGAGGCCGTGAAATAATCACTATCAGACTCTGTGCGGTGGGTGGTGTTGTGTTATCTGCACCCGAATGGCGATAGGATTGTAAAAGGGGGTGAAACACAGACTCGGATCGTCTGATCGGTGGCCGTCGTTGACAGACCCAGGCCTGGACCATCCTAAGTATAGAACCTGTATGAGGGATTTGCACCCGCTGCAAATGCAACGGACCAAACGGCGGCTGGCTCACTCGCTCGTATTGTCACGGTACGGTAAACCTAGCGCCTTCATGCTGGCAGGGCCCAGTCACGCGCCGAAAGTGGGCTGTGGCAGAAAGTGGGTCTGGCTCTGCTCCCAAGGCGAATACATCATCCTCTCGCTCTCGCTCTCTCTCTCTCCAACCCTCTGACTCTGCTTTCCTTCAAGTTCCTCGCTTTGCATTGACTTGGTGCGAATTGATGTATCCTGCACTCCCGTCTTTACACTCCTCATTTTGGGTAAGCTCTTCCCTTCGGTTTTCCTTTATCGGTCGATTTCCGTGCTCGCCCTTCCCTGGGCGGCAGAGTCTGGCAGCAGTGAAAGCATTCGGACAGACAGCAGATAGGGACTGCACCAGCAGATCGGGCCATATCTTGGATTGCCTAATCCCCATCTGCTGTGCTGACAGTCTTGACCGTGCCTCTGCCGCCGACGGGAGTGACCAATTGCTCTTTGTTCTATTGCCTGCAGCTTGCTTCATTCGCGGCCCAACGGGTCTGCACATGCGGGCTGCAGGACCCTTTATTTGCCCTTGAGCTTCGGCCAGCTGACAGTCAACAAGCAGCTTTAAAGTACCCTTCACCACCTCCACCATGACGACTCAAACTGCCCCGGTCATACCTCCTCGACCGAGTCGATCACCTCAACCCCCGACAACCGCACCGGACATGCCCAAGATCCCTCCGCGTCCGTCCAACCGCCGACACGATCGATCGGTCTCACCAATGCCGGACAGCTATGCGCCGTCTCCCTTCAACGAGTGGAATGGGCCGGGCATGACCCGTACCACCTCCAACGATCTGCCTCAGCGCCCACCCAGCGTGACGATACCGTCCCTGGGTGAGGAGGGCATTGAATACGCCGACCTGGATGTGGGAAACATGTCAGACAGCCACCACCAAGCGCCGGCAGAAACTCGCAACATTGGCAGTGACCTCAAGATTCACGCACCGAGACCTTCTTTGCCGACATCAAGTGCCAAGGCCAAGTTGCAAACTGTCACCCGCACCGATTCCCGTCAGGCCGCAGCCGTGGGAGTGGGCCGGGATGGTCCTTCTCCGGCTCACGAGGAGCAGGAACGCTCCAGTCGTTCGCTTCACTCGCATGCGAGTGGATCGCGGGCCGAGTCCTCGACCGCCTCCTCAGAACGCCGGCACTCCGCGCAGCTCGGAGATGAGCATGGTATCCGCGTTCCCATGTACCCCAACGCGGGAGATGTCCAGGCCCCGTCGCCGAGTCCCTATCTTGAGCAGGGCTCTCAGCGGTCCGGTCGTAACCACCACCGGAGTCGCAGTCATCGGGACTCCTCCCTGCCACCGGGCAGCTATGGCCTGCATGGCCATGGTGTGCAGTATAACGATAAGTTCGAGGCGGCCTGGTATGAGAAGCACCCCGATGAATACGTCAAGGAAGAAGGGCAGTACGGCCCTGGTGTTGGCACTCCCCGTCCCGATTGGGCCTTGAGCAGCGATGACCTGAATAAGATCGTCCGAAGCCCTGCCAAGCCTGGGTTTGGTAAGTAATATTCTCATGCGGTGGCCTTTGTATCAATACTTATATCATATAGGCACTTCTCCAGCCGCGCAGGGTACACCCGACGAAGAGGTGGGCTACCTCGCCTCGGACGAATACACGCATCGTATGGCATCTCCGCCTCTGGAAGCTCGGCAAGACAGCAGCCTGCCAGTAGTTGAATCGCCCCTTCGGCAAATGAGCTTCCCAGCCTCAGCACTCGAGCCCAAGGAAGCCCCTAGCTCTCCGCTGCGCCGTCCCCGGACCGGCTCTTCCCATGGACACCACCACGAAGGTGAAGTGATCCATGTGGATGACCCAGTGCATCCTCTGCACCATCCCGACGGATTTGCCCCGGCCCCAGCATCTGATGATCATACCCACGACGCGGAAGCCGCGTTCGAAGAGGAAGAAGAGCCTATTCTAGCGGCAGACGAGATGCGCCCCGAATCGGCGTACTTACATCCTGCAATCACTCCGACGTTCGAGCACCGAGACAGCTTTGATGAAAGCCGCAGTCGCACACCCAGTGTCACCCATAGCCGCTCGAACAGTCGATCGGCCAGCCAGGGTGGCGTCCCTGCCTTGACCCGGTGGGACTCTCGTGACCAGTGGGAGGATTCTCACACCCCCCTCGAAAACGTCGAAGAATACGAGCCGTTGTTCCCGGAGGATGACGAAAAGAAGGAGCGGCCTCTGTCAGCCGCTGACCGTTTCAAGCAGCGACCCGATATGAGCAAGCACAGATTCCCCAGTGAAGATATCTGGGAGGATGCGCCAAACAGTCTACAGCTCCACGCGACTGTGACAACGCCAGATCTTCCCAGGCCTGACTCCACTGAGAGGTTTGAGACACCGGAGCAGGAGGCTGCACGCAAAATGCAGACTTCTCAAATTAATTCCCATCAAGTCGCCACTCAGATTCTTGAAGGCGAGGGCTCTCAAAACAAGAAGAAGCCTACGCGGCCGGATACTATCAAGCAGCGTTTTCCAAGTCGGGATATCTGGGAAGATGCCCCGGATAGTCAGCAGCTGGTGACCACCGTTGAGCCTGCGAAAGACGAAATCAAGAGCCCTGAAGTTCCCTCGAAGCCCAGCATTCCCCTACGTCCTCAGCGCCAAGCTCAGTCAACCTCGCCCACGGAGAAGCGGCAAGCCCCGGTGATCCCAGACCGACCAAAACCGCAGATCCCGTCTCGGCCCACTAAGACAAGCTCCACGGAGAACCTGACCAAGGTCCCCTCCGCCGGTTCAACTGGCAGCACAGAGTCAACCAAGGATGCACCCGCTGTGCCCAAAGCGAAGCCCGCCATTCCCGCTCGTCCCGGCGGAAGTAAGATCGCAGCCTTGAAGGCCGGTTTCCTTACTGATCTGAACTCTCGCCTGCAGCTGGGTCCTCAACAACCCAAGCCGCAAGAAAAGGAACCTGAGCCCGCTGCTGAAAAGCAGCCTCTTAGCGACGCTCGCAAGGGCCGAGCCCGTGGCCCCGCGCGGAGGAAGCCCGCAGCGGAAAATGCCAATGCCAGGCTGCCTACTATCCCAGAGGTGAAGATCACAGCAACATGGAATGTGTGGGAGGTCCGTGAAGACGGCAATTTGATAGTGGGCAGTGATGCCGCAGTCGAAAAGCCTTCTGCCGCACCAGTTGAGACTTCGATGGCCCCCGAGCTCGCCAAAAACACAGCCGGTGAACCTACCGATCCCGTCGCGGAGTCTCCTGTTCAGCAGAAGGAAGATGTCGTCTCACCTGACACCGTGCCGGCCGCCGCCGAGCCCAAGCTCCTTCAGGAGGAGGAAGCCCCGGCCTCCACTGAGGAGACCACAGAACAGGGCGATATGCCATCTTCGGTAGAAACCGAGACAGCTGCCAAACAAGTGGATCCAGAGCCAGCTACCGATCCTGCGACTGTTGCCAATGAGATGGCCGCGTCGATCCCGCCGACTAACCTGGACGACAAGCTTGAGAACCTAACTGCCTCGGCTGACGGCAAGAGCAGGTCTGACGGCGATATCCATGCGCTGGAGTAGATGAGATGCTCTTCCTCTTTTTTCTTCTTTTATCTTGCTTCTTTCTATGCCTATTATGTTGATGGGTTTGATGTGCGTGTATGTGTGTGTGTGCAAGCTAGTGGTGCTCTGTGGTCCCGTGTGTGGATGAGGATCCGAGACTACAACCTACGTAGCTTTTTTATTTCTTTCCCATGCTGTTTAATGACTTAGGATCCTTTGGATTATGAATCCACATCAAACTGGCTTTGTTTGCCATATTCTTGTTCTACTCTAGCTTCCTAGGGTACATCCATTCGACAGTGTTTCCCAGAAGGTTGGATTACAATGAAGGAACCTGCCTTCTTGTAGTGTTTGCGGTGTAGAATGCTAAACCCGAGTCGTGAGCGTGGGCCGCGGGCGTATGGAAAGATAACCGGCGGGTTTTGTATTTGCTGGTGAGTTAGACCTGGCGACAGGCTGGTGT